CCAGAAAAATTTCGAGATAAACAAACGAAGGAATAAGCCAAAAACTTAAGAGTCAATATTCTCTAGACATCACGCGCGGGGAATCACCGAAGAAATCAATCGCCATTTACGAGAAGTCCTCCTCAGCTTCCTCAATGTTATTCTTGATCCGCAGAAGGAGGGTTGTCTTCCACTTGTCCAGCTTGCTGAGCTGGTCAAACTGGAAGAGTTTGTCAGCGAAGCCCTCCTGGTCACCACCCTCAACAGCCTGGGTGAGGTCCACGAGTAGCTGGTGCTCCCTTGTCGAACCAAAGGAAGGATCAAGCTCTCGGTATGATTCCAAAGCACGGTTAGTCTCAACAAGATCCTGAATAATATGTAATTAATACTCTGTTTCCTTTGAAAGGAATAAGATGGAAACAACGTACTTTTGTGGCAAGGTGACAAATGCCTGCCTTCAGGAGATAATCCTTCACAGACCACTTCATCAGGTGGTTGTTAATAGAGCTCCGGCCAATACGTTCGTAGTTGGTGATGGACTTGTAGTAGTCACTTTCCAAGGCGGCCAGGTCCGCCACCTTGAGGTAGTACTTGTTTGCAAGGCTGTATATGAAGTATATGTCAGCCGAGTTGTTTCCTCGAATTCACAGATACCAGACAGATAATGGGATACATACGCTTCAGCGTTATCACCCTCGAACCAGTCGGCAGCCTTCTCGTACGCCTCCAGCGCCTTCTTCATATCTCCAAGCTCCACCTCATAGAGTTCAGCCAGGTATTGCTGCTGCGTTGCTGCACGGCGCAGGTTTCCTCGTAGTACGTAGTGCTGGATGGCACTGGAAAGCACGCGAGCAGCATCCTCGGGGTCTGTCTTGCGGTAGACCTTGAACGCTTCCTGGAGGTTATTGGCAGCGTCGTCGGGCTCGTTGAGGCTCTGGGTTTGGATGGAGGCAGCTTTCTCGAAAGCCTGACCAGCCTCTTTGTCTATTTGAGAGCACACATCAGTAATCTGGCTCAACCATGGCGAGTCAACGGACTGGCTAGGCCGCGGGGTATCTCACTCATTTTCTGTACTCGGAATGCATTTGCAGCCTGAGTATACAGATCTGCGGCACTCTCATACTTCTCTGCTCTTCCTCCAAACCAACTAAAGCCGCCAGTGGCACCGGACAGTGCTTTGTCGGCCTATTTCATTGCAACAAGCGAGGTCTGGTCAGCTATGCGGACTATCGTCATTGCTCGTGCAAACAAGGTGGGGAAGCATGCATACTTTTTGGAGCAGGACACGGGGATCTTGAGTCATATTGAGTGTATATGTCTTTTTTTCCCTGCGATAGGCAGTAGTCCGCAGATATTCGATGTGAAGTTGGAGTGTTGTGGCCTAACGGGGTTGCTATCGATGAGAGCATCGATCGGCGGGCCCGTGGAGGCGGTGTCATTTATTTTTCGGTATCCGCCTAAGCTCCCCGGTGTTGACCTACGACTTTAGTGACTTTGGCTATTTTTACACTATAGTACTCGGATTAGACTTGCTTCTATCTCACCCTATTACGTTCTCTATATTTGCCCACGGAAAAGTTCTCATCCCTAGAGACTCTCTACAATGACCTCTCTTCGCACTGCTGCTCGGCTATCCAAGTCGCTGCGCCCAGGTCCTTCTCGACTCAACACGACCTTCTCTCGCTTCTACTCTTCCGAAAATTCCGATAGCACAGACATCGAGTTTATACTCGGCGCGCCGAACTGGTCTGTCAGATCGCTGCTTCCGAACCCAGCCTCAAAACCGCCACCATCAATCACGCCGAAACAACTCCATCATCTGCTGCGCATCTCGGCTCTTCCCCAGCCTGCCAATCAAGAAGAAGAGCAGTCCATGCTTGATACACTCGAGTCCCAGATCCATTTTGTGAAGGAGATCCAACTTGTTGATACTACCGGCGTCGCGCCGCTAGCTAGAATTCGTGACGAAAGTCCTGCTGCTTTGGAAGAGGAAACGATTGGAATTGAAAGGCTGAGGGAGGCTCTGGCTAAGGAAAAGGTGTCGGGACGACGGGGAAAAATCCAGCGTGTCCCAGGTGAGAAAAACGATCGTCCGGATGGAACAACTTGGGATGGGAATGCGCTCGGGTCCGCGACAAAGACAAAGGGGAAATATTTCGTCGTTGAAATCGGCAATTGAGTTATTCCCTCAACTTTCTACAGCATTGTAATCCGCAGGAAACATACATATTCCGCATGAAGCAAAGCCGAGTGATACCAGGTGTTTCTGCCTCAGGCTATTGGTGGAGTAAGCGGCCCCGATACCCGTGACTATCGGGGGCCATGACAGCATCGCCCCTCTCCAACAACATCTGCTTCTGCCTGTTTGCTTCTTCAAAAGTTATCATCTCCTTTTTCACCTTTATTCGGCGCCAATGTTCAAAAATTTCAAAGAAAAACATGGAGGATTCTTTGAATCCAAGCAATCTAATGCTTCGGAAAGCGATCGCGGTCAAGATCTATCGTCGATCTTGGACCGGTCGCAGCGCGCTGACTTAACTGTCCTCGTCGCTGAGGTAGCTGAGTCAATGCGGGTTCGGATTTTGGAGCTTTATGAGCATACAAATCCAAAGGATGACTCTCCCAATCGCTCCAGCCCACGTCCATCTCCAGAGGCGGGCCGTGATGAAGACACACCACCCTTGCCACCAAGACCACAAGGCAAGGAGACTTCAGGAAACAACGGAAGTCCGCGGCATGGCTCTAATAGCAAGCCGTTGAGCCCTCAAGCAAAGGTCACTGCGCTTTCCGCTTTCGAGGATTGGAGGGACTCTGTCCTTTTGCGTGTTGGTGCGGTTGTCAATAAAGATGATGACGATCTGGGAAAAAAGGAAGGCCAAGAAGAGCTACAGAACGCTGCCAAGTCTGATGATCTTCCACTGGACGAGGATAAAGATAGAATGGCCAAATTACAAGAAATATACCACCCCGTGGAAACACCCTTGGCTCAACTTCCTAAAGCAACAAGACTGCTTATTCTTCACTCGCTTCTCCTTTTAATGCTCAGTCTAGAGCACTACAGTGCTTACTCAAGAGTCTTGATGTTGAACGTCACGTCCAGTCTGAACATAGATATCAACATGCTCAATCAAGACGAAGTCAGTGTCGCCCGCGGATTGCTGCAGACAGCTTTAGCACTCTCGGCAGACCAAGATACTAAAGAGCAACCAAAGAAAAAAGATGACATGAGGAAATGGAAAGTCGGCATTGCATCTGTGGCTGGAGCTGCTTTGATTGGCCTCACTGGCGGACTCGCAGCTCCATTGGTAGCGGCGGGCCTGGGAACTGTCATGGGCGGATTGGGCCTTGGCGCTACCGCCGCTGCTGGGCTTCTGGGTACTTTGGCCGGAAGTAGCGTTGTTGTCGGTGGTCTGTTCGGCGCTTATGGCGGGCGTATGACTGGTCGCATGATGGAGAAGTACGCCCGTGAAGTGGACGACTTTGCATTCATCCCGATCCGAGGAGAACGCCGCCGGAACGTGAAAGACAAGGAGTCTGCAGGTAAGGAGCCTGCAGATAAGGAATCTGCAGATAAGAAGTCTGCTGAGCAAGATCATCGTTTACGAGTTACCATTGGTGTCACCGGCTGGGTCAAGGAGGAGTCGAACTTCGTGGTTCCATGGCGGGTGATTGGTGCCGACTCTGAAGTGTTCGGTCTTCGCTGGGAGATGGAGCCTTTGATGAACTTGGGCAATGCGATCTCGGCTCTTGTAACTAGCGCAGCATGGTCGGTTGCCGGACGTGAGGTCTTGGCTCGTACTGTCTTCTCCACGATCATGAGCGCGGTGATGCTTCCTCTGGGTCTCATGAAAGTTGCTGGCGTCGTCGACAACCCGTTCAGCGTGGCCAAAGCCCGCGCTGACAAAGCGGGTGAGGTTCTCGCGGATGCCCTGATCAACAAAGCCCAAGGAGAACGACCCGTGACCTTGATGGGGTATTCTCTGGGATCTCGGCTGATTTTCTCCTGCCTCCAAAGTCTGGAAAGGAGAAACGCTTACGGCCTAGTCGAATCGGTCATTTTGATGGGCTCGCCCACCCCTTCAGACACGGAGGACTGGCAAAAGATTCGCAGTGTCGTAACCGGACGTGTCGTAAACGTGTTCTCTGAGAATGACTCCGTACTCGCTTTCCTCTACCGAACAAGCAGTCTTCAACTCGGTGTCGCTGGATTGCAGCCAGTTGAAGGCGTTCCAGGCGTTGAGAACCTCAACGTTAGCGAAATGATCAGTGGTCACCTGCGGTACCAGTTTCTGCTTGGCAGAATTCTTACCCTTGCCGGGCTTCAGGACCTTGATCCCAGTGAGATTGAACGTGAAGAAGCTGCTCTCGCTACCGAGGACGAGCGACAGGAGAAGGAGCGGTTGGAGAATGAGCGTGAAGCTGGTGTTAAAGACCGGGAATCATCTGCTGCCCGTGATACCCTGAACAGCCAGGATGGCTTTGGGGAAGATGCACGGTTACAGAAGAAGGTCGAGGCGCAGACTCAGGAGAACATGACGACCCACCGGATTGAAATGCTTGATATGGACAACAATGATTATTCGGGGCCTTTGAAGGAAGATCCCTCGAAGCATTCTGCCCTCTAATTGAGGATTTATCATGCTGCCATTCAGGCACATCTCTCGAATATACCTACCTCATTTAATACAACACATAAATCGTTGTCACTTGTCAACTATTGCAGTAAGAATGGGTTAAGCCCTTGATTTTCTGTTTAAATTATAGGCATAAAGAATTCGTAGTGAAACAATGATCTGTTGGTTGTTGGTATTTTTAGCTAGTTTCCCTCACACGATAGACATAAAGCAGATTCCAATATTCCAATTCCAACATACCAAACCAACCCATACTACGAATCATTCCGTCAGCCTAGCAGATATGATATTGCTACACCAATAATGACTATCCTTCGAGCTAAACCAAAAGATCACACGCATACTATTACCTTCGGTATGCACCAATAAATCCAACTTTGAAAACCTTCAATGGCCCCACAAGCTCAAACGGTGTATAAATGAACATATGGATTCCTCGACTCCAAGTTCCTCGGCCCGGTGTCGACCTAACCAATCCATATAGGCATGGAATTTTTTAAACTGGAACTTATCAGACCAGAACCTCGAAAGCCAGAGTTGAACATCACTGAGCTCCGAGACGCCATTTGGAAATAAATCCGACCACAATTCCGAGTTCCAGCTCGTATATATTCTTGACTTGTCATAAATCCCAAGTCCATCACGTATTTTTGACGTGAACGCATACATGGCATGGTGTAGTAGGATAAGAACGATGTATCTCTGATTCGATCGATGGAGCCAGGGATCTATGTTCATGATAACCGCGGGAGAGATAGATAATTGGTCTCGGAGTTGTGTCTCATATAGCGATTCCCAGCTTGTTCCGTCTTTAAACCAGTTTTTGTATCGCTCAAGACGAAGGAAGTTGGCTGTTGTGCCCGGTAACTCGTCCAGGCTGGTTTCTAGGAATATATTGGTATCGATGAGTGCATTTTCAATTTGGCGGACGGCTGTGTCTTGGGTCATGGAGAGAAGCCTCTCTAGTCTGAGCTCGATCCCTGTTTGATCAAATAAAGCCATAAGGCCCCGGTGTAGGGTTTCGTACTGATCATCTGACATCGCGGGTACATTTGTTGCGGGATCTTCCATCCATAGTCTCAGACGAAGGAAGGGTAGGATGACAATGTCGTAGTCAGGACGGTATCTGGGTCCAAATTGGATTGACTCCTGTAGACCCCCAATCTCATAAAATATATCTCTGTGTAGTCGCCATCGAGCTGGTGGGTCTGCTGATCGCCATGGACCATTTAAGGCCAGCTCTATAGTCGGCCCAGTCGTGGGAATCAGAAGATCGACTAGTGCATTGAGCTTTTGCCAAAGCAACACTAGTTGACCCGGATCTGTTGGATCTGGGCAACTGATATGTACTTTCATCGTCGTTTTTGAATGCGGGAAGTTCTGGAAATGCCTTTCGGCGTCCGCTCTGTTCCTGAGAGTCCACTCGATTTCCACGGCTCTGGATTCCAATCGTATGACCATCCACTCTTCCTCGTTATATTCTGGGTTCAGTGAGATATGCTGGACGGAGTTGTTGAATAGATGGGACGAAACCTCATTATAGAGGTATCGACTGGTGCAAAGAATGGATAGGGGGGTTGTCTGTGAGCAAGAGTGATTGTGTGCGGAGGGTCGAGAAGAGGTACTCCCATATCATCAAGCGGATTTCTATGGGAAGCCTGCCAAATGTACCCAGAAAAGGGAATAATAGCAATCTCATATTGAACAAATGAAAGCCGTTGAACGTGTTGATGATTGCAAAGTGTTAACGATGAAGAGGAAGAAAAGGAGCACAGTAGATCAGGGCAGAAGACCATTCTATTCTACTCACATAGTTAGATACATCGTCAAGTTTACGTCGAAGGTTGCTACTATGCCTCTCCGAGATGTGACGATTTCCCGATTCGGCACGGGGAGGTAGTCTCGTCAAACCCTGAAAAGACCACTTCAACTGACAACTGCGAATATTTGTATTTGATCTCAACTCATGCCTTCGCCACATGCACAATAATCTTTCCTCTAGCACGGCCAGAGCGAAGCTTCTCAAATGCCTGAACAGTATCCTCAAACTCGTAGACAGTATCCAGCTGAACTTTGACAGCCCCCTTCTGCACCCATTCCCCGATCTTCGCAAGATCCTCACGAGTATTCTTGAAGAAGAAGACAACATACTTCCTCTTTCCACCACCCAAGAAACTAGGCCAAAGCAACCTATCAACAAATGTCCCCATGCCAGACGCACCAACCTGCACAAACGTTTTCCCAGCCGCCAAGAAGTGATGCGACTCGCGATACATCGGCGCAGGGTATCCAATATGATCAACAACATGATCAAAGACAACCCCACGATCACGCAGCGTAGCAATCAAATCCTCCTCAACCGAGTAATCAATAACCTCATCAGCGCCCAGCCCACGACAAAACTCCACATTCTTCGTCGAACAAGTAGTCGTAACATGACACCCCATCTCCTTAGCAATTTGAATCGCGAAAATTCCACATCCTCCAGAGCCTCCGTTAATAAACACCTTATCGCCGGCCTTGACGTACCCAGCCAGGGACTGGTACGCCGTCTGTCCCGCAATACCGAGAGATGCCGCATGGTCAACCTCCACGCCCTCTGGCACGGGCGCAAGCAGATTAGCAGACGCCACTAGGTACTCGCCTAGCGAGCCGAATTGGCCGGGCTTGCTGAGGCAGCCGAAAACGAGCTGGCCCGGTGAAAACTCGGTCGCGTCGTCGCCGGTGACTACCACGCGTCCGCAAAAGTCCATTCCCGGTGAGGCGGGCATGCCGATCACGAGTTTGCGTGCTACTAGGCCCATTTCGGGGACTTTGTAATCGGCTGGGTTTAGGGAGGCTGAGAGGACTTGAACTAGGACATTGTTGCCGTGGACGGCTGGTGGTGCGCGTGCCGACGCGTCGAAGTTGAGGTTCTTTTCTAGGCCGTTGGTTGTGCTGGAGTAGAGCCAGGCTTTCATTTCTGAGGGTTGAGCAGATGCCATTTTGGGTTGGATATATGTTTGTTGTTTTGTGATGCTGTTGTGTTGTCACTTTTTTTCGGATGGCAATTGATGACCTCACCCGGACCTCCCGTTATCTCGCTTTACATAGTAGCGTCAGGGTTGAAATTATGTTCTGAATACATGAATAAATTTATGCACACTAATAATATCTATACTCATTTTCTCTTCAAGAAAGTCAAAGCTCCGAGTGCCATCGCATCCACACCCGCACACAATGTCGGCTGGATAACCGGCGCATAGAACGGCGAGTGATTACTGGGCAGTTCATCAACAGTTCCCTTAGCAACAGCATCATCCCAAGTCTCAGGGTCAGTTCCACCAAACATCCACATAACATAAGGCGCGCCCACAGCAGTCGCCAGCAAAGAAAAGTCCTCACTAGCAGTCGGAGGCTCCATATCAACCAGCCGATCACCAAAGTACGGCTGGAAAGTCTCACGGAGAGCATCAATAGTCTTCCCATCATTAATCGTCGACGGTGTGGAAGAGGTAAGCTTAATCTCAGGCTTCTGTTCAACCCCAGCAGCCAGACATTCAGCCTCAATAATGCGATGAATAGAAGAGCACACACGCTTGCGCACTTCCGCATCATAAGTCCGCACATTCAGCTGCAGATCCAGATACGGGGGGATGATATTCGAAGATTGTCCAGCATGAATACTACCACAGGTAACAACAGCCAACTTGCCAGGCGTGACCTCTCGCGAGACGATAGTCTGCAATCGCATAACGATCGCTGCCCCGAGAACGATCGGATCGATAGTCGTATGAGGCGCCGACCCATGACCTCCCCGACCAAAGACGCGCACGTCGAAGGAGTCGGCAGCCGTGAGCAGCGGGCCAGCCCGGAGATTGACCGTCCCCGCGCGCATGCGCGTTACATGCTGCGCGAGCACAAGGTCCGGCTTTGGGATCTTGCCGTATAGCCCGTCATCCAGCATTGCCTGTGCCCCGTCGAGTTTTTCCTCGGCGGGCTGGAAAATGCAAATCAAGGTTCCGGTCCAGTGGTCGCGCGCACATTGCAGGAGCGTCGCGGCGGCCATTAGCGTTGCGACGTGCGAGTCATGCCCACAAGCGTGCATTACGGGCTTGTTAACTCCGGTTTCGTCTTTGACGTGGCGGGTGCTTGCGTATGGTAGGCCGGTTTGTTCTTCCACAGGTAATGCGTCCATATCCGCCCGTAGCAGGATTGTTGGGCCGGTGCCGTTTCGGAGGACTGCTGCCACGCCATGGCCGCCTATTTTTGTGTGGACTTCGAAGCCGGCGGATTTTAGATGGTCGGATGCTATCTTGGCTGTTTGCTCTTCTTGGCCTGATAATTCGGGATTGGTATGTAGGTGACGATAGACATCTTCGAACGGCTTTAGATCTGGCCGGTAGCGATTGATGACGTCGCCCAGGTCATTGTTTTGGTTTCCTGTATAGGTGAGGATTTATACTTTACAATTGATCTAGTCTAGGTGGTTGTACCTTGTAGTTGCATGTTGGAGGTAGTATGACTGTATTCTGGTTGCGTTAGAAAAATAAATGTCCAGCCATTCCTTCATCCATCTGGGGTTTATATATCCGAGCAGATTAGACAATAAACCCCGTTATCAACTTCCAATAGACGGTAAACCCACATCGTCGGCAAACCCCTCGAATCATTTCCCCGCAATTGGAACTCCGCATGGCCCTGCTCGCCAATTGCCGATCAATGCCGGTCAATGCCGGTTTCTGCTCTATTTCTGGCAGAGTGCAGATAGTCTTTATTATCAACTATGGAGTACGTTCTGCCAGAGAATTCGACCTCAATATTGAGGTAGCAAACAGTTCAAAATATTTTGATTTGTCTCTATGTAATACTGAAACAGAAAATAGCAAATATATCAACCAAAAATGCAATAAATCGGCTTATCTTAACTACTGATAGCTTAAATGGTATTATCGCCCTTGGTATAAAAAGCCACCTCTCCTGATCGTCCTCAACAGCCCAGCCGGGCTAGCTCAATCGGTAGAGCGTAAGACTCTTAATCTTAAGGCTGCGGGTTCGACCCCCGCGTTCGGCTATTCCTAAAAACCAAACCTGAGATTTCTTTTTTTGCTCTTTTTAGTTTATTAGTTTTTCATTTTTGCGCAGGCTTCACGGGATTAGGCCCTATTTGGGCGAGAAGGGTCAATGTGTGCATGGTATTTGGCTCCCGAATCACCGTTTGCGCCATAGATCTGAGATATAGTGGCCAATCTGCAAAGAACATCCTACGTTTCATAACACATCTAGTAGTAATCTACGGGGGGATTAGTGACAATCAAGCAGGCGAGCTCGGGAAGAATGCACAACTAGCTAAGTAGGTAGACCAATATAAAGATAGCTCAGCTGCTCAAGGTATTCTGTCTATCAAAAAGCCTAGTTGATTTCTAATTGATTGACCTCATGTTACATACGGTATCTCGTACTTTCTCTGGAACAAGAACAATCAATTCACTCCTCTAAATTAGAACAAAGAACAAAGTAGCCATGATCCAGCTGATCCAACAAGCCGAGTGAGAGAGCTTTCTCTGACCCTCGTAATGAGAACACGTCAACTTCTCCTATCCACAACTGAATAGTTACTCATACACCCCCTCAGTAAATGACGCCTTCGGTGTCATATACTGCCACACCAACACACTCGCACCTAATATCCATAGTACGGGTTGAGAACCGAGTCCGTGGTCTTCTCAGTGCAACACTGACCGTTGATATTCGTACCAGTCGAATCATACAGGCAGTTATTGTCTCCAAAGTAGACGTCACCATAGGCGCGGGGCCAGGAAGCTTCCAGCTTGCAGCCAGGAGTAACTTTGTAGTCGGTCTTGTCGTCTCCATCGAACTGCGCGTAGATGGTCGCGGTAATGTCGCCAGTACTTTGGTCTGCAATGTCTGTTTTTATGGTAAGATACCGATCCACACAGAAGGAGATATTGAAAATCATGGAAACATACTGGTGTACTTGGTTTGAGACTTGCAAATGTTCTCTCCATCCACATTGATGCATCCGTTGTTGACGTGCTTCATGATTTCATGTTAGCAAAAGAATCCTCACACCAGATGCTTTGATTTTGTCACGCACCACATTAGTTCCAGCAGCGTTGTATCCTGCCGGTGCATCGCAGGGCCAGTATTTTCCACTTGGTGTCTCTTTCGACTGGATAGCGACGACTGCTTGACCGATGTTATCGCAGATTGGCAGGTTGAAGAATCCCGGGGTGCGGATTCCATTCTGGAAAACCAAATCACCCTCTGTGCCTGATCCATCAATAATCTTTGACAAGGCAGGCATTTCATAGCCATTTGTGTTGCCATTCAGCTGGTATGCCTGGTACGAGCTCTGGACGATATCTTCCAGAATGACACCGCCCCAGTCCTGGCCATTTAGTGTTTGATGGTTTCCTCCAGGGAGGGCCTTGAAAGGCTCGATGGCTTGAGCGGTAGAGACACTGATGACATAGAAAGCATCGTTATTGTAGCAGACATACCCGCCGACTAGAGTGCCTTTATCCATGAGATTGAGAATCTGTTTGTCAATTGACGTAGAACAACCTCCAGCCTTCCGCCTGCCGACAAAGGGTAACTGGTTAGTAACTTCCGTTCGTCATTTGTAAAATAAGGGTATCACTTACAGGATCCGGGGATAGAGGGTGTCAGGGGCTTGGGCCCAAGCCGCTGGAATTAACTGTCCGTAAAGGATCTTTTGCGCCTGGGCAGTCATCCCACTCAAATCCACTTTGGGCGAAAGTAGAAGCATGGATCCGTTGGCAGTCAAGGTTTTTAGAGAGTCAATTGAAGTATCATCACTCGCTCCACCAAAGAGTGAGGTGATATATCCGCTCTCCATGCCAGTCCAGGCCGAGAAGTAAGTACCAAGAGAGGAGGAAATGCCATTCTGGGTGCCCAATGCATCTTTAGCGCTGTTTGTAGGTTGTACATTAGTTTAAGGGTAAACCTAAGAAGGAAGATATAACTGACGCTTTCAATGAGTCTTTACCCATCGCGGTGGAAAAGGAAATGAGCGCTGCGTTGGTTACATCTTTGCCCATGGAGAAATACTTGGATGAGGCCATAGCGAGGCCTTTGAATGCTACAATTGTGATAACCCGTTAGCGCCAAAAACAGGTTGCGGCCAGAACATATACTTACCAATATTCCATGCAAAGGAGCTGCCAACGCTAGCCACCAAGACTATGGCATCGATAATGAACTTGATCATCTCAGAGTCGTCTTTGACCTGAGGGGCAAAGATGCTCGCAAATCTACCAATGTCATTTTGCATTGCATTAAGGGCATCTCCGAGAGCGTCATAAGTTTGTTGATGAAGCTGGCAGAAGGTATTCTTAGTTAGTTTACTGCCCGTGAAATTCAGGGAAAGGATGATATACCTGGTGGATCGAGGAGAAAGAATTCATAATCAGGTAACTGCATGCCCATGTTAGCCTTCCCTTCTGTGTATTGTATATTGAAAAGATCCTGTGTCCTACTCACCCAGCGGGATAGTCGGCCTGGTTACAGGTCAGCACCGTGGAGCAAGGAGTATTGCCGATATCTCCACAGTTCCAGTTGTCAGGACCAGTGAAGTAGTTGCTAATGAACTCAGGGAATCCCAAGCCACTGGCAGCACCAGAGGTAGACCAGGCATTCAGGGCTTCATCCAAGGCATCGTCGGCTTTGGCTGCATTCCAACGAGCAGTGGGATCCAGTGTCGCGTCGGTGATGTCGGTAGTGCACTGGGCATCCTTCCAAGGTGATGCGGCAGCGTCTGCCGATACGGCCAGGTTCTTTACCTTAAAGACAGGAGTTGCAGAGGGTTCTGAAGGAGAAGTCCTGACACTGCTAGAGTGAGGGACAGCAGATACGCTGACTGCGTAAAGGAGCGAAAGGGACGTTCCGAGAAAGACAGGACGCATTTTGAATTCAACTTTAGGCTGTCAAAAAGAAGTACACAATATAATGGTGTGAAGGCCTTTGATCCTTTTATACAAAAGATACCCCTATATTTGACTCTGTTTCCGACAAAAATAGACCAAATATGGTCCCAGTGGATGAACGATTTCCAACGCCCAGGTGACAATTGCCAATTTGAAAGACAATCTCATAGTTTTTGCCGCACCCGGGAATGCTTTGCCTTACTTCCCAAAAAGGAAATTGGTGAATATATTCACGTTCAATATCTTGCTATGGTATGAGCGTGGGGCTCAATGCTCCTCCAATCAGTTTGCCCGGATCTTCCACGTGGTGTGGACCTTATTTAAGTATTGCATACCTAGGTACCTTTTCTCAAGCGTTGATGTTTCATGAGCCATGAGCTTCCTGCTCTACTTTGTAACTTACGTTCCGAGTGACTATTGTCGTTGATCTAAGAGACTATCTAATATTAGCTGTAGGGCAGAGACCCTCTTTACGGCCCCCACAAGAATCTACAGCACAAACTCAGAACAAGGCACTAAGCAAACTACGCCCCACAGTCATCAAAGCACGATGTTCCTACGGCGATGCCAATTTGGTGTGAGATGTTACCTGGTGCGGCATTATGTTTCAACTTTGTGGAAATTGGGGAATAACTCCATAGCCGAAGCTGAGTTTTCTACGGAGTAGGGAACAACATGCTTCATATGATATAACTATACTATGTTCTATGTGCCCCTTTCTGGCAACTGGTTCCAAATATTGCTCCAATATAGTCTCACCCTGATTATTGACATTGCAGAGGCCGATGCGGGTTATAAATCACGAGGTTCCCGGCCTCACAATGAGTAGCTTTCGACTGTCGTTTTACCACCTAAGATTGACATCGATATCTTCTAGAAGGAGCAATGTATTTAACCTTGCGGCGTGCGGCTCTGAAATAATTGCACACGGAGCGTTGGGAAGAAACAACCGGAGCTGTGGGCTATACAACCCATGAGACAAGAATTTTTCGTATAAAAGAATACCACTAGTCGTGCCCACTGATCCGTGTCTGTTGGTAACATTATAGTCGAGGTATACTTTGCAGAGTAGGAATATGATCAACAGCATAAAGAAGAGACGCTCGTGCAATAGGTTTGAATAGGCTTCGCGTAGCTCACCCATGAACCGTGGGACAAACAGCTGTTCCCTTTCAAGGTTCCAAGGTTTTGGACGAGGACGGTAGGGTACTACCTACCTACGGTAGGTGGTTTTAAAATGGTAGTGTCCCATATTCCTGTTTCATCCACGTGCGGGCCTCAAAACGGCCCTAGATTTGAATCTATACATCTACTACAGACAACCAAATCTCCATCGAGGGGCCCTTTCACCCTGCAAAATCTCACCAGGAGGGCGCTGATTCAGCCTGCTCCCCAGGATACTAATCAAACTCTCCGACACCGCCGAAGTCATTCACCCTTGAATATGCCCTAGGACCCAAGGAGTCGAGTCCGATTCGACTGGGATAGATGCAGGTGCCCAGGTGATATCTACACGTTAGCTAACTAGTGACGAAATATTTCTCACGATAGCTTTGCCGCGACCAACAGCCCCAATATAATCACCTTTCGGTTCGCGAAGTTGGTTCATGTAGGAGTGTAGTTCATCGGCAATGGGTGGCTTCTGACTGGAGTCCAAAGTATCCCATGCTTTATCAAGTCGCTTGCCGGGCATGTAGTCCATCACGAGGGCAACAAATTTGCCATCTTCTCAGCGAATATCATGACCTTAGGTACAGGGATCATGTTCGCTGCAACAAAGCGCATTGTTTCCCTGTCTCCAGTTGATTCCCGGTGCGGTCAGGATAACGCAGTTGCAGGCCTCATGAAGATTGAGGCCGAGCCATCCTAGGTCATAGGTGATGATAAGAACCTGGAGGTCGCTGGCTGGGTCATTATATTTCTTCTTCAATACTTCTCGCTCTGGAATGCTTGGCTTTGAGTGAATGGCCCGAGCATTTACTAATGCTGCGCGCAGCACAGTCTCCATAAACCAAGCATTCAATGGGATGGAGTCCGCAATCAGCAGTTTTTGGTGACCTTTAAAGGATACTCTTCAGATATCTTTTCAGATGTCTTTTCGCATACGATGTAGAGCGTTATTTCGAAATCCATTCTGGAGTTCAACATTCATGTTGGCAACGTGAGCAGCTTCATCGAGCATCCAATGCTTTATTTCTGTACGCTGCGCCGCTCGCTCGCGCAGGTACAACAGACTGTCGAGCTCGGCTCGTCGATGCGGTCATTCCCATCGAAGAAGACGCCATTGTTCGCTGCAACGTCCTGGAAGTCTTCAGGGATGCTATTGGCTTCCGGAACTGGCGCTGCGTAGCTGGACAAGGTGATGTTGAGGCTATGGTTTGGTTTCCTATCTGGCAGGACGAGTGCAGGTTGGGTCGGGTGCGTTATCTAGCAGCCATCCTGCAGTATTAGGTGTGGAAGACGATGGGTATTAGCCAATGACGATTAATGATGCTGTGAAACGAGAAACTCAGCCAGAGTCGACAAGCACGCCCAAATGGCCAGGACAACAACACCATCAATTGAAACTGAGGCAGGGGGAGGTTGCAGAGGATGGAAGGGAAGAGCGAGAAGTGAGAAGTGAGAAGTGAGAAGTGAGAAGTGAGAAGTGAGAAGTGAGAAGTGAGAAGTGAGAAGTGAGAAGTGAGAAGTGAGAAGTGAGAAGTGAGAAGTGAGAAGTGAGAAGTGAGAAGTGAGAAGTGAGAAGTGAGAAGTGAGAAGTGAGAAGTGAGAAGTGAGAAGTGAGAAGTGAGAAGTGAGAAGTGAGAAGTGAGAAGTGAGAAGTGAGAAGTGAGAAGTGAGAAGTGAGAAGTGAGAAGTGAGAAGTGAGAAGTGAGAAGTGAGAGATGGAGGGTGCACTCCATAGCAGTCTTGTCAGCGAGTTGCTCGAGTAGAAGGGATTCTATTCGTACTTCTGTTTCACCACCTCGTCGGCGAAAGATTCGACTACTTGTTGTAACATTTTGGACAGTTTATGGTCTTCTACCTTGGTCATTTGAGAGCAGAAAAATGAATGAAAATGAAGCATCACGAGAAGAGTTAAGTATAATGGTAGTTCGTACTTTCCGGTCTTTTCGCACTTTCCCTTTTCGGGAGACCTCATACCTGAACTTCTTCCATTTTCTTCTATCTTCTACTTGCATCTTACATTTGACACCTTATTCTATCATCCTACAATCTTCTATCCAACATCTGAAAGTGCCACCTGCACTATTGCTGTTAGCCTTCCTATATGGCCGTGGATGCTATTCCAAACCATACCATCCAGCGGTTCATAGAATACAACTGCACCAATAATCAGTCTGGAAAATATTTCAGTTCACTAGAGAGAGAAAGAATTACCTGTAGCACCTACTAGATAATCTGGGAGCAAATAGGCATGTCCCATACGACTTCTTACTACCCCCTACCCTTTTTTACAACAGCCGTGAGTCTGAGTATGTATACTTAGAGCTTCTCGCCTTCGGTAGAATGATACTGGGACCATCACTGTTGAATGATGGCTGTGGTAAGTGTTGGGTTGTCAAATATTGGCTCACGATCCTGGCATTCCCGGTGATGGTGCGGCTTAGTTTGTCTAGATGAAAGGCTGATTCCGACATGCCGTTTAGTTGTTGATCGTGTTCGCAGTCCAACGGGTTTGTCCATGGCCGGGGTATATTTCAGCATCGTACCCTTGAGGAATTGCTACCGATGATTTGTAGGGTTCGTGGACGATCCTCGGGCTGGGCATACCGGGATTGATTTCCCAGTCGGGCCCCGAAAGACGAGTCGGAAATAAGACGGGGTTTATTCTGGCTACAGCTGAACGAGTTCGTCCGGTTCGTTTTAGGAGATTGAAAGAGAATCCTGGCGAATGGAGATAACCCGTCTCCGTGCCCTAACTCCGGTTCCTTTACGCATGCCCTTGCACCGGAGTGTGCCTCGACCAGATCGCTTCTTTACCGTAAGGCCACTCCGCACGCGGAATCTGTTCGATATCTAGATCAAATCTCATTTTCAGACCGTGAATATACAAACACGAACGATGGCCGTCGGATACGCCAAGGATCAGCCCGAGGGCTTCACTAACCGCATCGAAAATGTCGCGATTGTCGGGGTACGTCGACCACTTCACTCCGCGCTCAATCCACTTGCTATCGCCATTGGGATCGCTAACAATCTAAACTCTAGGCGGGCGGGTCAGTTGGAAGACATCTCATCGATCAACTTCTCAAAAACGGCAAGCATATCGTGACCGCAATCACCCGCCCCAGCAGCACCAACAAAATGCCCGAGGGCGTCCAAGTCGCTCGCGTCGATTACGCTAGCGACGATGACACGGCTATCGTGGAGGTCCTGCGTGGTCAACAAGTCCTGCTGATCACCATGAATATCATGGCTCCACCCGACACCATCATTAAGCTTATCTGTGCCGCCGCCAAGGCCGGGGTGCCGTATATCGAACCGAACTGGTACGGGCACGACGCCGCCAACGACGCTCTCTGTGACGATAGCCTTCTCACCCCCAACCGCGACCGCATCATTGCCGAAATCACGCGTCTGGGCGTCAGCGCCTACTTGTTCCTCGTCTCCAACTTCTGGTACGAGTTTAGCTTGGGTGGTGGACCGGACCGATTGGGGTTTGATTTCACCAAGCGCAGCTTCACCCTCTACGATGGGGGCGATGTGCCCATAAACACGAGCACTTGGCCGCAGTGTGGTCGGGCCATTGCGAAATTGCTGAGTTTGAAGGAACTCCCCGAGGATGAGAACGACCAGTCCCCCACCCTATCCCAGTTTCGCAACCGCTCCGTGTATGTGTCGAGCTTCCGATTGACCCAGCGCGAGATGTTTGAGAGTGTCAAGCGGGTCACCAAGACCACGGATGCGGACTGGACCATCACGCAGGGCTCTGTTGCGGAGCGGTTCAAAGAAGGACAAGAGGGCATGAAGGTGCACAACTGGAAGGTGTTTACCAAGATGCTGTACAGTAGGATGTTCTTCGCGAATGGTGATGGGGATTACGAGTCCAGGCGGGGTCTGGATAATGAATTGCTTGGTCTTCCCGTCGAGAATTTGGACGAGGCTACGGCAGAGGGGATCCGGATGGGTGAGAACAACGAGGTTCCATTCTCGCATTGAGTACCAAAATCGGTTGTTGAGACCACTTAAAGGTGGGGAGAGCTTTTAGACTTTGATGATCTTAAATGAACCAATGCATGGGTCTCTGCTCGAGCCTTTGGTGCAATCCTATGTCCCGCTGAAAAAGCCCCGTGAATATGGAATATGGCTCATCAGATGGTTGAGGACATCAATTTGTCGTATAAAAAGTCTATTAGTTGCATATCAGGCTACTATGACCTCCCGATGGGTTCGTCATCCCTGCCGGTCCGTCACCCTATCAAAACTTCAATTTTTGGGTTGGGTTCTGGGGGCAATTTGCAGACGGTTTGCGCTCTAAAACTATCTCCAGATCCCGACGCCCTCCCTGGGAGGGCCTCGTCGCCGTCATCGCGGAGCGAGGTTCCTGATCAAGCATGTCGCCTTAACGTGGTGTTCTTACGGGTTAATTAACTGTCCCTATGCCACAACCGCCCCAGCGCTGGTGTATGGTCTCTCGGCGAAACCAAATAGATATGAATTCGACGAAATCTCTCCTGGTACTCGATCCCTCGAGGCTACACGCTACGTATCTCTCCTTGGCCCACCCTACCCTAAGCCTACGACCACTAACTATGCCCCTATGGGCGATCCTACCAAACGCGACCATCTTACGTTCAGCACCAGGAGAAGGAAATCCCCGGGTGTAAGACTTACAGAGAATTTGCTAGATATTGCGCTTGCAGCTATTCTATGGGTGTATGAGATTCGACCACCGATTGTGAATGGAGCGGGGATGGACATTGATCTGAGTGATAAGGTGTACGCGGACGCAGGATTTACTATGCCCAAACCGTTTGCTGCACGCTTTATTTTGAGGACTGAAAATAGACTCAGGATCCTAAAAGACCAGTGGGAAATTAAGCAGAATGGAGGCTACGAACTGCGAGGGATACTAGTGGATGTGGACGGGATGATGCAGTTGTAACCATGCAAAATCACACAATACGGATTATTCTTCTCCCCAAAGTCAACTCCTCAATGGGGACACCGGCACCTATTCGGTAATATGCATTCCGGGATCTTACGAGCAATGCCTGACTCATTGTCTTCGTGCATTATTCCTGCTAGCAGAATATCCTGTTCGAGCTACCTAGCCCTTTCCAGCCCCGCTGCAAAGTTGTCCTTATAAAATTTATGGTTGCCCAGAACTAGAAAGACCAGCTGGAAGCGATCAGTTTGCTTTTGCAAGAAACCGCGATAATGGGCAAAGAGGCAGTTCACAGGTCCGGCGTTTACACAGTAGATCATATCCCCTTTCATAGTAGCGATATGATTGGCAACAAACCAACTATGTAATTGCTTTTGATCAAGGCTACCATGGTAGATGGAAGAGGGGAAGTGAAGGGGAAAAAAGCCCTGGAAGATTCAAAATGTTGATCACTTCGAATAATGGTAACTGCTACCGAGTACAAAGCGATACTCAAGGCAGACGAGGGGTAGCAAACCTTGAAATAAGCCATCACACTGTTGCGATCAGCCTAGGTGGCAAATATTGTCGGTACATTTCACTCTCATCCTGTGATTGCACTACGTTGTAGGCTGCCATGCTGGGATAGTAAATGGGTTAACATACATGGAGTAGGCCTCTACCATTCCCCTAGATCTCCCGAAATCGAATAGACAGTGGACAGATTCTGCCTGGATGGATTAGGATTAGGAATCATATGTAAGCAAGTCCAGGATAGCGAGATAAAACTTGCCCGATGGTGCAGCCACTGTATTTAACATTCAGCCGAGCAATATATATTAGTAACCTTGAGTATTTTTTTTCCAAATTGTCAATATAGAGTCCCACATCGAACAGTAGGAAATATGGCGTGTTTACTTCCTTGAAACGTGTATTCCATGCCTACATACACTACGGAGTATAGTCTCCAATGATCCATGTCCAGCTGAATGACAAACCTTGTCACGTCCCTATCTTCACAAGGCGTTCTCTGCCTTGCGCTCGGGCCTATTTAAGCCACAAATGGCCAGGATTTTACCCTGTTAGTTATACATGATGAAGAATTTGCATACTGCATGAATGCGTGTAAATTACGAAGTACAATTTGTTTGTCCATGCGTAGGATATGGATTCATCATGCAGGCAAAACATAATCTTCCGCTGATTTGCCTGTCAGGCAGTTCCCAAGTATCGGCCCGACCCACTAGTGGATCTCAATGGCTACAACAGCCAGTCAGCTTCGAGTATGAGCTGAGGAGGCTCAAGCAGAATTTTTCATCAGCAAAAAAAAAGAAATCTCAGGTTTGGTTTTTAGGAATAGCCGAACGCGGGGGTCGAACCCGCAGCCTTAAGATTAAGAGTCTTACGCTCTACCGATTGAGCTAGCCCGGCTGGGCTGTTGAAAGAGGCCGCAATAATACAATTGATATTGGCGCTGCAGTAGGGTTAGCTCAGGCCATAAATTGGTCGGCGGTTAGTATGGGAAGAATGAATGGATGTCTCGAGGGGTACGGAGTACATGTTGACACGTTGAACATATCATAGGGATCCATGAATAAAGAGTCCGGCGTGTGATGAAACAGAGCACGACAAAAAAAAGAACAATCTGTCTTTTTGAGGTTGTCGCGCGCAATCGGAGGCTCAGGCCCCCTGCTATAAACAATGTGGCTTCCTGGTGCCTGGGAGGTAGGGAGAGAATGTATTGAAGAAATGGTAGCCTGGCGCGCGCGTCAAGCGACGTTAATTGAAAGACCTAGAAAGAGATGGAAAACGAGGTCGTGATCGAATAGGGACCCTTGGCTTGAGGGCCGGCGGCGCAGCGACAGGGAGAAATTGCGAGGAAGCAGTTTCCGAGAAAGAAGACATCAGTGGCTGGTGTAGCGAATCATCAATCCGAGATAGCGAAATTGGTGGCTGAGGCTGAGCAGTTGTCCTACATTGGGAATAGGCTGCAAAATGCACTGGATGAGAGGTATTGTTTACCTTGTGGCTTGCGGCTGAGAGGGGTAGTTGAGGCTGGTGAGAATCCCCAAATGTTGGGGTCCAAAATGAACAATCCGAGTTCGCGCACTATTCTTAGATAGTTTGAAACGCTCGAGTATATCCAAATATGGAACAAGAGAACAGTGCTCGAAATCCCAGCGAGGTGGTTTGGGGAGTTCCAGAGTTGTCTCGGTAGACGCTCATCGCAATGCGGCGGTTGCGGGAGCCTATGAGCGTGGGGAATGGGTGGGCGGGAACCCTACGATCAAACACCCCCTTCTGAATGTACTGGCTCTAGTTGAATCTTGAGGTTCTATTTCCAAATGTCAAGTCAAAACGGTTGCAAATGACGCGAACCTGAGGCCTGTTCTCAGGGGGGGGGGGACAGTGGGGAACACGAGACCCTTGTCATGGCGCAGGAACACGAGAAACATAAGCCACACATCTTTGGACAGGTGAATGATATGCGTAATCAAACCGAGTAAGACGGTTAATGTCATGGGGATAAGGCTAGAAAAACAATAATGCCTTGGAAATGGAGTCGGGGACCGAAAGGGAAATAGTGGGAATAGGTTGAAGAAGTCATGGTGAAAGTTGACCGTGAATTAGGAGAGTTTGGCCAATCAGGGGAACGACAAGGGCGAATACGGCGGTGTTTGAAGCCAAAGCACAGCCTCACTAGCCACAGACAATACAGATTGGACAGTGTGACAAGAATAGTACTTGCACTTCCCGTGTGTTTAGCGTGATGCGCTAAGTATTATGGAGGTCGTGCAGATCCCTAAGGCCCCACTAGCGGACACCAGACTCTCCAGGCTCCAGGGCGCCATCTATAGAGCCTGCATGACACTTGCATAGTATATAACAGTCGAGGGCCCCTCCCCTTTCCACTAGAATATCTTCCTCAATCTACATACATTTGACATACACTTGACATTTCACATTCCATATCTATTGTCACACTTAGGTTTCACATCCGATCATCTACATACGGTGATCATCTACCATTTTCGCGTGACCCCCCATAAATCAGTCACAGTGTCGCCCTACCGCTCGACCTCGTACACCGTTGATCGCTCGACTCACTTAACCTCCACAGAGAGATCTCCTCCCCGTCTGAGTCTGACACGACGCCTACTTGGACTACGCCGTACCGACACAATGCCCGCCCCCATCGACATAATAGATCCTCTCGCCGTCGTGCGTGACCTCTACGACGACGAGAAGCTGGTGGTTGACGACTTCGAGCGTCATGCTGGCCACTGCCGCAATTGCTCCCACGCTGTTCAGACATACAAGGATGGCCTTACACTCTGCGAGTCGGGTAACACCCGCGCCCGCACTCTCCACAACTACCTCTTCAGCCAGAACGGCAAGCACTTCTCTACTGTGGACTTTGAGAGTGGCAAGTCGACGCGGGTGAAGCTGCCCCGGGATGCCTTCGCTGCCCGCGAGCTTCTCACAGCCCTCGAGCAAGGCATGCGCATCCGCGAGAAGGCCGTCGTCGTCCAGAACCCAGTCCAGCCCGTCCAGTCGGCCCAGTCCTCAAGCTACGACCGGACCTACCCCGTCCCAGCTCGTAAGGTCAGCGGCAAGCAGACTCGTCCTCGCTCCATGTCCCCCGAGGCTTACCAGCTCATCGAGAGGGCCCCGCGCCTTTCTCGCTCGCCTACTTCCATAATGTACCGCTCGCCCGGTGGCTCTCCCAGCCGCCCATCCTCCAGCCGTGGGTCATTGTACAGCGTCGACCGACAGGAGCGTGTGGAGCGCCACTACGAGACTCCTCGCCGGTACGTTGAGGGCTCCCCCAAGCACCGTTGAACGTATACCTGGCGAGATACTTGGCAACGTAACTGGCAACGGATTTCAACTCTGGCTTATTTGATTACGATCATACACACACCCCCCACACCAATCGCTTTGAAGAAGCTTCAATTCACTCGCGATGGGCATTGATTGCCCACACCCACTTTGACCGCGAGACGGTCTTTGCCGGTAATGTGGAATTTAGCACATTATCGGCATACACCCCCCCATACCCCAGTCTTTGATGATCTGGATTGATAGGGCCTGCCTGGATGCGCCCTCGGAAATTCACTTTTCTGTTTTCCAGCTTTGATCTTTGACTCGAGTGCACGTCGGGGTTCTGGACTTGCGGGATTTCCTAGTCTCGGACCCCGACTTGATGGTGACTCGATCAATTGTTTTTGATTGTACGCAATAATCTGCGGGCTTGGCCAGGCCCCATTACTGGTGTTCTCCCCGAAGGAGGATGCAGGTGTGGGGACATTGGCCAATGACAGATGCGGAAAGTCGACGATGTTCATGCATGTGTTTTCTTCAGTTTTACTGCATGCTTTATTGGCTATTGTTACTGTGACTCACTGTTTTTAGGTGGAGAAGCTTGTCTCGCTGATGGATTTGATTTTTTTGCCATTTTTTTCCTTTGTCTTTGATATGATGTTTGAAATGCGCCCTTTTGGGGACTAGGCTGTCAGCCTTACACTCCTTAGACAGCTCCCACTCTGTGGATTAGATATTTTGCACGCGTTACGATTGAAATATTAAATGTCTTACCAGAAACACCAACCATCTCTCAAGAAAATAATTATAGGATAAGTCCTACGCACTGAGACATTGTGGTATTTCATCAGCATAGTTCCTAGATATTCCAGTCATGAGGCTCCCCCACGTTGGTCAAGCCGCGACGATCATGATACCCACCCACACCCTGTTTTCCCCACCATTTACATGCATTAATTACTCTTTTAGAGGTTCTTACAGTTCTATACATGACTCACTGCGGGGTTGTGGCTGAGGCATTGGAATCATCTGCCTCAGGCGAGAAGGCAGCTTTTTTTTATCCTATGCTTATATCACCTGCACAAATTTTCGACGCCACGTGAGTTTCTTTGAAGATGACGTCGCAAATGATATCAAAATGTGATCCCCAGGCGCAGAAGTAATATAAACCAGAGTCACCAGCTACACATTTTGGTTGCTTCTCGACTCCTGATACTATCACAACCTCATCATGATCAGAAATAGGCACGGAAATAGAATTTGCCTAGCCCAAGTCCTCACGAGCTAACACCACCAATCTATCACTGATAATAATTCGGCACTTTCAGTCCTTTGAACTCGAACGAAGTATTCTCTCTGCGATCAATCACAGTTTTATGATGAACATCCCGAACACGAGCTCGAACATACTCAGTCCCCGTGGGGGCAGGGTTGCTTTGGTTTTTATCTTCTTCGGTTAGAAGACCAAGACGTTCAAGCAAAGGCGAGGGCACAGTTCTCATCACCGTATCATCACCCGGTCTACAGAAATAGAGCAACCCAAGACGGGGGATATCGATCTGATCTCTGGGAGGTGTAACGACACGATGGATCGTCGATTTAAGGAAGCCTATCGTCCTGTGTTAGCAGAATACTTTTTTGACAACAGATGTGAGCACTTGCCATTGGTAAGGAACGATAACGTGTCAGCAATATTGCACGTAATCCCACCTTCAACAGGCTTCACGTATTTCCATTCCCCGTCGGACGCCCGGATCTGCAAGCCAGCAACATGCTGCGAGAAGAGTAGTGTCAAGCTGCCGAAGTCCGTGTGACCACCCTTGGTATACGCCTGTGCCTTGTCCCATTCCTCTTGAGTGCGTGTGTTGTAGATCATGTATCGCAAGTGGTCATCGGAACGCTTGTCGTAGGCGTGGGCTTGAACTAGGTGGTCTTCTGGCAATTCCAGGATAATCGCCATCAAGACAAACAGCTTGCGGATGACCTTGTCGAAAAGATCTCGATGGAAGCTGGCAATCTCGTCGTAGTTCTGACGGACAATCCTGTGTTTAGGAACATCATCCCATGCAGGGATGGCTTTGGGAATATTGAGCTGCACAAATTAGCTCGATCAAATCCGTCATGCAGATAGGTAAGTTTCGGACCATTTCTATATTGTCTTTCACACCTGTTTCTCCAATCCACCTGGAGTTTTCACGGTAGCCGAAATATTCGCCTTCAGCAAAATTGCATTCGAAGCTTCGCTTTTCCTCAAGATTCTCTTTGAAAAACGCATTGCCGATACTGAATTGGCGTAGGATACGCTCGTCGTCGAGTCCGTGTCCGACCACTACCCAAAACCCGACTCGTGTCACGGCATCGTATAATTGCTTTGCGAGCTCTTCCTTTCCGCCAGGTTCATCGAAACGAGAAAGATCAATCTCGACTAGTGGTGCCCAATCAAGCTTCTCATTAGTAGGCGCAGGTCGGCTCCATGGCTTGACGGTGGCCTTTTCGATTGGGATTTGTTCTTCTATAGCAGAGGGGGCCATATTTGCTTTAGGATAGACAGCGACAGTGATGAACTAGGAAGATATTCTAGGCGAGAAGACTGGACTTATATACCTAATCCTAAATAATTAACTCTGGGATCTACAATTTACTCTTGTCGTGAATATTTCGTACTCTGTGCCGTACATGCGGGGTTTATGGTATCATGCTCGCTCAGGATGGCGTTATATGCCACCATATACATAGACAGGATAACGCTTCCCATCTAGAGTGCTGGCGCTTTTATGAGGGCGCTCAGGCTCAGGCTGAGTAGATGCTAGTGCGGAATAGCTCAAAAATGAAAAGTGTTTATCATGATTTCTCGTGCTACGCCGGTCGAATATCTGCATAGTTATGTCCACGGTATCGTCATATTTTTTTTAAACAAAATACTCAAATAATAGGACAAATGTACCTAACTTGTCCAAGTCAACGAGAGTACGAATTCATAGACGCGTTTTAGGTGCGATCCCTCACTCAGTAGTGGTCTTGAACTCTAACTGAAATGACAAGAATGAGAAGTTCCATTGATAACCTGACTAAACATAATATGCCCCTGGGCACTTCCAAGCTTTTTTGTGTTTCGCCAACCCAGTGTCACCTGAGTTTCTGCGTAAAATACCCCGTATTCAACCATTCAAAAAATATGTTATGCGTGAAGCTAAGGCGGTGAACCCAACCCCTATCTAAGCCTAGCAGAACCAGATGGGCCACGACCGGCATCTTGTGCGTTCCTATAAGGCAATTGAGCCTCCCGAGAACCCAAGATGATTCCTGAAGAAGAGACTACAAGGATGAGGGCAAGCCATGCGAAAGTTCGCTCGGGCTGCCAAACGTGCAAGTAAGCTTATATGCGGGTACTAACAAGATCCCGGCAACTAATATATATTACTCTCCAGAATTCGCCGCAAAAAGTGCGATGAAACCCACCCCTCATGTCTCAGGTGCACCAGTACGGGACGGGTATGCGAATACGTGGAGACTCCGGACCGGCGTAAACGTGCCATGCGAGACATACAGCTCCTCACTCCGGCCCCCGACTCGGCCCCCGACTTGGCCCCCGACACAAGCCCCGTCACGGCCCCCAACTACTTCCTTGCACGACGCTTACTGGATCCAAGCCAAGTGGGTCTTTCACACGTCGAACGGTGGTACCTTGATTTATTCAAGACGCATACTTCTAGAAAATGCACCGGGTCTATGATCGATGACTTCTGGCAGCGACTCGTTCACACGGTCGCCGAGGAGGAACCTGCTGTGCGGCATGCAGCTATCGCTTTGAGCTCTATGCATTGGCAATTTATGGAAGAGTCCGCCGACTCTTTCAAATCGAAGTCTCTTTCTGTGGCTAAGCCTAGTGGGAAGAAAACCCCATCTTTCACTCTAGCGCAGTGCACCAAGACCCTTGTTTCTCTACGACAGAGACTAACGAAGGGAGATACATATACCACAAGCAGCTCGCATAGAGAGGCGGTTCTTGTTGCATGTATTATGTTAGTGTCGCTGTCTCTCTTCCAAGGCGATGTTAAAGCCGTGACCTCGCACCTACGGTCCGGTTATAGTGTCCTTATGGAATGGCAGAAGGTCAATTTCGACGGGAATCCCTCGGGGCTGGTCCTAATGCGCGCATTTTCAGATCTACAGCTACACCGGATTACATTCTCCCAACCACAGCATGATATAGAATCAGAAGCAGACGATTTACCGCTCTGGCAGGCGATTACCGTATGCCGGCCTGTACATGGGTATTCGGCAATGTCTGAAAGTGATTTTGCGATTGTCCTTGGAGCAACTATCACGGCGAATTATCCACTGGGATTCCAACACCGCATAGGATCTAGTTTACGGGGGTTGAACACTGCCCTTGCCGATCTACTCTATCAGAATAGGGCAGAAAAGTCGCTTATAGAGAGATTACTGAACTGGAAGCGCGAGTTCCATGCTTTCATCTCGGTACATAGGGATACCTTATGGCCACAAGACCGCGGCCCGATAATACTGATCGAGCTATGGACTATGGCCAGTGACATAATACTTGCTTGTCTTAAGAATCCCCTGGATGAGATGTCTTATGACTCCTCTTTGCCCCTATTCCAGCGGATGAACGAGTTGGCGGCGCTTTACTTGAGCTTGGCGGAGCAAGCTTCGATGTTCTCCACTAAACCTATGCTTCTACAAATCCTGCATTTCAATGCCACTAAATGCCGCGACTGGCATACGCGTCGGGAGACATTACGCCTAGTGCGTAACTCCCAACGGCGAGAAGGGTTCTGGACGTCTGATCATTTCGTCGCTATGTTAGAATACGTTATCAAACAGGAGTCTGCTGGTTTGACGCCTAATGATGTGATTCCGCGTGCAGCTCGTATTGATCTTCTGCATCTCAGTCCTTTGGATCAGAGCAAGTTCAGTGTATGGTATCATCGACCTTACACCCCCGAGGAGGTTGTCGATGGTGCTGATATCCATGGAAAATGGACAAACGTGGTGCTATCAGCTTAATGGCACCAACAAGTCGAAAGAAGGGGGAAAACCCCCAATCAACCAATAAGCAAAAGGTGGTATCTGGAACTTTGGCGGTTTTTCGTTGGCCAAAGGAGTGGTCATGAACAACAAGGAAGGGCTGTGACGATACTATCTGGCCAGCTGATCTCCCCCTTTGCTCAGGTCGCAGTGAGTTGGGTCAGGCTATCCAGGCGACGCCGTGAATGGGATCAGGTTGCATAGGTCCTAGTGAACAAAAAGCGGCAAGAGGTGAGCACTAAAATAGAAAGTGAAAGCCAAGATTTGCCAGACATTAGTATACAATGGCATTATCATGCTGTGAAATGGGGTTAAATCATAGTCAATGAAACTCGGACTCAATAAAACAGAACTTAATACTGTGAACTGAACATTCCGTTTAAATGTGTATAAATATGCCCAAAAGACCAAGTGGCCATTGTGTATACTAACAGTGCAAACCCCTGTACTAAATCTCAAAATATGGAAGGACCTGGCATGATAAACGTGATTAGACAGCATCTTAGAGGGAATCAAACCGAGGAAATAGTGATATTGATGATATTGATTTGGAAAGGAACATGGTATCTCTAGAAACTACATAAATTCTAACCACTTGACCGGGGGCCTGACGACGAGACCAATTATGCGCTGGATCGGCATATAAATTCGTCTGCAAGTACTCTTTCCCTCTCTCCATCGTCACATATCTCACTTCAGCATGTTATCCAGCGACGAGGTGATATCCCTCGCGGATCTCATGCGCCGTCACCGCGATCTTTTAGTTTATCCCTTACTCTGGAACTCCCGCTATCTGGAAAGGACGGAATGTCGCTTCCAACATGTTGACAATGCTACGCCTACGGAAGATACTGGAAACGAACAATGATCTTTTGAGGGAACAGTCAATCAAGGCTAGTCGAAAGCTCAGTCACTTGTCAGGAGCTCCTGGCTAGGTGGGATGACATTAAACGCTCTTGAATGCATTCTGTCGTCCGAGAAGAGCATCCTGGACGAGTCAAGGTGAGCCACAATGCGAAGTCCAGAGGTGGACTCTATCATATAACACTAACACTTCATGTGAATAGAGTGAGGCCCGGCCAAAGTTCCTAGCTTTATCGCGAGTTTTCGGGTCACTCCAAAGGAATGGAAAGAGTATCCCTATCTTGTGCGTATCTTATTGTCTCTTGCCCAACTTCAGGAGCGCCTTCTGAATTCCAAAAGGCCAACAACCCATCTCGTAAGTGCACTCTGCCGATCGATCAAGCTTGCCTTAATTTCCAGCCACTGACTTACCCTAGCTGACATACTCAAGTCATGTTTTCTCGTAGAAGGCCTTCAGGAAATTAATCTATCTTTACCAGGCTCGGTTCACCTCGAACCCGTTAGTGATGCTTGCCAACCCGACAACTGGCTCAACTCAATTGAACCTTCCTACCATCAAACGGAGGCAAATTTCGCGCAACTCCAACATGGAAGCGGCGAAGCCTTCTGGCTTCCAGGCCGAGTCGCAAGAGCCCCAAGGCACGACATCAGTCATCACCGAGGAACCCAGCGATGGTTTAATCCCAGTGCTATCGCTCATTCCCACTGAGACCTTCGAGGAACAATTGGCTGCACTAAATCTTCCGTCTGTTTCGGATACGAGAGACGAACTGATCTTGACATTATCAATTAACACGTTAAACGAACGTACAACCTACGAGCAATATGATGACTTCATCTCTGCATGATGAAAATCAAGCTTGTTCATAGAGGAATTATCCCCAGGTATATCATTCATTGATTCCCCGCAATTAAAGCTTTTTAGACTATGCATGTTGCAATCCGAAGTAATAATGAGCAACGAAGGTTCAATTAAACAATTTGTAGACGTCTCCGCGATAGGCACATTTGGGGGGAATATGTCGTGATCCAAACTATCATGGCACCTTGCCCTAACAACCCGTGTCGCCAAGAACGGAGGGGTCCAAGTAACGTTTAAGAATAAAGGCGTTTCAAGGGAAATAAGTTAAATTTTGCTTGTTCGATTAGGTGAAATTGTTCAAAGCAATTCATCCTGCGTTGAACGGATCTCAGGAATTGACAATATGGCGATGGATAAGCGCGACGAACTGGAGGTAATTACCTCTAGTATACCCTCAACTCCGCCCAATGAGATCAATCGCAAGCATTCAGAAAATGAATATAACGCCAAACTCGAGAAAAGAGTGATACGAAAGATAGATTTCTGGCTCGTTGGGTTTTACTCGATTGTATACATTTTCCGTGTCATTGATTCCAACAACTACTCCAACGCCGCCATCATCAATCTGGAAGCCGGTACTGGAATCAAGAAAGAGCTCAATTTCAGCTCCTCACAATGGGCCTGGACACAATCCATCTTCTCCTACAGCTACCTCTTTTTCGAGCCCACCAACACCATCCTTCTGAAAAGAGTCACGCCCTCGAGATGGATGTTCGTCTTGATCTTGTCCTGGGGTATCTGCGCCTGCGCTGCTGGTGCCGCACAGGATTTCCCCGGGATGATGTGTGTTCGGTTCGCAATTGGAATGGCCGAAGCCGGGTTCTACCCTTCTGTGCTCTACCACATGGCATTCTGGTACAAGCCGTCTGAGCTGCGCTGGAGAATAGCTCTTTTCTACTCTCTTGGTCAGGTGTCTGGCGCATTGAGTGGGCTACTGGCATATGCCATTAGCTATATGGATGGAGCTGGTGGGCTATCAGGCTGGCGATGGCTGTTTGTCATCGAAGGCCTTCCAGCAATCGTGTTGTCTGTGGTGGCGTTATTTGGTCTTCCGGACTACCCTGAGACTGCCCGCATGTTGACAGAAGAGGAGAGAACTTTCATTAAGGGCCGTCTATCTTCTTCAGCACCCTCTGGCAAAGACAAAAGCTGGAGCTGGGACGATGTTAAAGCATTACTCTCAAGTCCAACGCTGTACACATTCACGATTTACTGGATTGGGCATGGTATTGGCGGATTTGGAGTGAATTACGCCTTGCCCACCGTTATCTACGAGCTTGGATTTACTACGACCGCCTTATCACAGCTGATGAATATTGTGAGTTGGGCTCAAAAACGAACTGATTTTCAAGACATTGCTAACAGAGCTCGTAACCAATAGCCTCCTTATGTCGCATGTTTTTTCTTCCTGAATACTCTCGGGTATCTACTTCACAAAGGATGGATCAGGCCCTGGACCACCGCTGTCGCAAGTAAGTTTCATTCCTCCGAATTGCGGATGGGCTCCTACTAATAGCAAAAACAGTTGAAAGCACGATAATCATCTGCTACATCATTCTGATTACGGTTCCAAACTCAGTCGTCAAATATGTCGCGTTGGTTGTAGCTACCGCTTGTGCCGGATCTGCATACCCTGTCATCTGGCCAGAACGTATTCGTGCGCTTGAGGGCACAGTGGCCGTGGGGATTGGTATTGGACTGACGAATGCTATGGCTCAGTTTAGTGGCATCGCCGGGCCTCATGTATACAGTACGGTGTTTGGACCGACGTACCAAGTGTCATACGTTATATGTCTTTGCTTCCTGTGTGCGGCTATATCTGGCATTCTAGCTTCGTGGTGGCTTGTCTGGCGGAAGGATCGAAAGAATGAATTAGACGCTGGGCTTGAACAAGATGCATGATGATTCAGGAGACAACATTTATTTGTTGTGTGACACTTGAGATTTATATGAAGAAAATGGATATACCGTTAGTCTATAGTATTTACAACGAACGCATATAATTATTCATCTTCCTTATCTCTCTCTGCCTTTCCTAATGAGCATATATTAATTCTAAGTACTGGTTCTACAAGACTTGGAGCAAACCATACTGAACTGAGCCCAGGCTAGCATATTTCTGTCATTTTTGGTGTCCTGATTGAAACCCGGAGCTCCCTTATAGGAAACTGCCATGCCAGTTGGAACGCCCAACGTTGGAATCCATGTTTTTATATCTTAATAACCCCGAACTAAGCCCTGGAGGTCAGCAAATTGTGACAGTGGAGAGTGTCGATGTAGACAAGCCTTGCACATAATATCCTCAGGGACACAGCCAAAGCAAACAACTTCAGACCCTCTCACCCGTGATCAGTCAGTCTCAGCTACGTGACCTGCTGTTTGGCATACAAGCTGTCCCTATTCAGCTCTTCCTTTTAACGCATCCCTCCTTCTCCAACCTTCTCAACAACCTTTCTATCTCACATATGTCACGCGACTGATCGCTCATCACAAAGCAAGTTGCATTTTAAAGGCCTCTTAATCTCACTTGCTTGACCCTCCACTCTGACAACTATGCCACACACGGGTCTCATGGACTTCCAGGCGCTCATCCTGTGTGGCCCTGGGGGTTCACTCAATACATTCACCTCCAGACCCGAGGAGTATCCAAAGTGCCTCATTCAAGTCGCAAACAGGCCTATGGTATTCTACGCCATTGACTTTTGCAGACGATCAGGTATCACTGGTAAGTCCGAATCCTCCCACCCTCTTGGCCCATTGAACTAGATTGGCTTATTATATCCCAGATATCACATTGATCACCCCTCCAATGTCCTTCCCTCCCCTTAGGGCCGCCTTGGACCAAAACCCACACCTGACATCATTCTACTCGCCCTCGGTCTCGATAATCGCACCAAAAGACCTCGAGATGACAATGGGAACTGCTGAGCTGCTCCGTCTCCCCGAAGTCCAGAGATGTATCACCACCAACTTCCTCCTTCTTCCCTGTGACCTCATCTGCGAAATCCCCGGTGAGTCAATCCTCGAGGCGTGGATTGCCAATCAGTATGTACTCGACGACAGCAGGGATTTTAATGGAGTTCACCATACATCCGCTCCAACCACTTCCTACTTCGATCGTCAGCTGGAAGCTCGCTCCGGTGGTCTCGCCGTGTACTACCAGACCGACAACCGAGAGGAGAGTATCCAGGAAGAAGCAACCGATTTCATAGCTATTGCACCGCTCCAGCAGGATGAAGCACCTGTTGTCCCCGGCCCTGAGGGACCGCTGATCCCACGGTTCAGCCTCTCCAAACTCCTCATGTCAACGCCGATGGATACAATCAAGGAGAAACTGAAACAAGACAAAGGCCTGCTGATCCGGCATTCCCTCATCCAGAATTGTCCGCGTATCAGGATGCTGACCACCTTCCGCGATGCCCATGTTTACGTCTTCCCCTACTGGGTCAAAGACCTAGTCCACTACCAGAAGAAACTGGAATCCGTTAGCGAGGATTTGGTTGGCACCTGGGCCAAGTCAGCATGGCAGAGGGGTCTCGGCGATAAGCTAGGATTGACCAAGAACTTCAATGAAGATACCACCCCTAACGAGGAGCGAGAATTCACCCCCGAAAGCGATCATACTGGCGCATTCGTCGACAAAGTAATCGACATCAGGGACATGAGCACTACCAGAACGCGTTCTAACTCCGAACTTCAGCCAGAGCAGTTCTATCAATCTACTGAGCTGCCACAAATTCTCGCCTACGTGCACCGAGGATCAACCCCGTTCATCCGACGAGTCGACAACACAGGCGTCCTTCTTTCAACCTCCCTTTTCCTGGCAAAACTCCCATCTATCGAGGAAGTCGGCCGCACGGCAGCGTCGCCTTTCGCACACTTCCATAAAGTTGCATACCCTGAAGGCGTGGCTTCGCCTAGCACTATTACGAAGAAGGATTGCTTGCTCGGAGAGAATGTGACTGTTGCTTCGGGTGCTGTTATCAAGGAGAGTGTGATCGGTGCGAACTGCCAGATTGATGGCGCTGCCCGCATCATTCGCTGTGTTCTCATGGAGGGCGTTGTCGTTGAGTCCAGGGCTGAATTGACCGGATGTGTGATTGGTCGCCGAGCTCGGATTGGTCCTGAATCTGTGCTGAGGGGGTGTGAGGTCCAGGATGCTAATGTCATTCCGAAGGAAACGAATGCTAGGGACGAGAACTTTATGGTTTCTGAGGAGTTGTGTGTCTAAGGGGGAATGATGTGCTGGAGACTGGAATAGTATCCATTCCATTTCACTGGTTTATTCGTTAACAATATGAAATTGTAGTTGAGAAAACGGAAGGAAAAAAAAACACTTCATGATCAAACGATGTGCCTCCCTTAATGCGATCTTACGTTTTATAAGATGGGTTGAGTGGCAAAATTAGGTTATGCATCCTCTCTCTACACTGTAGAACAACGCCGCCACTGCCAAAATTATACTTGTTTTCCAGCTCTTCTACGAATCAACTTAGATCAATCACGAAGACAACAGTGTTGCCTATATTGTAATACATATATTGTATATTCTAATCTCTCTCTTCGAACTGTATACGATAGCGACAGTCATTCCTCCACAATCTCTCCAGCGAACAGGCGTGCAGTTTATTGCCGTAGAAACCAATGCCACAGTGGATTGATCGTCTAGCAATATTCAACCCAGGCATCGAGGTTCATGTTCTTGATGACAGTCGAGAACTTGCCAGCATTGGCTGCGTTGCAGGCTGATGTCTTCAACGTGGAGGACAAAGCGGCTCTGGCTCGGAGTTTGTGGTGACCGTGTCCGTATCGGTGAGATTTTTCCTTGGTAGAATCGGCGCTGGCCTCCTTTTTCTCGTTGTCCTCATCGTCTTCATCCTCCTCATCTTCATCCTCCTGGTCCTCATCTTCTTCGTCATCAGCATCGGTGTCAGCGCTAGCGTCGGTGGTACTAGTTGTGCTGCCAGTCTTGGTGGCATCGGCTGTGCTGATTGCAGCGGCAGTAGAAGTAGCAGTAGAAGTAACAGCAGTGGTAGCAGCAGTGGTAGCAGCGAGAGTGGCAGTGGCGGTAGCCTTGCTTTTAGTGGTAGTCTCGGCGGCCGAGTCAGAAGTATCAGTAGAGCCACCAGACTCAATAGTCTCCCCAGCATATTCAATATGGAAAACCGGCTTATTGACTTCCGTGAAGGCAGCATAGACCTCACACTCGTTATACTGGGCACACTGCTCATTGACCGACCACTGCATCTTGTCAATAACCGAGCCGATGATATCACCACCATTCTTCAACCCGATCGACATGCCACGGGAGTGCGACTCCGCCGCCAGGAAAGTCAAAAAGTCAACCGAGTCGGCCTCCGTCAACCCAAGACCATTCTCATTGTTATACGCATCAATGTTGTCCGGGTCAACACCATCGCAGCCCTTCTGCTTCGCCATATCCAGACGCGAGCTCATGACCGCGCGAGCCTTGCTCGACTTGATATTCAGCCAGCGCTCGCCTGGCCAGTCATCGAGGTTGCTGCCGAGGTCCGCGGTGTCGAACTTGCTAACATCTGGGCGCCAGTCTTCGTACGTGCCCGCCGAGAAGTAGCAGATGACCTTGTGGCCTTTGCCATGGAGAGTGGTGATTGTCTCAGCGGTGTTGTCGAAGAGGTCGATGTCCCAGATGTCGGCGTCGATGGTGGTGTCTTCGACAGCGTCGATGAGTTGGATTTGCCATTTGACCCCGGCTGTTGGTTGCCAGATGGAGGTGTCGCTGGTGCTGGTGGTGTCGCGCTTGACCATCTTCTTCTGGCTGTGTCCGGATCCGAGCTCAGCTCGGATGTCCATCCCGATGGCAAGGAAGAAGAGGCCCAGAATGCAGGATACAATGAGCTTTCTTTTGGCCGCTAGGACCTGCCAGCGAGAGGGTTGGGAAGACTTCATCATTTTGATAAAATTGGTTTAAATTGAAAGGAGTGTGTAGAAATGAACGTGTGTATAGAAAGGAATGTATGTGTAGAAAGGAATGGATGGACAACTTGAATCCAGCAAGTGTCAGGAAAAGGAGAGACTGAAGGATGGTGATGATAGAATGGGGGGCATCATGAGTACATAGATACCCAGTACTTATAGTCCTAGAGATGTCGGTCAGAAGGATTAGAAAAATTTGGCGTATACCTTGCATCTAGGGGTTTCAAATTTCCACATATGGAATCGAAGTTATACAACATAAGGCTGGTGATCGCCCAAGATGATCGAATCCCGAGCGGTAGGGCCGTTAAACGGAGCCAAGAAAAATGGAAACCTCGTTATTTCGGAGATCGGGCCCAGTAGAATCGATAGTTTAGAGCAAATAGTGGATCAAACTGAGGATGATCAGTCCGGAAGAGCATGGGAAATATGAAACGACTGCCAAGAAACGCCTCGCGGTAGATGTAGTCCGTTCATTTGAGGATATTCTCCCTTTGAGTGAAGTGATGCAATCATAATTGGATCCTTCGGCCCCCGATACAATTTTGTTTAGCGTCAATATGTTCCAATCGGAGAGTCCGGTAGGTCTCTTAGGCGTTGTCTTTAATTAATTTGACACAGGTTGAGATCTATAAAGCGCTATGCTAACTTAACCTACTGTATCCTCAATTTCCACTTAAGATAAAACATGAATTTGAAAAGGAAAGATGCGTCTCGGAGAATTGCCGAATCTTGAAATGATCTGTGCGAGTCCACTTAGGAAATGAAATCGTACAAAATACCCGATCTCAACGGCATTAGCGTCATGCCTTAATAGAGTTGGGCCAATTATATAGAACCACGCCCCTTGGCCACATGGCTTCTGGCCCTATTGGCCCCATTGGCCCCCGTAATAGAGCCAAAGGAGTCAAGAAATATCTCCGGCTTGTCTTGGCGCATTGCTAAGGGCGCTTACCTTTGACACAAACAGGTTTCCGATTTCATACAGGTCTCCTGAGCAGTCATGTCCAGTTTCTTTTTCGTTGATTCCTGAATATTTCTGTCTATGGATGTTCATCTCTGACATTCCGTAAATAATAGAGAAGTAGTCAAGTTAACTGTATAATTTGACGAAATCCATTATAAACATCTTGATTCTCAACTGTATCCACATGTCCGTTTGCACCGCATATTTGTTTCAAACCAGACCAATCTAACGTGCATCTCACACCTGTAACTAGACTATTGGCCGTCATACACCTCATATCCATACTTTCTCCCGATATGGTCCTCCCGCAAATGCCTTTGTCCAGGCCCATACACCCTCTCCCGCAGTGTACCACTCTCACCCAGGGGCGCGTATACCCCTCTTCTCCTTAATTCTGGCACCAGTAGCTCCACAACATCCTCAAAGGTCCCGGGAGTCTGCACATATCCAATATTAAACCCATCCAAATCCGCCACTCGAACCCATTCCTCCAAAAAGTCCGCAACAGTACTCGCAGAACCAATAGGAACAGGCCCAGCCCCACCAATCGAGATATGCTTCCCAATATTCCTTGGTGTCCATTGAGGCACATCGGGACTCTGGTACGTGAGCGTATTGATCGTGGAATGAACGCGGGCGTCAACATGCACATCTGACGGCGTAATAGGCGTGTCTAGACCAATCCGGCTAAGATCGATACCGGTTCCACCGGAGAAGAATGCAAGACCTGCTTCTTCGCTGGCGTATTCTAGTGCTTGGCGGTACTTTGCCTGCGCCTCTTCGTCCGTTCGGCCTACAATTGGTGTGAGGATGGCGAATACTTTCACTGATTTGGGGTCTCGGCCGAGCTTGGCGGCTTCGTCGCGAATGGATTTGATGCGTGGTGCGAGGATGTGCGGTGAAGGGGCTGAGACGAAAATTCCTTCTGCGTGTTTCGCACCGAAGGCGACGCCTGCTGGAGATGTGCCTGCCTGGAAGAGAAAGGGGGTGCGCTGGGGGGATGGGTCAAGGATGTGGGGACCATCGAATTGAAAATGCTCGCCGTGGTGGTGGATGTATTTGATTCGACTTGGGTCGGCGTATACGCCTGTTTGAGCATTCTCTTGGAGAGCGTCGTCGGCCCAGCTGCCCTCCCACAGTCTATTGCAGGTAAGCACTTTGTATGACTGTCAATGGTTCACTGTTGCTTACTTGTACAATGCGGTCAGGTACTCGTCGGCAATTTCATACCGCTTGTCGTGGTCTACCAGAGGCAATCCCACCTATGGATGTCAATTTTGGGTAAAAAGTTCTTCAATGGGTACACTCACAGCCTTTGCAGCAGACTCCTTCCACGAGGTCACGATATTCCACCCGAATCGACCACCCGTCAAATGATCCAAAGTCGAAAACCTCTTTGCTACAACGTATGGAGCTTCATATGAAGTAGAGGTGGTGATCGCAAAACCTAGATTTTTGGTGACCGAGGCCATTGCGGAAATTGGCTGATACATATCATCAGCAACCCAATTGGATAAATGAAACTGACAGCTAACTTACTATCGAAGGATCTCCCATGGGATACTGAGCTCCATTTCGAATAGCAGGTTCTGCGGTCCCCTTATACGTGTCATATAGACCATAGGTGTCGGCGAGGAACAACGCATTGAAATCGCCTTTCTCGAGTAATTGGGCAAGATTCGTCCAGTAGGACAGGTCTCGTCGCTTGGTCGCTGACTTATCGGAAGGGTTCCTCCACTGACCGAAGGAAAGATGGCCTACCGTGAACATGTCGAAGCCATTGAGGTATATCCGCCGCTTGGGTGGTGAGTTTTCAGCTGACATTGCGAATGGATAACTTCCAAGCCCAAGGCTCTATTTTACTTTCAATGTATGCAGTTTGATTAGATGCCTCTGTTTGACAGTTTTCCAAGTCCAGGTGTTGCTATATGTTGATATTATTTATCTGCCCTGTTCAGAACGACCCCGCTCGACGCTCAGCTGCTGCCATCCGTACAACAAAGCACGAATACGCAACCCTATCGCATCATATATCAAAAGGTTCTCGCCAAGCGAGATAAGCATAGCTCTTGGGCCCGTCTGGAACGGAAGATGTCCGAATAACGTTGTCTACAACGGGATCGCGTCATTTACTCTTGCAAATACATTTGACAGATTGAATCTATTCCTACAGATACTGGAATTTGAATCTGTTAGGTCTGCTTTAAAATACTTCTTGTGGTGTTAATTCAATGATATATGGCGCAATCAGCAGATCGGTACCTGATTGATACAGACATTGCCGCAAGCCTTACAACCATGCATGCCTCTGTGTCAGGGGTATGATACCATATGGCCTAATATCTCATAAAAGAGGCGAGATTAGATCTATAAAACGAAAAGCCATATTCGTCAACATATACAACGACCATTTTTTTAAATTGACATTTGTTCTATTCCCAAAATATTCCAAGTTGTTTCGGAGCGATGACGGGCTTGATCTCACGCCTAGAGAATGCCACAAAATGGTTCCCTCCTAGTATGCCATTGGCAGAGCGACAACTGGTTCGGAAGTCGGACTGGCTTGTTCTTCCATATGCCTGTTTGTCCTTTTTTGTCAATGTCTGGACGTCTCGGCATTGAGTTGTGTACCTCATAGGCATACGAGAGTGAATGACTGACAAGTTAATAGCCAATGCGTATGTTTCTGGCATGAAGCAGGATCTCGATCTTTCCGGGAATAGGTTGAATTATATCAATGCTGCATGTGAGAATATTGCCCTTCTGCCTTCTTCCTAGCGGATCAAAGGTATCTATTCTTTGGTTATGCTGACGCTAGTTGCTATGCAGATGAAGTTGGTTATGTTGTCTTACAAATCCCCAGCAATATGGCCTTGATCAAATACCCGTAAGCCATCAGTATTCTAGGAAATAAGAGGACTATAGAGTCCCAGCTGATATTTCCCACAGGGCACAATACTACCTCCCAGCCGCGGAGATCTTCTGGGGTCTTTTCACCCTCGGAACGGCCTTTGTGCAAAGCTACCAGCAATTGGTAGTAATGCGATTTTTCGTAGGGTTGAGCGCCACTTCGTGTCATGTGGGCCTGGTCCACGTAGTCAACTCGTTCGTTTCGAATCCTGATTACAGGAAATTCAAAGCATTCCACTAACTTGGGGTTACAGATGGTATAAGAAGCAAGAACTGGGACGTCGGAATGCACTTTTCTGGATTGCAAATCCCATTGGCCAGATGTTTGCAGGATACCTACAGGCCGCTGCATATACGAATCTCAACAATAATCACGGTTTACAGGGTTGGAGGTCAGTTTATCACGGCATGTCAAGCATTTCAATGGCCCTATACTTACTATATATGGACCAGATGGCTTTTCATTATCTGCACGATTATCACAATCCCCATCGCTTTGATGTAAGTACTCGGCAGCATCGAATGACCCTTGAAATTTGCCCAAGTATCCAACTAACATGAATATCCCAGCGGATTCCTAATCTTTCCCGACATGCCAGGAGCGCACAACATCCCGCTTCCTCAAGACAGAAGAAAGAGCCCTCGCCAACAAAAGGCTACAGGACGAAGGGTTCAAGCCGTCTACGGGTCTCGACAAAACAATCATCAAACGAATCTTCACATCGTGGCGATTCTACGCCTTTGTGCTCCTTCTAGTCATTTTCTGCAACATGACATACAGTGAAGCCACACCGTTCATCCTCTGGCTCGACTCTCAGCCAAATAAGTATCCCGTCGCCCTTGTGAAACAACTTGTCTACTGTCACGAATGGCGCGGCAGTAGCTGGTGCATTGATCATGAGCTTTTACTCTGATATTCGTGGATCTCGAACCGAGCCTATAATCTTGTCTGAAATACTGTGCATTTTTGCGAATCTGGTATTTTCAATTTGGGATATCCCGGATGGTCTCAAGTTCTTCGCTTATATATCAGTGGGATGGTCTTACGGGACAATTCCAGTACTGATTGCCTGGACTGCAGAGGGACTTGCTGGGGATTTGGAGGTTAGGGCTATTACCTTTGCTTCCTATAACTGCCTTGGGGAGATTACTAGTCTGGTTGTGCCGTTGGTGGCTTGGCCTGTATCGAAAGCACCAGGTTTCCGTGGAGGATTTATTTGGGTATGACCGTTGCTGATTATTGTCATGTCTTAAGAACTAACCAGTCATCTTCTTTATAGGCCATGATAATCAGTATTTTCTATTTGTTCAATGTCGCTTGGATTATGATCAAGCAGAAAAGGAGCAACAAAAGGATAACAATGGCAGAGGAACAAGGAAGCGGGGAGGAAGACACTGTGGTTGCAAATCAACTGACTATACCTGGAGAAGTTACCAAGTTTTAAGAATAGTTATGCGGTAGAGTAATGAAACTATGACGACTAAGTATTTAGTTCCACGTCGTCTTCAGTGTCATCTTCAGTGTCGTCCTCCGTGTTGTATTCCTCTGCATGAAGGTCCCCCGACATTATCGTGAACCATTTGTGTCTGTGAGCCGCACGAAGAGCCTTTTTTTCAAGTCCATCCTCTAGCTCTAGGACTGATTTCTCGAAGGCGTATAAACCTGCGGTGAATCGCAGTGCGTCCCGCAACGCGATGCGATCCTCTTCCGACAGGAGGAGGAATAACACGACAGTCCAGTATTGCAATGGCTGCGGAAGCTCGGGCATGGTTTGTGTCCAGAGGGCCGCGGCATCTTGATCCGAAATCGGTCCATGGGTCGATTTCAGTAGCATTCTAGCTGCGAAGTTCGAGTTGCACACCGCGGCTAGAGCTTCCAGTCGACTTGCTGTTCGGTGGAGGATTGGGAATCTTCTTGTCGCGCCCAGTCTGCACAGCGTCCCCATGATCTATAAGGTGCTGGTATCCTGCTTTAAATAGATGATGATTGATGCGGGTAGAGCTATGTCCTCTAGTGAAATTTGTCCTATGCCGCGGGGTGTGGGGGCGGTAGAAGTGCTCGAGGTTGGAGTATTGTCGTGTGCTTCTTCACCTGCTAATGCACGCTTGCGCCTAGGCTCTTGTGTTTCGGGTAGTGATCATCATAGTTGCTGGTATCGTCGGCTGCGCGTGTGCTTTTTTAATCTCTGCCATCTGGTCGATAAGAAAGAATCAGAATAATAAGAAGGTTGAGGATACCACCTGGGCAGAGGTGGTGTTTGGTAAGGGACACAGAGGACGTGAGGGAAGTGAGAGAGAAGCGAGAGGAAAGAGAAATGAAATTGAGAGGGAGGTGAGCAGGTGAAAGGTGAAAATAGGTGTACTCTCTAGCTAGCGGAGAGGCGATTGTGGTTGCAGATCAAGTGAATATGCATGGAGAGATGATGAAGTAAAATAACTGCTGGATATAAACTTGGCTGCTTAAAACAATCGCCCGAGTATGTTTAGACGAAGAGGCAAAGAGTCGCAAAATCTAGAGATATAAATGTAAAAACTAGTTTCACAACGCCTGCAGTATTCTTCATAAGCAACTTTTAGCATGAAGAAGATGTGGACGAAGATGATCGGTCTAGTTCTGTGCCATTCTATAACAACTGGTTACAGATTCTCATATTATCTCTAAAGCCAACTGACGAATTTTAAACCACGATGGTCACAAGTTTCAGATGTGACTGACACTCATGGAGCTCTTGCCGGAAGCGAACTCGACCCGAAAATGCAGATTGCTATCTTTGGGCTCACTGTCCGGATGATACAGACCTGTAGAGCCAGTCTGCTCAACAGGCAGCTGCAATTTCTCTAAATCCGTAACCCTTGGTATCTGTAGTGAATGCGAAGACGTCGCAGAGAAAGCAATCCAGACATGCGTATCATCTCAAAAGAGCAGCCCGTACTGGATGGCTTCAGCCCCTCTGAATTGCACATATACGTCACCGGATGAGTTTAATCTTATTCTCGGGCTCTCATTTAATTTGATCAGTTCTGAGTTGTCGAGCGGTTCTCAGTATTCGGCTTCAGTAAGCAATACACCATGGATGTCGATATCGTGGGCAGATGACAGTTATGAACCTGCTCCCGGGCCTATTGTTTCTTTCTTTGCAGCAAAATATTCCCAATCCTATGTTTATACGGACCGAAATACGACGGTGCCTGCGAAAAAACCGGTGATGACAGAATGTTCAGTCTACTAGTGCGAGAGAGAGTACACACACAACCATGTTTCGCCCGAACATAGGACCCCCCAGTTTACCAAAAGTCAAAATCTATGGGTTGGATCAGTTATTGGTGATAGTTTCACAAGATCTCTGAATCCTTTCAAGGGGCAAAAGACCCTATCCGGAAAGGTGACTGACGATGTTAGCAACCTGGCCCCTACCGCAACCTTGTGAAGTGTGATACGTAGCCACCGCGCTTTGTTTTCACTTGGCATGTATGATGTGTTGTACACTAAAATTAGACATCGCAGTGCGATGCTGTTGCTTCTAGCGTGGACTATTCATCGAGTACTGTAGTAAAATGATGTGTAGAATACTCTAAGATAAAAGCAGGTTTGGGTTTTGAGAGAATACCAAGTGAAGTAGCGGGAATAGTTAACAAGTGTCTAGCAGAAAAAGTGTCAAAATCTCGATCCATGTATGTGACCAATTGAAACATCGACTCGGTTATTTTATTATCCCTATTCCCAATATTTCTATTCATGGATCCAATCTAGCGACATAAGCCATGCAATCGATCATCTATTTATGGATCTAGTCTCATGCAGTCTTATGGAGTAGTAAGATGACTAGTTAACTACTCCGTACTATTTACATAACTATTACCGATGCAAGGTGTTGGACTAAAGAATCTGGCACGTGCTTGGCTTCAGTATCTAATTAACTAACCAAAGTGTCGCAAGGAATATCTGTGTCAACCTCCTGTAACTATAAAATGGCTCAGAAACTTTTGGCTAATAAACTCTTCATGAACGTGCGAGTATTTCCTCACTAATTAGCTAGGTGTAGCATAAACACTAGCGTAACATCTAGCTAGCTACGGAGTAGAAACACTAGGTTATATCTCCTTACTGCATTTGTTTTTACAGGCGATGAAACAACCACTTATGACGTGGACTTGCCAAATGCCACGCACCGTTTGATATAATATTTTACGCGGAGAACCAGACCATGATCATTTTATCTGATGTGCGGGGCTTGTCTTAGTGCAGCGCCAGGAAAACCAAAGCGCGACCCCACCAAGTGACTCTTCGCTTTTCCAAACGAATATGCCAGTTTCTACAGCTTTTGATCGAGATTACGACTAAGTATTTCCGAAAACTATGAACAATTTGAAGACAAACACAGCGGGGGGAGCAGAGAAATGCTCTCCTTGCTTTGCTCTGAATCCAGGAGGAGCTGATTGTCGTCAGCCTCCTCGAGAGCCAGGTCATCAATATTGCCCGCAGCATCACCGAGAATACAAAAAGCTTTACACAGCTTACAAAGAAGCGGAGAGAAATTACAAACATGTAGACATCTCTAAAGACGAAAACGAAGCAGATCAAATTAGAAAGAAGATATCACAGGGGATCAAAACCATCGACCTGAGAACAAACATGAATCACCGTTTTTACAGTCACGGACGGGACAATAAGAGCCATATCAAGTGGATCTTGAAGTTAGTCGAAGAGGTCAAAGTTTTAGAGGACAAGATAAACTCGTTGCAAGAAGGCCCCGAGACAGAAGAACCACAAGTCCGCCTTCATTATCAGTCTCTTCTATCGCATGAAGTCCCATTTTCCGCATTGAACCATTTGCCAGAAGACTCCCATGTGAGAATTCTAAAAAAGGCCCTCCACGGAGTCACAGAAGCCCTTCTGAATCGACTATATAAGATGGCCCCATCACTCAACGATTCCGGTCCGATGGTCGAGGACCTTACCGAGCATACTGCCAGAGAGCCCAACGAGGGCGATTACGTTATGCGATACGTACTTCGCGAGTTCCTATTATGGCAAGGCGACAGAGAAGTCCTCCTAAAGGCGAAAAAAATGGAAACAATCGACTTTTTCCTACGAAGCGTGCCTTGGGTTCTTCAGAACCTCGTGAAGTTTTTCGAGTTACTCGGTAGACCGGACACGTTACATTTCCTCCGCGACGCTGTTTTAGATTTTGCTGTTTCCCTTGACGCACCTGATCCGTCCTCTGTTAGTATTCTGGGCGGCCCGATTGTCATTGACAAACTGCGGAAGATGACCGTCCGAGAATGGGATATTGTATACTCCCATTTCTCAAACGTAGTCGATTGGGCAACTATTGGATGTCTCTGTGTTGATTTCGAAGAAGTTGTCTGTATCAAGCGACTTATCGCGCTGGGAAGGTACACCGATGGCGATGGTGACTCTGGGTGGTCCCACGAAGGGCTCCTCTCTAACGGAAACCCATTGGCTCTATTTCATGGATTTGTGGCCGACACCAAAGGTTTCGCAGATCCTCCTATCCCAACGAGTGTTGTGGAGAGCGGTGTAGAGACCCAGAAACAATCTCGCTGCTACCTTGGTGGGAGAATGGCAAAGAAAGATCCTTTAGCTCCTCTCTTGATACAAGAGCTCGTCAACCGTTCGGCCCGCTTTATTGTTTTCGTGCTGGACAAAGAAAAGGCCGGCGACTTTGCCGCGCAGATCATATCTTGCAACGAAGACCAAGATAAAGTGCCTTGGATTACGCGCAAAAGGTCAGCCATTGTTGGCGAGTGCTTGGACGACACGCCATGGACAATAGAATGGTCACTTCAAAACATCATCTCGGATCTTGCAACTCTTCGATTTCTGAAAGAGAGAAATCTCAACGAAGACTTTTTTCAATTTTTTGTCATTGATCGATCCTCTGGACGGGACTTCACAATATTTGATGAAGTGACGGATGCTTTATCTTTGCTTGCTGGAGACCTTGCTCTAAACGAGGTTGTTGGCGGATTCATTCGAAGCTACTTACCAAGTGACCAGCAAGAGCAATGGCTGAGTGCTCTCATCATTGAGGACTCGTTTTCATGGAGTATCAACCCCGGAAATCTCCTATACGAGGGAAATCGCACACGGGCTTGGGATGTCCTCGACAGAGATCCTAGCTTTCTTTCAAGTGTTCGGAAAATGAATACCACTCACCAAGACCGCCGATTCATACATCAAATGTTATCTGAGATGGAAAATATTGGCATTATAAGTGTATTGAAATGTTTTGAGCCCTCATTTGGTCATCCTTTGGTACTTGAAGGCACCGACGGACATGAGGACCTCTACTTCTCATATTACCTCAACCCTCTCAGTGAAAACACAGTCTCGAAGTTCGAAGGTGTCGCTCATCATCTTTTCACCTCCCTGTGCAACTTCCCTCGAGGGGTTAAAGCAAAGCACCCGAGCGCAGTCTTTGCAAAGGGTCGAATTCATGTGCACTATTGTGCATGGCCTATGACTCCAACAACACGAATTGCCCCATTTAGAACTCATGAAGGCCACATATACAAATGGAACTATGTCCCATTTGATTATCCGTTGGCATCGCACCTATGGCAGGCCCATGTTCAAGCTGTCATGAACAAGAGATTCCCATTTGTGCATTTCTATCAAACGACGTTCATAATATCGGCAAGCCACCTGAGTGGTGCAGCTAAGAACATAAAGATTTTGACTGAAGCTGCCAAAAAAGAAGGCTGGAAGCTTTCTATCCCAGATCCAAGGAAATGGACAGCTGACGTAGATGAGCTTGAAGCTCCTAATCCATGGAAAGGGATCTCACCGGTAGCATTGAAGCCTTCGTCATAGTATGTTTCACAGACAAACAGGCTCTCTGTTTCCCACCTTCTCCGTTCATGATATCTTCTTGGAACAATAGCTTTGGTGGCGTGCCGTCTTCTGCAGATGGACTGATATCTGTCAGGCATCGGCACTAGCAGAGCTAGTCAATGACGTTTTGTTCATTTCTCTCAAACCTATTAAAACTATAGAAAGCATTACCTAAGACTCGATGAATTGTAGTCTTTAGTATTGCGGGATGCATGGGATGCAAGGTCGATCCTACTATATAGGACATCCATGGATGCCATGCGACCGTCGACATATGATGGAAGCACCACGATTTCTTCGGCACAAGACCATGCCATATCGTAGCTGTTCCACTATTATGACTATTGAAACCAAATTGGATGTTGGGCGGAGGAGCCTTCACTTCTTGGCTATATGATTCACAATTAATATGAATTAGTTTAACCCCTGGTCGTCTCTTCACATAGGGAACAGGTCTGCACCGGCCGTTGTAAACTCCATAAAACATACGTATAGACCGACCATGGCCTTGTTAATTGATCAATTTAGGATGGGTAGATAAGAATTAGTGTGCGCTCGTAGAGAAAATTTGAGCATGACCGATGCAGACCTATCCCTAGTCAGGATCATGAAGACACGATTATATTCTACTTGCCTCCGCTCGCTCACAGCTTTAACTTCTCGGCTTCACTTTTTTGCTTCTCCATTCCACGTATCTGCACATTTTTTGTAAGGCCTTTTCGGTATTTATTTATATTATTAAGCCTTACCACTCCCTATTCCTCGTTAGCTCTGCGATCCTGCACTAACAACCTATACCTTACTGTATAATAGCGGGTGCTTTATAAACCTGCGGTTCTAGCTATATAGGTGTATGTCAGAGGCATGGGGTCTGGACTATGCACCGTTCAAAGTCCCTCCAAAAAGATTACTAGTGATATCTGACCAAGATACCACTCCAGACTTTCCACTATGTAGGTCCAACCCAATCCAAGCTACCGAGTTGATTATGTCAGCTGGCAGACTCTGCAATTGAAGATGCAAAATCTCTTTAAAAGCAGCCTTCTGGCACAAGAGGGGGACTCTATATCGGATTCATCTTTTCCAGAAACCCAGTCCGCCTTTTTGTTATACAAAAGCGAAAACCTTACCCAATCAATCGCCGAGATGGCTACAGGTATGACCGACACTATTCGTTCTAGTGACATGGCTTATCGGCTTTCTGGGAAAGTTTACGTCAACAGCACGCTCATTCACGTTCGTTGGCCATGGATTGTTCGTCCAGTTGCATCCGTGATCCTATCTGTTGCGCTTCTTGGGGCAACGGCGGCGTCGAGTAGGAAGTCCCATGTAAGCTTGCGGAAATCTTCTTTTCTGCCCTACCTTGTCGGGCAGCTTGAGACCCACCCAGATCACAATCTAGGGCGTCTTATTGATAACGTGGACGAGATGGAGGATACTTCGAGAAAGATTCAAATTGTGATGGAAGGTTGTGATCCTCTTGTGTTTGCTCAACATTAGAGAACTGTGTCTTTACGCAGTAGTGGTAGCCTGTATATCGCTCAGCGAGGGGCCAGGGTAAATGAAATCTTCTATGCCATGTGGATACTGTATATCTAGTAGAGAATGTAGCAATTCTAGAGGTAGTGGTGCTGCAAAAGGAAGGCATTAAAAGAGCTGTGCATTGGAGTTTCGGGTATGTAATAAACAACATCATACGTAATGCGGTCGTCCTAAGTGTATTATTCAATAAGTCTATTCTTAGAAGATAATTATTACTATAGTCTTATCATAAGAGCCGCACGCTAGCAGCCGGGTCGCCGCGCTCGCACGGTCGTAGGGTAAAGTTAGCAGGGTGAACTTTTCTAGTATTTACTAGTAGTTTATACCGATTTACTAGCAGGTTACTACTACCTTTCCATGTTACTATCTACCGGTTCTTTTCGCTCGTAGGGTCGCAGGGTAAAAAATAACTAGGACTGTTGGGACTGTTAGTAACCAAATAGCATACTAGGCTAGCTACTTCTAAAAAACTACTTAAATTTACCCTACGACCTCAGGGGGGGGTTTTACTTAATAGATGTGTTAAAGTATTATAAGTTATAGATTGAATGCTGCATGTAACCAGAAGAAGGAATATTCAACAATGTATGTGTGCAATTGGAATGACGCACTAGACGCACGCTAGTCTTCATTGGGTTACTCTATAATCACCTGCACCAACCTCTTCTCATAACCCACAGGGCGCTGATCTCATTACCTCTATCCTCCCTTTCCCTCCAGGTAAAGAACATATTTCAAGTCTAAAAGAAATGGACCCTACGAAACCTCCCAACAAGATATTTCCAATCACAACCTTCATTTCAGACTTACCGACCAACCTTATTCCGCAGTCCCTCCCACCATCTCCCGAAAATGGCCCTATCAGTGGACGTTTGGTCATCGTAGGCGATGTACACGGGATGAGAAAGACGCTTGAGGCACTCCTGGACAAAGTCGGCTTCGACAAAAGCAAAGGAGATCATCTTGTACTGGTTGGCGACATGGTCAATAAAGGGCCTGATAGTCCCGGTGTTGTCGATCTGGCTATTAAGCTAGGCGCTAGCGCTGTGAGAGGCAACCACGAAAATGCAGTTCTTAACGCGGCCGCGGAGATCAACGCCACAAGGGATAGTCTACTACATCCTGGAGGCTTGACTGACAGTCCGGCTGTACCTGAGAGCCCCGAAGCCGACCTACCCGGGGACAATGTCCGAGATTTCGAGATTTCCGACGAATGTGCATCTGCTACAACTATCGGCATTAACATGAGACACAGCGCTGCAACGTATAGTACGGAATTGGCACTTTCCAAGCACCAGCTTGACTGGCTTGCCGCTTTGCCTTTGATCTTGCGCGTCAAACTACCGCGTGTCCCAACATCCTCCATCGGCGACACTCTAATCGTCGTACATGCGGGCCTCGTTCCTAGTATCTCACTTGAAGACCAGGATCCACATGCTATAATGCATATACGGAGTCTCGTGCGTACATCAGGCGAGGAGGATGGATTCATACCGGCTGAAACTCCCGGAGAAGAAAGCTGGGTTACGGAATGGGACCGGTGGCAAGATACGCTAACATCCAAGACTACGGTGATATTCGGACACGATGCAAAGCGTCGTTTGCAGCGAAGCAGGTATGCGATTGGACTGGATACAGGGTGTTTATACGGCCATCAATTGAGTGCGGTTGTGATTGCGGTTTCCGACAGGGAGATTGAGCATCGTGTTATTCAAGTCGAATGTGCCGATGCGCCTATAGCCCCAACAGTATCTGTGAAAGAAGGCGACAAGGCAGTAGTTATATAAAGCAAACAATATACATAGATGACTTCTTTTACCTCGACTCCTCGCCGAAGCGAAATGTAGGCTAGAACATATTCGTTGGCTTGGCGTCTGCGCAGCCACTAAGACCTATGCTTAGTAGAAAGGCAGATCAGTTACTACGCTTGGGAATTTGTCAAGAAGCCGCATATATATAACTAACTACCCGACTCAACCTCAGGATTACAGACAAGGAATGTGGATACGAGATAAGGACGGCAACAACTACAAGAGCTCGTCACCACCAGTGGCGCGTGGTTTCAATGCCACGTCACCAAAAAGAGCAAGAGAAGAAAAAGACGTTTCATTATCAAGCTTCACCGCATCCCTAAGTGGATCGCAAGTCAGTGATTTTGTGTGGACACCAGGAAGCTGAACGCAGTAGGCGATGTCCTTGCTCCCAGTGTTCCTATCTCCAGCAAAATTGCAGTCCTACACCTAGATGGATTGAAGAGGACCCAAGTCGCTTGCTACCAATTTAAACTTCTCACCGAATCCGCCTCCTGCGCACCCTAGAGGTGGTGCAAATTCAACCGAGTTTGTTGAAGTTCGGCTATGAGCACCTGTGCGAGTACCTGGCACGAACCGACCGTTTTCTCTTTAGCTATGGCCGAGCTAGCTCATACTTCACCTAGCAGGTCTTCGGTGTCCAGAGAAAGCATCTTCTCGCCTAGCGCGATACAAATTTGCATAATATGTCAATCTATTCCCTTAGCAGACAAATGGGCCCCAGAGATACATCGAATTGTTGCTCGCTTTCTGAGGATTCAAACAACTCAGAATTCATAGACCATGCTTGGCTGTTGTTGATTGTGAAACCAATAATATCTGGGTTTAGCATAGGAAATGAAATTCTTGTATTGATCTGTGGAGACGCTTTGTTGAGGAGCCAAATGCGAGGTCATATGACAACGCTTCTCTTGATTATCCAAAGTGACACACTATCCCAGGTCATGCTACGAGCCATCCAAAAGGTACTAGAGATAACTTCTAGTACACTCCGTTTATTCATGGCCGGTCTAGGCCCAAAACGTAAGCTGTGCATAGATCTCTCCGGTATGAGAGCTAGCATTTCGAGAGAGAGATGTGCGTATTCCGTAGGCTGTTGAGAGACGGTTTATGTACCCCAATCCGTGCCCTATACCCTAGAAACTATCTAAACAGGCAAGTTGCAAACTATGGGATACAGATGGATCCGTTCTATTTGACAATATATTAGTCTGAAACAAAATTCCATACCTAAGTGTCGTGTGTGAATTTGCGACACGCGAAGCTGATCTAGTAATTAAGAAGTCTATGTATGAGATTCAAAACAAATTGCCATTTTATAGTTAAAACACTCTACCACCGGCCAGTTCGTGCCCGAATAACCATCAACAAGCAGCCAATACCTCGACATAATGAGCCAATAAGCAACATCATACTGTACAGATAGCCATTAGACAGTTATACCTGAAAATTTTTCGCCTCCACGTACCAGATATCAAAACCTATGCGACCAAAGGTATACCCTGTCTCCTGTGCAGCTGCCCCCAGGTCAAACAAATATGCGAAGGGTGTGACGTGCTCGCTAACAAAGGCCTCCGAGTACCACATCTAAAGAAATGTGTCAATCGTGCATAAAACATATTGATGAGCAGATGAACACTCACACCGGGACTCATATACCAGAGCCATTCTAAGTGCCATCCCCTGACCGTTGGTAGACGTGGTTCCGATCCCCCAAAGACGGCAATGACAATGGTCACCAAGAGACAGACTAAGGGGCCGTTCTCACGACTCGACACTGCAGCGACGACAGAACCAATCCCGTAGATGCCTGCAGGTTTGGGTAACTTAGCGTCTCAGTGCCTCTTTTGGAATTGTCGAATTGTACTCACAATAAAAGTAAAAGAAGTTGAGGACCAGTAAAATGTTAAATGAGGCATGAGGCGTTGCTAGTACTGCGTAGAATGTTGTATAATGGAACGCAGCAAGAAAACTTCGAGGGAGACTCGAAAGAACTTTTCCGACGAAATAAGCACCTTCTGAATGACCCGAGTGTGACTCGCGCTGAAAGATGAGAACTAGGAAATGGCATAAGTAAGGCAAACCAAGCTATATAGAAAAACAATGGAGTACATACTCTCCTCCCCGAATATACCGACACTGGGGGCGGCTGCAGCAAACGCTACGATAAACACTTTCAGTTAGTAAGGGCTGAGATAATGGAGATCAGTGACATACTTATAGCAAGACAGCCTAGAAGCCCCAGCTGGGTCACAAGCTTGTAATTGACGGCGCTGGACAGAACCTCAAATGGTGGCAAAAACATGCCCTGGAATATTTGACCACGAAGCTCGTATATAGCCAATCCTATCAGCAATCCCGTCAGGATTCCGCCCATTATTTCAGTCAGGAACATGGCGGCCTGTCTGCTTTGCTGTATGATGTCACGGAGAAGACAGAGATAGACTTGTCTGTGCCAAGCGGCAATTCTTCTGCTGTATTTCGTCTCCAGTTCGTGAAGCAATGACTTATCCGTATTCGACTCATCGTGGCGGGCTGAGGATATAGGTTCCGTCTTGTTCGTCTTGACATATGGCAGTACTTGCTGCTTGGGGTCAACTTCACTGGCGTTCCCTGGCTGGAGTTTCCCAGATACAATGTCCATGATGAGGTCGGCGGGATTAAGATTGGGGTTGAAAAAGTATCCCAGAGCTTGAAAGTACGGTTTTGCCTCCGACGCCTTACCACTGTATACACTCTTCCCTAGCTCTAGAATTAGTAGATTATCCAGCGCGTCAAAGATTTCGACACGGGGTTGATGGATAACGCAGATAACGGTAAGTCCCTGGCGGGAGAACAACCTAAGCAATTCCATTATTGAAAGAGCTGCTTGAGCATCAAGTCCCGAAGTTGGTTCGTCTAGGATCAAGACTTGTGGTGCTGCAACTAACTCCATGGCAATGCTGACTCTCTTGCGTTCTCCCCCTGAGATGATTCGCCGCTGTTCGGAACCAACAACGCTGTGTTTGACTTTATTAAGGCCCACCCCATCAATCACAGCATTGACGTGTTTCTGGATTACCTCATCATTCAATGCGCCCCCAAGCCGGATACGCGCGGAGTGAAGGATGTTCTCAAAGACGGTGAGGTGTGGGTGAATAATGTCATCTTGCGGGACGAACCCCAGTAGTGCGTGAAAGCTGTGTCTTCTAGTCGGGATATTAGTGGGGGTCAAACTTTGAGCCACGAATATTATTGTGATTGTGATGCGTACTTGGCCAATTTCTTCTCAACTCCGTTTAAAAATAAAGTCCCCGAAGTTGCCCGGACCTTGCCAACAAGTATGTTGACAAGCGTTGCTATAGGACGAAAATAGTCAGTTTCACATCGACCTTCCCGTGTTGGTTGATACCTACTCTTCCCAGATCCAGATTGTCCCATAATACCGGTGAGACTGCTTGCTTGTGCTTTGCCATTGACTTCGGAAAGAATGAATTCAGTTGATTTGGGCTTGCAAAGAGAGACATTTCGAAATTCAAGGTCCATGCCCACATTTATGGACTCCTCTGAAAACAATGAATCCAGCCAATCTGCAGGCCCTGATTGAGAATTATATGCTGGCTGCATTTCGAGGTGTGATACTTGTGATTCAGGTTCGTTTTCCCCCTCTTCTCGATTTGGTCGCCTTTTAATATGTGGCCATAAAAACAGACAAACCAAGAACAAGTCAAGAAGACCACAAACCAGGAATCCGAGGAAAGGAATCTCATAATCACTGCCTTCAGGGCATCTTGAAAGTTTCTTGCATTTAAGCGGTTCGACGTTACCCAGCGGGCAATAATGCCCCTTGGGGCAAACCAACTGTTTTTTCCCACCGAGTGGACAGTAGTAACCTGGCCTGCATACTATAGGTTCGTATATACCTTGTGGCTGGTGACAGGTATTTTGAACGGCTTGGAGCCGAGTAATAATGCATTCAGAGGTTGGCGGGCAATACGTTGGGGGGTGCTCCTCCGTATTGTTAAGGCCTGTATCGAGGAGGTATGTCAGCTTCCAGTCTTGATATTGATCATACGCACTCTGGCGAGACGTACAGTAGAACCCAGGGTTGCAAATGTTAGAAGAAAGCGTCACTGCGTTTGCACCCGACATGCAAGAGGTTAAATTCAAACTCATTGTACTTTGCTCGTATGACCTTGCAATGAAGTTCTTCGTCCAACCCGCAAGATATAATGAGCGATTGGGTGGTGCTCATAAGATGATGATGAAGCTTAGAGGCATTAACAAATACTTTTCTCTTTTCTTTTCTTTTCTTTTCCTTTCTTTTTCACGCGGCATTATTTGCTTAGAGAATTCGACAACTAGCATGGGGGCATAAGGGGGAGTAAGGGGGAAGTAAAATTATTAAACTCAGATTAAGGACAAGATGATAGATGGAGTACGTGGAATAAATATACTCTACAAGCAAACGACGGCCAAGGACTAGTGGTGGGTTGTGTAATCCGTATGAAGTTAGCTACATGTCAAAGCTGAAAATTCCGGTGGCACCGTCTTCCTCTGAACCCCACGCAGTTAATCGTTGCATTCATGACTTCTCGTTTGGAGGTGTCATCCTCGATACAGCAAAAGCAATAAGCAATAATCACGTGGTGATTAAACAATTATAACTTATGAGGGCATATAATGCTGAGCTATTGAAAATATACTTTCTATACGAACAAAAATAAGCAATAATCAATAATCATGCGGTGGGTAAACGAATATTTACTTTATGATTGAATAATAATGCTGAGTTATTGAAAACATACTTCCTTCACGAACTGTCATTCAGGGCAAGCGCTTTGTGTACTCGGCTTTTTCTGGCCAGCACTTTCCTGCTGCATGTACAATAGAATCTCTCATATTAAATTTTTGTTCGTGCAGTATGCCATTATGCATTTCATTGGCCACTTGGGATCCTTCACGATGCGTAGTTCTAGATTAGAGGTTACTAGGGCAAGCAGCGCTGTTTCGAGACAAATATGATCTACGACCAAAGAAAAGGTACCAATGCATAATTATGGGACCTAGTGCAGTAATTGCATTGCATTATCCCCAACTTTTATCACTTAAAATGCGGAGATTCTTCTTGAGGAATTCCATTTCTGTCTTCACACATTTTCCGTGGAAACTTTCCCAACTAGAACCTTGAACATTCATCAACAATCCGATATCAATACTCGAAGGCCCTGTTACAAAGTCATCATGAAACTAAAAGCTAAGCTTCGCAAAGCTTTGTCTGGCAGATCTCGGTCTTCAATTATATCGACTGTACCTGATGCCGATGCTTTCTTGTACTCCGAGCCCCTGGAAAATGTTCATCATCCACCGCCCCATGCTTTCACCACCATTCCCAGCCGCCTCCATAAACAGGATGCTCAGGTAGTCGAATCAGCGAAGTTATTCAGTACCGAGATGATGTCGGCGATATCTCAACGACGATCAGACCTCCCTTGTGTGGGCTCCTGTATCGGCCACATGTCCAGTCTCCTCTACCCCGAATGCCTACCGGAAAGGCTAGATGCAGTTGCCATGATATTGGAGGGAGCTGTTATTCATGATGGTATGAATATTAACCCCCATTTTTAATTTCTTCCCTTGTGGGACAAGCAAGGCTAACCTAAACGAAAGATATTGTTGAACGAGATGACCTAGAAAGTGCAATGGATCATCATGACATTGTTACTTCATTTATGAGTACAACCCAGGGAGTCAATAAGGTCAAATCAGTCCGAGGCTTAAGGTGGAAGGAATTTATGTCAAAAGTGGTGGTTGGGTTTACTGCCAAATATGGAGCAGAAGGTAAAGTCCTTTTGGAGAGATGTATGGAGTACTGGATTCGGCCGATGGAATTTGTGGTGAAGACAGACCCCACCAGTTTCGAAGATTCTGTGTCCCACCGAATCGTGAATATGGGGACGAGGTATGTTTGGCACGGCACCGCATGGAAGGAAATCATCTCTTCTGACACAAATATAGGGCGCTATCGGCCCTTCTTGAATTCTCTCTTGGCATCCGGTTGTCAGATGATGAGATGAAACAAATAAATCACATTGTGAATGTCGCAGATCGGATTCTGGCCAACACAAACGACTACTTTAGTTGGGAGGTTGAACGAGACAATGGCAACAGGGTACAAAACTCGATCAAGGTGTTAATGGAAGTGGAGGGCAGATCTGAGGAGCAAGCCAAAGAGAAACTCAAAATCGCAATTCTGGAGGACGAGAAAATCTACCAACTCCTGTCGAAGCAGTTCTTCCAGTCGTCTCCGTACGCCCCAGCTCGTGTGCAGAGATTCATTGCGATGCTTGAGGTACTACTCGGTGGCCATCATCTCTGGTGCGCTGCTAGTGAAAGATACAAGGTCCGCACCTCGTCAGATGAGAAAGAAATCAAGATATATACGGTCGAGGATAAGAGCGAGAATGTCGACCCTCTATGCTCCAGTTTTACAACTCTTGGCGATTCTGCTCTGCTAGATCCCGTGCACTATATCAAGACTCTCCCGTCAAAGAACATGCGATCGAAAGTCATTGATGCCCTGAATACCTGGTTTCGACTCCCCGACAATCACCTGGACACGGTCAAAAGCGTTGTTGATGACGTTCATAACTCAACCCTACTACTTGATGACATTCAGGATGCATCGTGTCTACGACGGGGATTTGCCACAGCGCACAATGTCTTTGGCCCAGGGCAATGCATTAACAGCGCTACTTATATGGTAGCACAGGCCGCATCCAGACTTGTTTTACATCAGGATGAGCATCCGCAATTAATCCAAATCTTCCTAGATGGTCTGAAGGAGCTGGCCGTAGGCCAGAGCTGGGATCTCAATTGGAAGATCACTGGACACTGTCCGTCTACCGCGGAATACATGGCTATGGTTGACGGCAAGACCGGAGCCATGTTTGGGATGATTATCCGGATGATGCAAGGCTTTTCAACAGTTGCAAACTGGCCGATCCCCGAGTTAAATCAGCTTGCAAAACTCCTTGGCCGATGGTATCAAGTACGGGACGACTATCAGAACCTACAAGATGAACAGTATACCTCGCAGAAGGGATTCTGTGAGGATCTTGATGAAGGGAAGCTATCATATCCGCTCACAGTTTGTTGCGATCTTGATCCAAAGGCCCAAAGGATCATCATGGGGATTTTCCGGCAACGGCAAAGTGGAACACCGCTTGCACTAAACGTCAAGATACAGATCCTTGACATATTTCGGCACACGGGTGCACTTCAGCAGACATGGGAAGTTATCGAAAAGCTCGAGAAGAGTGCTGAAGCCGCTCTTTCGAACTTGGAAGCCATCACTGGGGAGCCAAATCCAAAATTCCGGGCAATTCTGAGTCTCCTAGGCAGTGTACCACGTCCTTCGCAAGACTGCGAATAGGAGGAATTCCAGTTAATCTAGCTGTGGCTGATGGAAGGTTGAAGAACGATCATAAGATGTGACAGTATCTATTTAGCCTTATAGTTTTTAATGTGTGTTATGGGTTTTACCCACTAAAGCCTACTATTGTAACCAATTAACGGAGAAAGATTCGACGGTCAATATTTGTGCATCCCAACTATCCAAGGTAGAAGAGAGTCGGTACAAATTTCAATCTAAACTATTAAGATATATGTATCGGCTGTGCGACGCAGTCGACTAATAGTTGAAAGTGACCTTCTGAGGGGGTCAGTGGATTTGGGAAATAAACCTTCTTGCCTGTGTGATCCCAGAGCGTTTGCAGGGTTTGTATACGCATCGGATTTCTTGATCGCAATAAGCCACTTCACAATCAAGATGGATGTTTGTGTCTCAGAATAGAACTTGGGATTTCAGTTGTAAATTATGGACTATAGAGTATCAATATCAAACATTTTATCAGAGATTCAGCGGCTTCCAGACTAGGTGATAGCTGCCACAACTCGCTTTCTCGAATTGAGCATTCGCCTTTTTATGTAACAATGCGTAAATGGAAAATTGAATAGGAATTGGTGCTGTTACTTGATTGAATGTCAATTGTGCAGCAGCCAGCTCATTGAGGATAAATTCCAATGTTCCACTGGATCTAGGGCCATTTCCAGTTTTGAAAGATGACAGAAATCTGGCAGTACGACAATGTATGGACAAAAACAGATAGTTCTTGAGAGATGAGATTACTGTTACTTACGGTGACTTTTCGAAGATACAAGGACAAATGTAAGGCCGGCGAAAATATATCCTAACACGAATTAGTATGCTTAAAGTAGGTTTTTAGGCAATAAAGGAAGAAAGATTAAAGGAAAACCTAATTTTAAGTATTACTGTAAATGAACGACTGCATGGAGAGAAAAGATGTGGATGAGGTGACTGCACCCCAGCCCCTCCCGAGGCCCTTGCCACAAACACACAGGGAACGGCAACGATCGACGCGGCGCAAAACCTTGAACCAACAATCGCACGTCAGACCAGGAGATATGCACGTGTGGAAGATGACCAGGCTCTCACGGCCTCGCCAAGTGCTGGACCGGCCAGCGCTGGAACCAACATCGGACGAGTGACAACCAGAGTGATACGACAGATTATTGAACACCTATAACACACCATCGACGAATAAACTGCTCATACAATCCACCTAGCCCGAACTAAAAGAAGTGAAATACAGCAAGACTCTTGCTGCAAGAGTGAGCTCCAATCTTAAAATAGTCTTCTGGCTACTGACAGAGGGAGAGAGAGAAAGTAGAAGAAACCATGATCATTCAATGTATGAAGAGCAGGGCATTTATACCCTGAGAAACAAGCAAACAAGCGCTCAGTCTGCAAATAGCCTGAAGCCTAGACCATTAGGCATTCTAAGACACCTCCCTAGACTAAGTATCAAAATCACAAGTAAAGATCATTCTGGTTTATATAGTAAAATCCATATATAAAATGTAGTTTTCAAAGTGTTCTTTCCTATTAATTTCCAATATTTACTAGTTACTACTAGTGAAGTGGTCGTTACTAGGGGATTTTAGACATAGCCACTAGTAACAACCTTAAGTATAACCTAGTGACCTAGTCACTTCTAAGTTACTCCGTATATCTATCGAAACTATCACGTGAAATTGACATCTCTAGTAACACCCAGAATCTACTAGTAATTACCACCAACTAGTGACCTAGTGGCCTAGCGAGCAAAACGCATCAATTGAACATGGCGGGTTTAAACAAATAGCGTTGTGGTGTAGCCCTTGGGTATGGGTGGGCAGAGGCAGTGCCACGGGTATGTATATAAGTCGATGTCTGAAATACCAACGGCGTCAAAGTCGCAGAGGATATTTATTGACATACACCTACATCTATTGGTCTGTGCGTATGCATCTTCATGGATCTTTACCGACAGGTAGGTAGGTAGGTAGGTAGGTACTCAAACGTTCTTTATGCTGGGCTCAAAGCCAATGACTCTTATTAGGTGATATATATGTGAAACTTTTTACTCGAGAATCTTTGCGTCACCTTAACAGGCAACGATCGAGTATAAACACTTGATGAATTAAACAATGCTCGCTATTCCCAAAAACCCAAATGCGTCATTTTCTCAATGCCAGAGAAGCAATTCCCTCCCTTGAGCCTTGAACCTCGAGACCATGAAGCCTGGACTGCAATTTGACTCCCAATCCTCCTCAAACTCTGAACCCGGGTTGTATGGGTTGGATGTTTGCTTCTTAAGCATGGAGAGACCGCGAGGGACATGGTCCTCTGAGCCTGAGGATTCGGCATCGCTGTCACCGCACGGACATGTCGAGGTTGTTCTGGCTCCTGGTGTGGTGCAGGGGCAAGAGCCCAAGGAGCGATTGCATGGGACGCATTTGTAGTATGCTGAGCCTGAGCTTGAGGATAAACGCACTCCGGGGAGTCCGCATTGTTCACACTTCCAGCCCTGTGATGAGCGCTCTAGTTGGATAGTCATGGTGAAAGAGGATTGACCCTGGGTCATTGACTAAGGTCTTGTATGAGTAACTTGTCAGACATAGGGAGACACCTATATTACTCACATATAATTGTAGTTGAGTGGGATAAAGTATCCGAGGTAGTAACGCAGGAGGAGATAGCTTGAAATTGTTCAATTGTACTGCCCGGCTCTCAAGTCCGGGGAACATCTCCCCTTATAAAGATTTTGCGGGGGATTGTCACCGGGTAGATCATTATAACGCCATTTGGTCCAACCCCAACTGCGCAGTACGTATGAGTTCAAAATTCTGGGCAATTACTTAGCGATCCTTGTGAAATCACGTAAAATCATGGGATTCTAGACTCAAATTTGATCATAAAAACGTAAGGAATGGCTGAATCGAGTTAGTATTTCCCCGACGCAAACCGAATTTTTAGGTAATATCACGCAAATGGATCAAGTGACCCCAGGAAAAATTTACGTTTCTCTTGCTTTGATAGGTTGTGCTCTAAATAGAAATTGCAGACAATGAAGTCATTTGCCAGAGCCGGCGTGAGGCATTATTACCCAATTGGCTGCCCGGGCCGGGGCATTCCCCGCATTTTGGCCCTTCTCAATCTCAGGTGACTTTTCAGGTGACTGAGCAAACCCAACAAACAAGCACGCCTTCTTTACCATCACATGATTGGATGCCAACTTATCCCCAACATTTTCCCCTTACACCGCACCTCGTCTATACAACAAGAACGGTGAAAGCACGATGGGTGAACTTGGCCACCTCATTGGGAGGCTTGTGACACGGTGCAATCCATTGCAATCCGTTGTTGCCACTTTACTCATGGCTTTATAACTTGGATCGACGGGCAATGAAACCCACATAAACATCTCATCCTATATGCTGACTAGATCTTGTTAAATGCACCCTGGGCAACACAACACCACTCGACATAGCCTTGGTAACGACTGACGCAAGATTGCTTCTTGAGTACGACACCAACCCAACAATGACTCATATTCAGTGGGCAATTGATGCTGGAGACCTCGGTTGACTGAGACTCCTCGACGTTTATGTACTTATGTACTTGAACTTGACCTTGGTCAACTCCTAATCAAAGGCATTGCCAACCAGATTCATTCCCGGCCTCGAACTTACACACGTTGAACCATACGATCTCATTCCCGCCGCATTAGCAAACAGTCTCTCGCTTTTATATACGGATTTCGATGCATTCCCCTCCGATCGAAAGACTCAGCGCAAGGCACTTTACATCGCATCCTACCGAGTCCATCATTCCATCGTATCAGGTTTGAATAACAGGATCGGGGATTCCGGGGATGAGGACATAACAGAGATACCGTCCGATGCAAACAGTGGTTCTCTTCTGCATTCCGCCGTTTGGCAGCGACCTGGGGAGGTTGAAGTTCTCGTGAAGTCGGCCTAGGGCAAATATTGGAGGGACTGCGATAACAAACTTTTATACTGGTAATATCCCTAAAGTATTGGAAAAGCGCTAAGGTCTTGGTTGCGGAAAATGCTGTAGTTCAGGAGGCGAGAGCGTGAGTCAGATCAGTCATGATCCAGAGGTGGATCGACAAGCTTGATGAGTTGGTTTTAGAGTAAGCTAATAGAGCTCATCTGTATGTAGAGTTATGTCTACAAGTGTAAGTGATATCGAATACGAATCATACACAGTTACCCCCGTTTTCAGAAGGACCCAATATAAAATGTATTCCTCTCTTTTCCCCCGAGTCAGTTAATCCAGTTAGCTTAATGCATTTCGTATTGCTCACTGTGCTTGCTTCCTCTCTTAATACATATCCTATGCGTTTACTGAGCACACCTGAGTAATCATTGACCATACCCTGAGCGCTCACTACTTCCAGGGCTAAAGCATCCATCCATGTATGGCCCCGGGGATTATTTGAACCTTATTAAGCATACATAGTCGCCCTCATAGAACGGCGCCCCCCCCCCCCCCCCGATAAGGACAATCGGGGCCGCGGCCTAAAATTCGGTACATATAGCTACATATCTCTACCATTTACACTATCTTTCCCCTTGGATGAAATTACACATAGCTACCGCGTTTCAATCACACAGGGGCACACTTTCCGCTCTTGCAGACCAGTTGACCGGAGCAATCACCTCCATTCTTGCAAGAAGCACCTAGAAAATTACTTAGTAACCACGAAGAAAGATATGAGCAGAAGGATTCTTACCGGCACAGTGTCCCTCCCACTCGCAAGACCCTCCAGTAGGGTCGGAGCCAGTGGCAGTTGTTGTGGCTGAAGGAGAAGAGCCGCCATCACCTCCACCAGACAGCTTGAGGTTCTTCGCAAGAGCGGTCATGAGCTTGTCACCCATAGAGCGCAGTGTGGTGAAGTTGGTGACATAGTTCTTGTTGAGAGCACTGCTGGGGAGCACCGCATCGTCGCCAGTGAAGAGGATGTCTTTTTTGGATTAGTAGGTGTCGAAATAAAGACATATATGTTCCAGACTTACAGGTCACATCAGCAGCGTCGTGGCCGACGCCACCGTTCAGGTTATCATTGGGAAAGCAGGTCCGGGCCATCAACCACGAGGCCTCGCCGATAACCTGGGGGCTATCGCCATCGGAGTCTCCGTAGATGCCGTAGAACATCTTTCCGTCACTGGCTTTTAGTTAGAACAGGAACCTAGCTGAAATATCAATCAAAGGGGAAAAGTCATACCAGATAACTGCACCGACGTTGTTTCCAGAAAGCTGCTTCGCGTACTTCGTTCCGAACCTGTCGGGAATCACAATGAACGGAACTTCATAGGCAGCCAAGGCACCGAAGTTGGTATTGCGCTGACCATCACCGTTTCCCTGCATCATCGAGTCAGCAATAAGATCTCAGACAGACAATAATAGTCATCATACCTTGCATGTGGAGTCAATACCGTCGCAGTCGACATCCATATCCGCGACCCAAACATAAGCCGCACCCTGTCATCGATTCAATCAGTATGCGGGTCTTGCAAATTGCCGGCTAGTGAGAGTATCTACCTCGCTGAACTTGGTCCAGTCGCTGTGGATGGTAACTTGCTTAGCTCCCTTATCATGACTGGTAGGGTAGGTTGCATCCGGAACAGCAGTGCTAGCCTTTGCAGCAGCGCTCTGCAATGCAGCAACGGGGATGGACGAGCCAGCAGCGAAGTAGCTTCCTGGGGGGCCACCGTCTGGCTTGTTGAACTTGGAGCCATCGACGGTTTGCGCGAGGCCTGTGCCAAACAAGGCGAACAGGGCAAAGGGAATTGAGCGGCTGTAGGTCATCATGATTGCTAGTAGAAGCTTTGAGATTTGTGAAAGAGATGATTTTTGCTTTGCGGGGCCGGGCAAGTCGTCCTTTATCAACTCTTTTGGTCCCTGAAGGATGAAACAATGAGCGACTAGTAAATACTACCTCCGGAAACACCGGCGCTAGTTTCCCCCAAATGCTTTTTTTCACAACTAGTTCATATCACCTCGTCAGCATCGGCTATGCAGTTGATCCTTCAGGCGATCATTTAGTTCTGCAAAATGTGAGACATACTAACCCAGAAGAGCCAAAATACAACGTTCAGCCACAATAACTATAGTATCAGACCACAAGCAAGACCACTTTTCGGTATCCTTGGGAAATTGTACCTGAATGACCAGGATAACTGCGGGGGCAGAGTTTCAGCCCTGAAGGCCCTTGCATAGTGTCACATCGGCGATGTAAACGGCAATGATGCAAAGCTAGCTAGAACTTTCTTAGTTGCAGGCACCAGGTACCTACGCCCTACTCCGCATTTAGAAAATGGTCGGACGTAAGTAGAAACTGGTTGGAATAAGAAAATGCTTGGACGTAATAGATCGCCACAAACCCACATAGTTATCCAGTGCGCATATTTAGGGAATCCACAACTCGGAAGGCAACCAATAATCCATATACTACTAATCTCACCTAGGCAGCGGTTAAAGCTTGCACTGAGTTGGCGAGTTCCACAACGATGATCAACATTAGTACGGAGTAGTTGGCCGAACAGAGTACGGAGTACTCCGTAAAGGCTTTGCTACAGACTGAAACCACTTGAAAATCCAAAATTAACTGGCCGGGGCGTGGTAGGTCCTGGCCCATCTATAGGTCCATGGAAGATGGGAGACTTTATTGGCCTTTATTAGAACTCGCCTATTATATTCATGCATTTATACCTCGGCACTTCACAACAATCCTCAAAACCTCGGAACTTATACATAAATCGTTGGCCAACGAAATGTCGGGTTGATATGAAACTTGACCCCCGGGACGTCCCCGAGGCCCGGGCCCCAATAAGGCAATGACTAAGCGATTTACACGTGACTAACGGGAAACAATCAACTCCGACCTCGAAATTGTTTCGGAGCGACAACTCGACCAAGCACCCCGAGACCCCGCCCAAGATGGCCAAGAAAGGTACGTGGAACGAGAAACCCGAGATTTCAATCGCAGGATGCACCTGCCCTCCCATACTGCAATTGAGGATGCGAAACAGGCGATAGCGATAGCAGCGAAAACCGAGAACCCCCGGATTCTTTTGGCGGCCGATGGCTAACATCGTCTTTTCCCCAACACAGCGAAGTCCCGTACCGTTGCCGTCCGGCTGATCTCCATGGCCATGACGGGTTACTACCGCACGATGATCCGGCCCCGTGTACACCGTCCTCTCAGCATGATGAAGTACGACCCTGTCGTTAAGAAGCAGGTGCTTTTCCTTGAGGCGACCAAGGGTGGAAAGAACAAATAAGCTATTCGATTCTGGATCTGAGTCTGCTCGGTTTTGTTTCAATTCGATTGTTGTGCGCCTTGAGAGATATCCGCCTTTCAACCGCGATGACGACTTTGACTTCGATCTCTTTTTTTCCTCCTCCTATTCGAACTTCGCCTATTGCGTTTCTTGCAATCGCTATCCCGATACGCCGTTGAACGATATCTCAGACTTTGTGCGGATCTAGGGGAATGCGATAGGGATGTCAGGGGAACGACCCCTGTGTGTACATTATTTTACTGGAGACAAGCGGGAAATTGTGATTTCCCCGGTTTCTCGGATCTTCTGCGGTAAACCTCCTTTTGTTGGAGCATTGTGTTTGGCGTTAAGAGCAATACAGCTTTGGGTATCTCAATAAAACTAAAATAAATATCCCACAACATTCCACTTCATCGCCTCCCGAAGCATGAGCCCTGCTTGAGGGCTTTTCGTCCATCCGTTCATGACAATAACAGATTTCCCGGAATCAATATTTGAATATCCATGGATTCGTCGAGCACTGATAAAGTGAATATGGAAACTTTGCTCAACATGGTCAGAGTATAATAATGCAGGAATGACATCTCTCTCGGGGTCACTTCACGTTCAACTGCTCAGCCGGCGTCTTTGGCTGAAGCGCTGATTGTAGCGGTCTCCTTCTAGCCGTTAACTGGGGCTGCCTTGGAAAAGCATCAAGCATCTTACCTCGAGTGCGGCGCTTACCTCGGCCTCGCATAGTGCTAGCTTGGCCGGCTGTGTTTCCCCTGCTGCTACCTGAAGCCAAACCCTTCGGACTCAGTCGTCGTTCCGGGCCATCGGCTGCATTTCGCGGTCTCTTCGGTGGCCTTGGGTTTGCATTTGAAGATCGCTCCGTGTCCATTGAGCCCCGTTGAGACTTTCCCATCCCTGTAGTCTTCTCAATTGAAGTTTCCTCTTGTGCCACAGACTGGCGAAGACGGCTGTAAGTCCGTTGCTGCGTTCTCTTTACTTCCTTACTTTCGGACTCTCTTCCAGAGCTGTTGTCGGTTGCGTCTGACATTCGTCTCGCTCTGCCAACCTCTGTTTGGGTGATAACGCGCGTCCCCTCGAAGCTGACTACTTTACGCTTGGTGTTGGGCTGTTCATTCTTGGCTGATTTATCCACAAACGAACTGTCAGTTTTTTCAAGAGCCGACTGGGGTCTCTCGCTTTTGCCGTCATCAGCGCCGGAAGCTTGCATCCCGAGAACAGGGTTAGGTTCATTGAGATCTCGATTCGTTTTCAGAGGCTCAGCTGGAATCTTTGGGTGCTCATGAGCTTTCTTGGGGGCATCATCTGGCACCAACCCTCCCGGGAGATCTGGAGTTGACATAAAGAGCATTTCGAGCTCAGCTGGATCATTGAAAAGTGACAGGCTATTTTCCCGTGAAAGTCTGTCATGCAGACTTGAAAAAGGAACAATATGACCGTGACCAGCAGGGAATTTCGGTAGAGAGTCGACACAATCACCATGTTTCAAAGCCTTTGGGGGGCTACAAATCTTTGGTGCTAGAGATCCATCTGCCTGCATGTTCCCAGCAGTCTTGAGAGCCCCCTTGGCTGATTCATTCGTCTCGAAGATATTGTCGTGTTTCCCCTCTCTTGGCTCCAGTGCAAGATTGCTGCCTTCAGTCGCCTCCATATTTCCCGTACCGTGAGGCTTGGTGCAAGACGTATCACTAGTGATGGACGGCCGAGCAAGCGAGGACTGAATGATGTCTTCCAGTTTCTGCCATGTTTGCTCGAAAGGCTCATCAGGATGTACCTCGATTACCTTCGCAAACCCTTCTCTTATGGTCGCTTGCCAACTTTCAGCCTCCTGGGCCCGGCGGAGGAGTGAAATTATTTCAGCATCGGCTTCCTCCCCGACCTTCTCCAAAGCTGATGATCGTGCTTTGAGCATAGCGAGATTTTCTTTCGTCGCTGCAAGCTCTTCATTCTTCTGGGCTGTCTCGAGCTCAAGCACCTCGGCCTTTTTTTCTGCTTCCTGTATTGCTTTCTCTTTCAGCGTTACAGACTCGATCTTCAGCCCCAGGCTCGCTTCAAGCTCGGTGGTCTTTCCTTTCGCTTGTTCGAGCTGTTCAAGGAGCCTCCCCTTTTCCGCCAAGAGACCCGCTTCGGAGCTCTTCAATAAGTTTGTTTCAACCTCATTAGCTTTGGCCTCTGCGATGTATTTTGAGCAAGAAATATTCAGCTCCTCGATTCGTTTCTGTGATTCCTGGGCCTGCGCCTATCAGTAGAGCACATCAAGATCATGCTCCGCATCGCTTACCATGGAGGTCTTTTCCAGTCGCTCATCCTCAGCTGCCTTCTTGGTTTCGGTCTCCATACTGTTAGTGAACCACTGTCTCATCAGGCACGGTCGGGCTTACCAAAGAGCTTTGGACATTTGCAAGCTGCACCTGGAGGTTGTTGAGGTCTATTTCAAACCTCGCCTTTTCTGTCTCAAGACCTTGGACTTGTTCTTCGAATTTAGATTTCATCTGGCCCTGCAATTTGATGCTTGCGGCACCCAACTCTTCTCGGATTCTTTGTTCGAGCAATTGAAGCTCACCTCGCAAGGCCGTCTTCTCAATCTCCAGCCGAGCATTGTGAGTCCTGGATGCTTGTTCATTAGTAACAGTCTCGGTTAAAGCGTGCTGAAGATGTTGGTTCTCAGATGATTTGTTTGTAAGTTGCTTTCGAAGAGACTCAACCTCAATCGAGACTTCTTGCAGTTGAAGTTGCAACTGCGTATTTTCAGCAAATTTGCTGGAAACCTCCTTCTCCAGAACAGGGTTTCCTGCTGGAATTTGAGCTTCGGAAAGCTTCTGAGTGAACGTTTCTAAACCGCGTGCAAGGTCTTTTTCTGTTATTCCCACGGCCTTGATAGAATCACCGAGACTGCCGAGGATTGGCCCAAGAATCTGAAGTTGTTGTTGCAAATTTCCGTAGCAACTCTCGCTATTAGCAAGCTGTTTGAAAATTGTCGAATACGGACCGAGGTTGCCTTCAATCGCTTGAAGGGCTTCTTGGAGGGCTTGAAACACATTTTTGCTCATTTCCGTGCTTCGGTCGACGTCGCTTGCGACCTGTCCAGCCAAGGAGGTGAAACTAGAGTCATAGTGAGTCTACACCATTTGTTGTCCTTTGTTCCACTTCCACAAAACTTACCGAGATGTTGCCTCATGAACGCTGTTGGTGAAGTCTTGGACATTCATAGTCTCGGCAGAGCACTGTTCTTTCAACCCTTGAACTGAAGCGAGACAATGTTCAAGCTCCGGACTCAGCTTCGACAGGATACTCTCCTGAGATTTGAAGCAAGATGTGGTGAATAGCTCGCAAGCTGAGTCAATTTTTTCAGCCATCTTGCGCTGGTCGTTTCTGATAAGGGCCAAGTATCGCGACTGGCTCTGAGACTCATTTTGGATGTAGGCTTCTAGAGTTGCGATTCGCTTTTTCTCGTTGGATAGCTGGGTCTTGATTAAATCGCCTCTTTTCTCTGAATGGTTCAAGGCTTCCCTCAGGCTGGCAACTGTTTCCTCGGAAATTGACAGTCTTTTGCGTTGGTCTTGAATGGTTTCTTCACTATTCGAAACTTTCAACCTGATCTCGTCCAAACTGTATTGGATCTCGCTTTTCTCTCTATCGAGAGACATAGTGGCTTCTTTCAATTCTTTGGCTTGCTCCCGGACTGCACCGTATTCACGGCCGAGTTCGCTAAGGACACCTTTGAATGTGCCAAGTTTTGCCTTCCACTTGTCTATTTGTGCGCGCTGAGATCTTGACTCAGATGATGTTTTGGCGAGCTGTTCTTGGCATTTCTGGAGCCGGTCCTGCAGATTAAGATTCTCTTCCTTTAAGCCAATGTTCTCATTCGTGACTTGCCGTTGGATAACTGCAGCCGCTTGTTCGCTTTCCTCTCGCTGTCTCATTCTTGTGATGAGAAGCTCGAATAGATCATCCTCACTGAGCTGAACGCCATTCTTCCCACCAACGAGCGGTGCCTGTTGCTTGGAAGATGCTTCCTTCTCAGGGGCACGGCGTCGCTTCGACACTTGAAGCTGATTGTGTATAGGCCTGAGTGGCAGACGAGAGGATGGGTTCTCCGGAATTTCTTGCCTCTCTCTGTGAGGCTGTTGCACCTGGGGTGGTTCGGGTAAGGCAGGGTCAAGTTCACCCGTCTTCTCGATGTCAACCACACGCTCCTGACTCGGGTCAACGGCCCTTCCCGCAGGGCCAATAGTCTCTCTAGGGTTATCAGCCTCGGTGGGCTCGTTCCGCTGGGAAACATTCATCGCCTGTTCCTGTCCGAAACTCGGTTGCTCTACATCTCCAGGCGTAGGCCGACTGCCGCTGTCTTTGTTGGGTTCAGCTGCTTCCGATAGTCGACTTGGTGGCTGAGGAAACACAGGTTGTCTCGCAGGGATTGGTGGCTTCGAGATTCCTGCTTTCCCAAGGCTACGAGGATTGAGAGGGCTGAACTCAGAACATGTTAGTCCATTGTGAACAATGGTGTTTCTCTGTAAGATCAGCCTGGGTCATCTACATACGTGTCTGGCCTGGTCAGTTGATGGTTGCGACCTCCCTCCTCTCCCATCGGTTCTCTTGAAGATCGGGCATTATCAATTGCAGGATGGGGGATGGTAGGTTGCTTGGTCAGGTTTCGCGAGTACGAGGGCTTGTGTGAGACGGGCTTGCTGAAGGAGAAATCTATCACATCAATGCCAGAACTCTCTGGGCGCTGCAGTAGCGGCCGGGGCTTTTCGTAGCTCTCCATGGCGAGTGATTGATTGGGAGTGACAGAGATAGTGACAACCTTGGAAGGATGAAGAACTGGCGAGGTCTAATTAGAGAAGGCATTCACGTCGAGTCAGCCCAACCTGGGAAAGAGCTACCCTGTGACCGAGCCACCTCTACACCTACATCCTCAGAGGTTTGCAATATTCCTCCATAATACTTACATTGAAAAGAAATAGTTTAAATTAGGATAAATATCAGGAAAAGCGAAAGAACATTGAATTAAGCACAATTTGTCCCGACGAAAAAAATGATACACATCCCCCATCTTAACCAGTCGGTTGGGTTTATCTATCTGTCAAGCTATCCTTGTTCATACTGGAAGCGCATGGAGACATATTTGGGTATACTTGTACTTCTCGCCTGGGCCAGTATGGATAAGTCAGGAATCGATTGGACTTTCCCGGGGCTATACCAATTAGGTATGGTTAGAAGGTATACTCCGTAGTTATATTATTCAGAATCTCTCTTATTTTGTGTCCGTGCTGTGAGGAGAGATGCAAAACAGACTTGAAAATGAGATGAGTAAATATGTCAACCCAAAGAGGCCACGTAGATATGTCGGTAATTGTCATAGAATAAATTGATACATAGTCTCTATTAATCACAAATTCGTGCATATAGTAATACAAATAGTATGAACAGCCTCATCCCAGGTTCAAATGTTTCTTGAAAGTCAAAATAGCAGGCTGAAACCGCCTCTTGATCTCTTTGTATGTTTTACCCAACGCCCAGATGACAAGAATCCCCCATTCCATTTTATAACCTTACCGTAGGCGCCCTCTAATGTTCCTAGGTAGTTGCGGGCCCCCATTTAACGGGGGTTTAGACCCCTGCACCAGCTGACTGCGCCCACATGTCAAATTTGGTGGAACCAATAACACCCAAGTTGATAGAGTCAAGGTGTTAGACAAACATATTATTCCTACGGAGTACGGAGTACGTGTTCAGCATATCTGCACCATAGTGGAGCGAATGCAAAAAGACCCGTCTAGAATTGATACTGCAGCCGACAAAGGTCCTTACATGTGAGGGATCAAATCGAACGTCGAATATTCTAAAGTCATTCCAAGGCCCTTCTATACGACAGTTCCCGAGACAATGCATTTCGGCCAAGGGCGGTCCATAATAACGTGGCGGCCACGAGAATTCGGGAGAAATAGGGTATTTCACACGTGTGGCAAACTGTGATCAGTCGATTGCAGCATGCTTCTACGCTATTTCTTCGATCAAACTATATGCAATTACTTGGGGATATTCCAAATTGTAACTCCAAGGAATGGGAATGAGACAGAGACCTGGGAAGTAAGATCAGTTTTCAAGTGACACAGAGTCCCACAAAGAGAGGGTTGTAAGGTGTAGGGTACGCTAAATGCCTAAATAGCGATCTACATCGTACTGTACAATATAGCCCTCAATCGGGTAGAATCACCAATTCTCCCCCGAGAAACCCAAAGAACCCCGTTTCAAAATTGAATTTCGATCGCCAGGATGTTCGTCTAGGATTATAATAATGGACAAGTCACTGAATTGAAAAAGTCTGTGCATTCTGTTAGCGGATATCATAGCCTCCGCTCAACAGTCTAAGCAGGCCGGTCGAACTGAGCCAGGGCTATATGCTCTCCACCTAGTCATATTCTGTTGAACTTGATGCTCGGAGAGAGTGGGGGATATCTATTTTGTCTGGAAGTCGCCGTTCAAGATTTCCATAGCACGTTATCAGTCTAGATCCACCTTAGAGACAGAGACTGATAATATCAATATATTCCGCAAACACTAGTCTTGAAGAGAGTAGCACAGTGTAGATCGCACGGCGTCCAAGACCAGAATAAGCATAGCGGAACTAAAAGCACATTTTCTTTCATTTATCCCCCTTTCCCCCATTTTCTTGCGCGTCACGCGTGATTGGCCCGCAATTACTGCCACCTCCTCCAGACCGCTCACCCGCTTCATCCCCTTTCTTTCATCTTTGCTTCACTTCCCGAAGTGGACAATTCTTGGTATTGGTGTCATTTGACATATTTATCTCTTCGATTTTCTGCTGGTCTCCCACTTTTTTTTAGTTCGTGGTTCTTTATCAAACCCGAAATCGGTGTGCTTCGCGACTAAAGCTCCCGGGCCCTCACGTTTTCTTGATATACATATCCTGAAGGCTTGGAACCTAGGATCTTCTTTATTTCTCTTGAAGAGTTACTGGTGGCCTTCTTATTTCATCTAGTCTTGTCTAGATCTCAAAAATTTAGCATCTAGACCTGCATCGACAATCTCCGCCGACTCTGAAACATTTGACCCCCCCGCTCGGCCATTCTTCCTTCGGAATTCAGTCACCTCTCATGGAAATTGCAATTTAAGCTCAATATTCGCCGAAAATCTATCTCCTCTATCGAATAGTGGTTTGACCGACTACCGCTTTCTACGCGATCACAATTCAACCGGAGAACTTTGGGAGAAGTGTGATGTTGCTAGCAAGATACTAGTCAACTTCAATTACTTCGGCCATCGCTCTATCCTCACAACATGGGAAACACCCAAGGGAAACCGGTGTCTTGCAACGATGCAGGTAGGTTTACTGCACTCGGATCGGGGAGGACGTCTTCGGGATTGCCTGAATACGATTATCTCAAATAATATGCTGATCGCTTTTTCTCTACTAGTCAACCTCAATCATTTCCGGCTCCTGCGTGTCGTTGGAAAGGGCGCATTTGGAAAAGTACGGATCGTCGAAAGGAAGGACACAGGCCTCACATTCGCCCTAAAATATATCCGCAAAGAGGAAGGTTTGTTGGAACTTCAAAGCTCCCGAGCTGAGACAGCTATAGCTGACACTTGTTTCAGTGGTCCGTTCGGAAAGCGTACGGAATATAATTCGCGAACGGAGAATGCTCGAGCACTTGAACCATCCGTTCCTTTGCAATTTGCGATACAGTTTCCAGGACATGGAGTACATGTGAGTATTCCCGAATCGACCCTCATCACTCCCTACTGACCGACTTGAAGCTATATTGTGGTTGATTTAATGAACGGCGGCGATCTTCGGTTCCATATCTCCCGAAAATGCTTCACAGAGGATGCGGTGCGCTTTTGGATGGCGGAACTGGGGTGTGCTCTGAAGTATATCCATTCGCAGGGTATCATTCATCGCGATTTGAAACCAGACAATGTCCTGTTGGATTCCGATGGACATGTTCACTTGGCTGATTTTGTAAGTTCTATCCGCATGGATCGAATTTCCGTGAGCATCAGCTAACTTGGATTTCCAGAACGTGGCATCCGATTACCGACCGGGGAAGCCTCTTACAAGCAAGTCAGGAACACTAGCCTACCTAGCCCCGGAAGTCTACGAAGGAACTGGTTATACCTTTGAGGTCGATTGGTGGTCATTAGGTGTCACTTTTTACGAGTGCATCTACAATAAGGTATGAGAGCTTTGTTTCCCGCCTACTTTCCCGTCTAACATTTAGTGCAGCGACCATTTGAAGGCCGAAGCCAAGAAACCTTGAGCGAAAACATCAAAAAGGCACAGCCAAAATACTACGTCACCAATCCCGCAGTATCAGTAGCTTGTTTGCGGGCGTTGGGGTCATTAATGCAAAAAGATCGGAGTCAACGAATCGGCGCTATCGGGTTTGAGACCTACACCTCGCATATGTTCTTCGCCGAAATCGACTTTGATGCCCTGGAGCGCAAACAGATCCCGCCGGTATTCGTCCCATCAAGCGACAAAACCAACTTCGATGCGACTTATGATCTAGAGGAGCTCCTTCTTGAAGAAGCGCCCTTAGAGGCGAGAGCGCGCAGGCAAAAGCCGCGCGCTGAGCTAAGGGACGATGCCACTGCGAAGGAAATTCGGGATGAGGAGCTTCATCGTCTCATTGAGACAATGTTCGAACCGTTCGACTACACCTTGACTAGCTATCAAGGCATTGCCGCGGAAGCTATTGCTGCCGTAATGTGGGTTTATCTCCCCATAAAGACGATTGTCCACTTGTGCTAACAGTGTCTTCCAGAAATCCCGAGGAGTGCCTTCCAATGGCGAGAACAACCCAAGGGAACACTACAACCCAAGGGAACCCTACCGTACATGTCCGACAATTCTCACAGCCCGACCCTAAAAATACATCTCCTATCCAAGCCGACGGCTCGCACTACCGTGCTCCACCGAGTGAAAACATGACTACAGTCAGCGAGACACTCGACCCCAATGACCCCGCGACTGGTCAGCCTCCTCCTTCCCCTTCAACCCGCGTGTCAACTTCACCGCCACCTGCCCCGTCCTTCCAACCGCCACCCGCTCCATCCTTCCACCGACCCCTACCCCCCAACAGTCGACACCGTGGTGCCACTCGGCAAATGAGCAAAAGTGGAGGCGTACAAATGGTCCTAAACGAAGCTGGCAGCTGGAGTGAGCTGGCTCATAACTCCACCCCCGCTGATGGCATGGAGAATGGCGATGACAAGGGCAAGCAAGCCAATGGCATGCTATCATTCTTTAGTCGGAAGAAGGGCCGCGACCGCAGTCCCAAACCGACCGAGCCAGGCGTTCTGGGCAAAGAGGGAGCTAGACAGATCATTAGCTGAAAGGCACGCCTTTGGTGAAAACCAATTGGCGCTTATGCGGGTGGCGCTGTCGCTGCTGACAATTTACCCGCATTATATGGCCATTGTGCCAACCTACGTGTTTTCTACTCACACTTGGGTTTGAAATCCCGGCCCGGTGACCAGTGCTACCCAGTTTAGCATCCAAGGAGGTCAGCGATCAAATGCTGGCTCTAACTCCTTGGCCAGGTTGCCACCACTTCGACACGTTCCGGTTTCCGCTCCATAGGGAGTGGCCGGAGGGAGACGGCCTTGCTGACCCTGTCTGATTGCATACTGCATATCGACTATGCATTTCTCTGCGTTGATCTTTGCAACAAGAGATGCAGTGCTCGAGGCACCATCTCCCTTTCATTCTATTAGATTCCCCGGACACAGCGTGAATTCATTTTTTTCATCACTATCATCTCTATATATCATCCTCATCATCATCCTGTATCGCCACCTCCCCACCTTCCCCCTCTCACAGCTGTACAGATACTATACTCATGGCACAGATACTATACTCATGGCAGACACAAACAACCAGATGCGCTTTTTTTCTCTCATCACTCCTCTTTTCGGTTGGCTTTATTCATTTTTGTCTGTTTTTCTTCGCAACGATGTCTTATTTAACCTTGTTTGTTTTGGAGTTTTCATACCCTGACTCGTTGATATGAACATTTGTATTTTGGTTAGAATGGACTGGAGTATGTCTATGTGGGCTGGGATAGGTGTATTTAATGTTATCTCTTGCATTTCAATATACAAAATTAGCTATATCTCACAGCCTAGAATCCTAGTGACCATTGCTCCGTACATATATGGCCTTGAATATTATATCCACCCGTTGCTCCGCAACCATTCACATCTACTTATAATATAGTTACGCATTATGAACGCGCGGACTTTATAGAATATAGTATATATATAATATATAAAGAGCTTTATAGGGAACAAACCCTATGACCACAAAGCCAGACATTGTACCTTGGCATTATACAATCTCTTGGCATCCGTGTGGGGAAAAAGCAAAACAAAGCCATACAAAATACCAGCTTATACCGACCCCATATAGATGGAATTCCAAGAATTTCCAAGACAGCCTGGACTTTTCAATCCCAACTTCCCACGTGTCCAACCTAACCTCGACACATTCCATTCCATCACCCTCCCCCTTCCCACCTAAGACCAACCCAATCGACAATAAAAAACCATCCCCACGAACAACAATTCCGCATTCCCATCCCACCGATCAGCGCATACCACACCAAACCACCCCCACCCCCCATCTGGCATGCCAAGCCAATCCCAATCCCGAGACCGACCCGACAGACGCGACCGGGACCGGGATCGGGATGGCGACCGCACACGCGAGCAAGAGCGCTCGCGCCGCCGAGACCGGGACCGGGAGCGCGAGTACATCCGCGGCCGCTACGAAGACGACGAAGGCGCAACGTCCAGTCCTGGGAACGCGCGCACCGCGAAATACCGCTTCCGCGGGGAATCAGGGTACGAGTCGAACTCGCATAATGAGCGTGAGGATTATGATGAGGAGCGGGAGCGGCGCAGGGAACGGAGGCGCAGAAGGAAAGAGGAAGAGGATGAGGCGGCGGGTCTTGCTTATGGGGAGTCTGGGGAGGGGAGGAGACGAGATAGAGAACGGGAGAGAGGGAGCTCTAGGGTGAAGGATTCGCCTGCTACGTCACCTACTAAACGGCGGGATCGCGAGAGGCGGTATCGCAGAGAAGAGAGTGCGAGTGCGAGCCCTGCTAGAGAGAGACGGACGAGGGATGTTGATGTTGATGCTGAGGCTGAGGCGCGGCGGCGGAGACGGCGTGAACGCGAGCGTGAAAGAGAAAGGGAGCGCGAGCGGGAACTCGATGCTGCTGCTGCTGCGACGGCGGCGAGGAAACATCGTAGCACTGAGTCTTCGAGTAGTGCTGCGCATCTCTTGAGTGTGGATGCTATGGCGCGTCTTGCTGCTGAGCAGGAGGATCTGGATCGCAGGGAACGGTCTCGCGGAGAAGATGATTCGCGTCGGGAACGTCGACGACAGCGGAAGCGAGCTGCTTTAGACGATGCTGCTGGTGCGGCGCTCGGTGCTGAAGTTGCGGAGGGTCGCTCACGCCATAAAGCGGGCGCGCGAGTTGTGTCTGGTGCTTATTTGGAAGAAGGACATAGCTCTGATGCTCGGGTTCGTCGTCGTGGCGGCGGTGGACCTGTTGTGGAAGATCATTGGGAAGACAAGGACAGCTGGGAAGCCAGCTCGGACAGCCGTGGAGGGCCATCGGCTTGGAAATTTTGGTCTAATTGGTCGAGAAAGAAACGTATCTTGGTCGGATGCTTGCTGGCGTTGCTCCTCTTGCTTGCCATCATCATCCCGGTTGCAATTGTGGTGTCAAAAAAGCAAGGTTCAGATCCAAAATCGAGTTCCTCGGACTCTGGTGACAGTTCTACTACCTCTAATTTGGGCAGTATCAGCCGCGGAAGCATACCAGTAAGTCTTGTGTACCGCCTGGATGGACTTTACTGACAACAGTACTTCAGACTTACGCCACAGGCACCTTCTTGGACCCATTTACGTGGTATGAGACCAAAGGGTTCAACCTCACGTTCACAAATGCCACTGTGGGTGGTCTTTCTGTCATGGGCATCGACTCGGCTTGGGATGACACTGCCCGGGCAAACGACAATGTGCCTCCTCTTAACAAGGCCTTTCCTTACGGCACACAGCCGATCCGCGGAGTCAATCTAGGAGGATGGCTGTCTATCGAACCCTTCATTGTCCCGTCCTTGTTCAGCAAGTGGCCATCCAGCGCTGGTATCATCGACGAGTACACCTTGACTAAAAAGCTTGGAAACTCTGCGGCGGCCACGATCGAGCAACATTATGCCGAATTCATCTCAGAGTCGGATATAAAAGAGATCAAAGACGCCGGACTGGATCATGTCCGCATCCCATACTCCTACTGGGCCGTGACTACCTACGACGGCGACCCATACGTTCCGAAGATTGCCTGGCGTTATCTCCTGCGCGCAATCGAATGGTGCCGCAAGTATGGACTACGGATCAAACTCGACCTCCACGGACTCCCCGGCAGTCAAAACGGCTGGAACCACAGCGGCCGGCAGGGCAGCATCAACTGGTTGGCCGGCTCAGACGGTACCCTCAACCGCAAGCGGTCACTTGAGGTCCACGACCAACTCTCACAATTCTTTGCCCAGGATCGGTATAAGAACGTTGTGACAATCTACGGTCTGGTGAACGAGCCGTTGATGCTGACCCTGCCCGTCGACCAGGTCCTAGATTGGACTAAGGACGCAGCGGAACTTGTCCGCAAGAATGGTCTCACTGCCACTCTTGTCCTACATGATGGATTCCTGAATCTCGCCAAGTGGGACAACATGTTCCAAACCCATCCGGACAACATGTACCTCGACACCCACCAATACACTACCTTTAACACGGGTGAGATCGCGTTGAACCACACCGCCAAGGTCGACGTCATCTGCAATAACTGGCAACCCATGCTCAAGGAGATCAACACGACAACTTCTGGGTAAATGAAGCTCCTTTTTCTTGTAATTTCATACGCTAACACGCAACTAGATGGGGTCCAACCATTTGCGGTGAATGGTCGCAGGCAGACACAGACTGCGCGCAGTATGTGAACAACGTTGGCCGAGGTACCCGATGGGAAGGGACCTACGACACCAGTTCATCGAAGGCATATTGCCCAACAGCGGACGCAGGAACGTGCAGCTGCGCAGATGCGAACCAGGACCCTTCCTCGTATACGGCTACCTACAAGAAGTTCTTGCAGACATATGCCGAGGCACAGATGTCTGCCTTCGAAACGGCGATGGGATGGTTCTACTGGACCTGGCGGACGGAGTCCGCCGCGCAGTGGAGTTATCGCACTGCATGGAAGAATGGATATATGCCAAGCAAGGCGTATAGTCCTTCGTTCAAGTGCGGCGATACAGTGCCTGACTTTTCCGATGCAGCGGAAAGTTTCTGATATGATTTTACTGCATATGTTTGCATTTTGCGTTTCATTTTTTATGTTTGCATAGATACCATGGATAAAGATTAGAATTCTTGCATATGATTTGATTTCAATTTCCGGATCTGGATATTCGATATCTTCTCCCATTTCAGCAGTTTCTTCGAGTCGAAATAACCTCCATCTCAATTCCGATTTCTGGAGATCTAAGCCTCAAACCAGCCTCCACCCTCCCAAATACCAGGATGATAGACTTTCTCCTCCCGCACCCATGGAATCCTAACACCCCCAAGCAACCGATCAACCCTGTGGAAATCAATTGGCTTCATAACCCATCCATCAAAGCCCGCATCCATGTACATCTTCCGATTCTCCTCGACCAAGGATGCAGAGACAGCGAAAATGGGAATGCGAGGCGCAGGCGTGTTCTCATCGGCCAGCTCCTGCTGCTCGTATTCGCGGATCATCTGTGTTGCATCAAGGCCATCGACGATCGGCATCTGCTTGAGTGTTAGTATATATATTGAATTGGGAATTGTTTAATGGTTGGTGAGGCATACTTGTAGATCCATCAGCACTGCGTGAAAACGAGTGGGATTTGCTTTGTAGGCGGAGACGCATTCTTTGCCATTGCTTGTCATGTGCACCGTGTGGCCGAATCGCTCAAGGCGCTTTTGGAGGATTGAGCTGTTGATTGGGTCGTCTTCCGCGACGAGGACGTGGAGGTTCCAGTCCATTGTGGGAGAGCCGCTTCGTTGGCGGGATTGGGACTGGATGGTTGGTGAGATCGAGAAGGTTTCTTGGATGGGAGATTTAGATGCTTCTAATGATGACTTGGGATCTTGTTTTGGAAGGGAGGGGATTGGTTTATCTGGCTGGTTGCTCCGTTCGCCAGAAAGGGAGATGTTTTTTGATTCGCCGGTTCTCAAGCTTACATCGGCGCTCACGATGTAATCGCCTGATTCAAATTCGGACGTTTGACCACATTCACATGGAATAACGCTTTCTTCCTGGGTGGCTACGCAACTTGAGGATGTAGTGTCTTGCCTTGTGTCCTGCTTTCTTCCATCTTCCTGCAGATGTTCGTTTGATGTAACACACGCGTTCTGCTTTTGACCACCATTTTCATCAGGAAGAGGAAATGCAAGCCTGATTTTGAAACAACTTCCCTTGCCTTCTTCAGACTTCAAGCTTAGTTGCCCGTTCATATTACGCACGATTCGGGCAACTAGCGCGAGGCCCAGGCCGAGCACACTTTCAGTCTCGAACACATGGACACTTGAAGCGGGCTCGTATGACTTGGGATTCTGCATATATCCCTTGTTCGAGACTTGTTCCAGCTCGCAGAACAATATTTCGACGGTCTCTTGGGACATGCCAGACCCGGTATCATGTATTGCAACTTCAACACAGATATGATCTGGCTCCAGCGGCTCCAGTACGATACAAGACTCGATTGTTACTGCCCCGGTGGATGTGTGCTGTATAGCATTGCTGATCAAGTTTGTGATCACCTGGCGCACTCGTCGTTGATCTCCGAGGACGGGAGGTAGGGCTGCATGTTGAACTACCTGCAGGTCGACATGCTTCTGCCTTGCTTCTTCCCAAAATATGTCTGTTGCTTCTGTCAGAGTCTCTGAGAGATCGAATACCTCATCCTTTATCAACCGCTGTCCGTTTTCGGCATTCGTGAGGTCTAGAAGGTCGTTGATGATGTATACCAACGACTTGGAAGCCGAGTGGGATCTGGAAATGTGATCTCGTGTTTCTTGGTCCAGAGATCCATCAAGAACAATTTCCAGATAGTTGATGATGGCATTGAGAGGTGTTCTGAATTCGTGCGCAGAATTAGCCAGTAAAAGCCTCATCAACTGGTTGTTCTGCAGTGTTGCCTCCTTCTCTTGCCATATATCGGTGAAAATGCGATATAGCAAAGACAGAACAGATGCCTTTCCAAGCTCTGCCGATGACCACTCATCCTGTCGACTCGATCTCTCTGAATCAGACGCGACGTTATGGCTTTCTAAATCAGCCCGGAAGAAGATAATAAAATCACGACTGTCCACTGAAAGAGGAACATAAAGCAAACCAGAAAGATGATGAAAGCCAGGCGAGTAGTTGAGATCCTGAAAATCGGCAGCGATATCTCTGGACCAAAACACAGTGTCGTTCTCTTTGGCTTTCATGTATTCAAACAATGCCAGAACTTCCTGCGAGTCGACTGGTTTCCCCAAGATCTTGGACTCGCCCATAATCGACGCTGCGGCGTAATCTGCCCGGAAAAAACTGAGAAGATCACTGGGTAGAGTCTTGATAGCCTGAGGTGTGGTCGCTTTGTCCAAGGATATGTCTGGCTCCCGAAATTGAAAGGGCAAGGTGTAGGACAGACGCTCAATGTTACTTGAAACCGCCTGAGCTACAAACCAACACACTTTCTGGATGAGGGGATGAAGCCCTTGGCTATTGTCATAAGACTGACATGACATGAGACCCCAAAGCTTGCCAAAAACATTGATTTGAATGGACAAACAGGCCTTGACGGGATTTTCGATATGCGGCGTTGATGGCGCTGGTGCTACAGAGAGATAGGTGTTTGACATGTCGAGGGGCATTTTGTTGGTGGAAGCCCGATACACAAGCTTCGAAGTGCCCTGACTCCCAGAACAAGAGGAGGATACAGTATTGCGTGTGTATAGTTTCTTCAGTCCTTCAGGGAAGGTTGATTCCGGGAAATGCATCCCTTCGTACGAAGTTAACCCCGACGAAGTATCAACAGCATCGACGACCACGATTCCGTTGCGATCACTATGAAAATGATACATGGTCGCTCTGTCAAATGCAATAACACTTTGCAAAGTGGTAATGGTATGTTGAACGAGTGCTTCCAACGTTTGAGCAGTTGCAAGTCGCTGGAGAATTCGAGGGATGGTATTGAGAAGCTCTGGTGAGTCTGGAACTTTGCTGTTTCTGGAGTCATGACCTTTCCCCGGAGGACTAACATCCTCGAAAAATGCCCCCGAAGTCATATCCAAGCTCCAGCTATCCGATGTTGCCGTTTGACTCTCGGAATTCTCCAAATCGGGGTGATCCTTTGTCCCTGGAGCCTCAGGCTGAAGCTCGCAAATGACATAGTTCTTATATACCGTGCTCGTATGCATGGTACACCAAGTACCCTGGGTATATCCGTCAGATGATAACACAGAAAGGAAGAAAACCTCAGGGCCAGATTGCTCGACCGAGTAGTCATCGCCCAAGACGAATTGGGTATGAGCAAGAAAGTTGCTCTGTTGCGAGGATGGCAATATATCACAAAATGTTTGAAGCTCGAAGAGTTTACCAGGAGAATACCCGATGATTTCCTTGGAGTTGTCGCTCGCTATCTGCACTTCAAAGTTACCGTTAAACACTGTCAGCACAACGAGTGCACCGAATGACTGAATGAAGATGTCCTCTTCATCTTCGTGCGAGTAGTATATCCCCTTTGTTGTTTTGTGGAAGTCAAGTATTTCGCCACCGTTTTGCACAGTGTTCTTCAATTGTGCCAAAACGTCGAGATTAGGGCTGACATAAGATTGTCCTTTGAGCACTGATGAACTCTCGCTCTCGCCACAGCTCTTTTGATGCAGCCGAGTGAGATAGTCGGGTCTCTTTGAGACACCATCCTCAGCATTCATGCTCTTCCCTGGTGGATTCTTCTGCTGACAGCCCGCTTGTTCATTGGTGAAGCCTGCACCCCACGTGTCCGAAAAAGGGGATATCGGTGTTTCGAGTTTATCGAGGGAAGGTGTCTGCAGGGTGGATGAAGGCGTGGAATCAAATGAGACAACCGAGCGAACGGGAAAGACTCTTTCCGCCGAGTCAGTGCCCAGTTGAGGCAATTTCAACTTCGGCGAGAGTAGCTCGGCTACTGTTGATATTTCAGTCTTGTTGTCAGACATGATACACATGGTCTTTGGTATAGACAACGTTCGTGCGAGAGACTGCCTCCTTCTAGAAGGATTTTCTTCTTTCTTGCCATCTTGGACATCGTCATTCCGGTCATCATAAATGACCGTCCAGTCGCCGTTATCTCTAATGTCAGATGGTGAAGACATATCTCAATATTCAATCCTTGGGGGAGAGAACAGTTGAAAATGGTTCGAACTAGCAAGACCGCCAGGGTTAGTTCTAACCCAGGCAGTGAGTTTTGCGGGAAGCAGCTCACGGAAAGGTAGCGATGTATCCACGTAGTTAAGCAAGGACTAGCAACATCCGACTCATCATGTATCAAGGGCAATTTGGGCAGCACACCGAGTGTATGAGGAAAATTGAATGAAGTTGAAGGGCATATGGTTGCGAGATTGAAAGATCTCCACGAATGTCAGGCTTCAACCGGGGTTACCAAGCGTTTCTTCCCCAGCTCATGCTTTCTCCTGTGAGCATTCAACCTATCAAAGCATTAGCCAACAGAAACAAGCTTCCTGCCTGGGAGCATGTCCTCGGTTCCCTTGTCCGGTTCGCCGGAGACTACCATGAGGAAATCACTCGCAATCCTTTGGACCAGAATCTCAGATCCATGGTATGAGGTTCAGCAAATGGTCTAGTCAATCGGATGGCCCTGGCTTGAAGGTATCTAACCCCTCCAAGGAGTACGAACTTTTGCGCTCACCCTCATCCGCTCTTAGACTCTGAGAGATTTGTCGTGCGTGCTTATGCTGCAGGTGTAACCCAATCAAAGATACCTAGGGCCTTACCGGTAATCGAGTCAGAGCGTACGAAGGCGACAATCGGCGATTCCGGACCAGAACCATAGAACCTGACATGGAGGTACCTGTTCCGGCCCATCGAGAATCAGCTCAGCTCGAATGGGAATACCCCACACATTCCACAAAAGATGAGTGGTCTACTCAGATAGTGTGTGACAAACGTGTTGGATGGCAACATTAATAACGGCTTGGATTTGGCTGCTGGATTCTCAGTTAGCTTCTGTCTTGTCATATCAAGTTTCGAGATGAAGTCGGAATATATCACAGAAGATGAGTTATCTACCCACGAGTGTCAGATAGAGCGTGGTATATTGCACCCTGGCAATAGAGCGTGAGATCCATAGCGATGCCAGTTATTATCCAGGATCGCAGATATCCCAATCGGACCACAATGCCGAGCCCTGTTGTGAAATTGCCATATCTAAAATTGGACGGGAATCTGACTCGCGGGCATTGTTTCCGGATACATGGGAGGCGCGAGGCCATTCATCAAACGACCAAGGTTCCACCACTCTTTGGCCTGTAGCAACCCTAGGCTGACGACGGGGAATGAAGGACATTGGGACGCATGTTTTGACATAGCAGTAAGAAGTTCAAGAGATGTACGAGATGAGCAAGTAAAATATAATATCAAATAAGAGATACGATAAACCTAGCAGAAATACCTCAAACACGTTGCTCACGCCAACCGGGACTCCCCAAAAAGTTCTCTCCAAATATCATTTCATAATTTCGTACCATGCTGATTACCAGCGTCGACCATAAACCGAGTCTTCATTTCGTGGCCGGTTAGGCTGGACCTCGTTTCCACGACTGCGTGGGCCAGACTGTGTTGACTCTTGAGAGGAGGAATGAACAGGCTCAGTCTCATCCCCAGTATTCAGTAGTCGAGTAGGCTGGTTGAAGTCCAGGGTACTTTGGTTATCCGTGAATCGGGATTCTGCATCACGGCCGAAGAGAGCCATCATGTCGCGCATGGTGAGCTTGCCAGCGCCAGTCTTGCCCTCGATGGTGGCATTGGCCAGTTCGCGCTTGCGGTCCTGCAGGGCAACAATGCGTTCCTCCACGGTACCCTTGATGACCATCTTGTAGATTTTCACGTCAATGGTTTGATTCAGGCGATGGACACGATCGATGGCTTGCTCCTCCACAAACTAGGTTCAGAGTTAGCATAATGCGCAATAAATTATAGAATATTGCAACTTACGGGATTCCAGAAGGGCTCCAAGATGACGACGCGGCTAGCGGCTGTCAGATTGAGGCCTAATGCACCGGCACGCAGACTGCAGAGCAGCACACGAGTGCCACTGTTGTTTCGGAGCTTTTCGAGACTGGCCTCGCGGTGGTTATTTGTCATTGCACCATCGTAGCGGGCGAAGCCAATATTAGCACTCTTCAAGAAGGGCTCGATCTTATCAAGCATGGATGTAAAGACCGAGAAAACAATGAACTTGAAGTCTGGTGCTTCGCGATTGAGAATCCGCATAAGATGGCGGATCTTCGTGGATGGAAGCTCTCCGTTTTCTCCTTCATCGTTGTAGATGTCCTCCGCTTCGGAATCGCTTTCATCCTCGGACTCGCTTAGAATGATGGGGTTGCTCTTCCTTCTGGAGGGCGATTCGATCTCATCATCGGTTTCATCGTCCGAAACGAGCCATTCACCGCCTCCTTCAGCGTTCTCGTCGTCGGAACCACCTGCTTTTCCGAGGTTGGGCATCTTGCGCTGATCGTCAGGTACAACCCAATCGCCTTCTTCTTCATCTTCGTCGTCACTGTCGATAATGACTCGACGATTTTTTCGAGAACGAGCGATTTGTGCATCGGATTTGCGGGCTGACGGGGAGTCCGGAACGTCAAGCTTCTTGTGGCTCTTCTTCGACTTCTTCTTCTTCTTTTTATCTGTGCCCATAACATTGGTATTCAGGTCGGCTTCACATTCACCACATCGGCTGCCACCGGCCTTGATTTCGCTTGGACTCAGGTCCGTTTGGCAAACATCGCATTTCTTTGCGACAACGCTCATTGCTCCGAAAAGATCGGCGATGCTATCAAGGTCATCCGGTTTTGACTGTCCTGGCTGGCTGTTCGTACTGCCATTCTGCAAAAGGATATCCTTGTCCTTGGCCAAATCACCCTTGACCAAGTCTGGGTGGTTACAAGACTGGCGAAGACGCAACAGCAGAACCAAAGCTCCAGCGTAATCGACCTTAGCACCACCCATCATTTTCTCAAGACTGTTATCCGTCCGCTGTTCGAGACGTTTGTAGAAGTTTAGCTCGCCAGGCATGAATTCTGCGGCCACCTTAATGACCTCACGCTTGGTGATGTGGAATCCATTCGAGGACTTCTTTGGCTTGCCGTCTGGCCCTTCTTCACCAGGTTTCACATTGTCGTTGAGTCTGAGGACATCCTTGGTGCGCCGTTTCATGAAGGCCTTCAGATAGACTTGTAGTCGCTGAATAGCGAGACCTCCACGGCCATTGTTCAGAGGCCGGCTGATTTGATCTCTCCATGCAGCCAACTCGTCATAGGGCTTCACCCGAAGGAATTTGATCAGACTCTGCAACTCATCCAGGTTGTTTTGCAATGGCGTTCCTGTCAAGCACCAGCGGTATTGGGCATCCAATGCATATGCTGACTGTGTTGCTTTGGCGTTGCGGTTCTTGATTGTGTGTGCTTCGTCAAGAATGATACGGTACCAATGAACTGCGAAAATGCCCGCCTTTTTGACCTTGTCCGATGCTGATGAGTTGAATTCGGAGGTAAGGGTTCCATACGTTGTGATCACAACATCGTACTTGTCCAACGTTGTCGAAGTCTTTGCGCGTGTTGTACCGTGATAGATGCAAACACGCAGCTTGTGGGACGGCTCAACTTTATCCTTGATTTCTGCCTCCCATTGCTTGATGAGTGCAAGAGGCGCAATTACCAAAGTGGAGGGAATGCAGTTTGGGGGTAGCTTTGTCGTCTTGCCCTCAGATTCGGTGGTCCCATCGTTGTGTTCGTGGTCGGATTTACGGTTTTTGAGCAGCAAAGCAATCGCTTGCACTGTTTTGCCCAAACCCATATCATCTGCAAGGATTCCGCCTTTGGGGAAAATTCCTTTGGACGTCTTTCGGCCAGTCTCTTTGTCACACATCCATCTCACACCTTCAATTTGATGGGGAAGGAGGGTAACTTTTAAGCCTTCGACGACTCCATCATCTTCATCGTCTGATTCCTCTTCCTCCTCTTCTTCTTCCTCTGCTACCTCGTCGTCTTCTTCATCTAGCTGGGCAACTTCATCGCCTTGCTCGACCTTGGCAGATGAATCGTGTTCAGACTTGGCATCATTATCCTTCGGGTCGTTGACTGTGACCCCTTGAAGTTGAGCAGCAAGATCATCAAGGTCGTCAATCGCTTGCTCCTTCTTCTTGTCCACAACGACTTCATCTTTCTGCTTCTTCTGTGACGTCTTCTTGGACTTCTTTCCACCCTTCTTCTTCTTGCCTTTAGGTTTCGGCTCAGCCTTGTCCTCCTCGTCCTCGAATGCACCTTCAAGCAAAGCTTTGATGTTCTCGTTTGCCATAGCCGTATCTACATAGCCATTCATATCCATGGCCCCGAAGCTCGGCGGCGCATAGGCTGATGCCCTTGGAACAGGATCGGTGTCGTCGCGTGTGAGATCTATAAATTTTTGTATGTTCTTCGACGCGCCTGCCATCGGTGGAACAGGCTTGGATTGATAGATAGGCCGAGGGGCCCGAGGAGTTGTCCAAGTGACATTCTCAGGGCGCTTGATACTCACTGCACCATGCTGGAATCCTCCGCGAGGGTTGTTGTAGGCTGATGGTGCCACCGGCTTGAATGGATCCCATGGCTCGCTACGTTTCACCGACGGCGTAGCGATTGGGGCACCCGAAGTGCCCGGTGGGCGATAAGCGTGAGGCGTAGCACTTGACTGCCCTTGGTGGCGCGATTGTGGCTGCTGTTGGGGCTGTGGTCGAGGGGCGGGCCGATGATGTTCGGCACGGGATTGATTTGGCTTTGGAATGTTGAAAAGATGGTTTGATCTGTGTTGTGGGGGGCCGATCGGCGAGGGTTTTCCGAATTCAGGTTCCTGGACATGTGCGGGGTGAGGCTGGGTGTTTGGTTTTCCCCCTGGAGTGAGGGGCTCCATTGGCGCGGTGCTTTCTCTAGCCATTGTGATTTAACGAGCGGTGTGGTTTGGGGAGTATCTTGTCAGATGGGTAATAGGTGGGTTTGTTAAATTCACTGGATGACCAAGTCTGGAATGATCCGATCCTAGGGCATCAAGATGGGAGGAGGAATCTCAGAGCACTGGAATTTGACGTTAGTCCTTTGTGTTTCTTTGTGTGCGTACACGACCAGTTCGTGGACTTTGGGGTGTGGGAATTGAATTTCTGAGTCCAAGGAAATGAAATGAATACAAGGAGAAACTAACCCTTAGATGATGCCTTGAATCCGATGTGTTTGTCGTTGGTGGGGGTTTGCAAACATCAAAGGGAAAAGGGTCGTTATCGATTCCAAAAGGTTATCGTTTTGTTTGGGGTCGGCCGAGCAACGGAGGATGCCTCAGGCATCACCCAAGAACGTCTATATAAAAACGACACATCTAGTCCTGCAACCCATACCTCTTATCTACGATGATGAAATCGCTTATATTCCCCTCAAGAACCTAAATAATCGAAGGATTATAGATCCACATTTATACCAGTCATGTTCCTTCGAACCACTACGTGCGTAGAGGCAGAGTACAGTTAGCTTATGGATACCTTTGACTGCCTGAACCTTGAGCTTTGAATTGCACATTAGCAGGTAAGTTATCACAGGCTATACATGGAAAGCTCGTGTTGTAGTAAATGCGGTTTTCGCAGTTTGCGGTTGATTATTTCCATCCTGCTGGCTACGACATCGCATGTTGCAGTGGGGAAAGAAATATATATAAAGGATATCATGTCGCCCAGACCCTTGTTCTTGGCAGTATGTATTTCACTGGAAGATGCGCACTTCCCACACTACGCCCGTAAAACGATGAAATGGGTAAAATAATAACAAAAAAATGGCATGCAATGCCTGTACGATTTATTGGCTTTGGTAGCTCAAGATGGATTGATTAAGCATCGCCGTTGATATGGCCGCTCTTCCGACAATGCGCAAAACCATTCCACGCTGTAATTATGATGCATCAAAACTGTGAAGCGGGACTTAATTTTGGCATTGCTTTTCTCCATCTTGCCAAACAGGGGACTTTTACGGTTACAAATCTTCGGGTTTCTCTCTGACATTTAGGGGCATTCAGGTTAAACCTTGGAGAAATACAGTGAGCAGCCTCTTAATTGGCAAATCCAGGAGTTCCTGATTCAGTTAGTGACGTCTGAGTGGAGGCTTGGAAGCCTCAAGTTGACTGGAAAGAGAGTTGGCGCATTGCGGCTCGTTGGCGTGGAGAGATTTTAGTCCTGGAGATACGAAAAGGAGCACACTCTGAGAGTATTAGGTCAGGGAACGCGAAAGACAAAATGCGTTTAAGAAATCGCTGATTACCACCATTTTGGGCCAATACCTCTTGGGTGCCGGGCACATATGCAGCTCAGCCGAACGCGGGCTAACATGACTTCTATTTATAGCTTTAAAGGCCCACTAAGCTCACCACCAAAAATGAGCCGCAAATCTTTGCTGCAGGGAACGGCATTATATAAAAGAATATAGGACAACGCTTCCGTTATGATTAATTAAAAGGGCCTAATATCTAGTTTCATGGGACATGTCTAACACACAAACCACTAACTTAAGTATATGTATTCACTTCTAAGTATCTCCTCGTTCGACTCAACTTGAATCTGCTTATAGAAGATGGAGATGAAAACAAAAATGGAATTCAACTGTTGCTCCACAAATTTCAACCTGTTCCTGTTTTCGATATGACAATAAGTAATGGAATACCTGAAGGCAATCAAAGATCATCCCAGGATAAATGAAATCTCAAAGCAACTTTCGCTTTTTGGTCATTATTTCTGGAGATGGCGTTCCTGGAGATGGCAAAGCGCCGTCAACTTCCTGGCACAGGGATATAAATTCGTCGTACGTGATCACTTTGGTGAACCCGCCCTCGTCCAGTTCTTCAATTTTACGAAGCAGCACATCCTTGAAAATTTCAACTTGGTCGGCCATATCAACACAAAACTCCAGATCGGTCAGCGTGGTCGGCAAGTCGACAAGATAGGGTCCTTTAGTCCAAACAGGGGTTGATCTGGCCCCCTACGTTAATCTCAGTTAGTCAAATTCACGTACTCAAGTATCGTTTACCTTACACCTGGTAGAAAAACTTCTCGTAATCCCTGCCCATGGATTTTGATTTCAAGGTTTTTGTAACGGTTGACATTATTGTCCTTCGGCAACACGATTCTGAAGCCTCTCATCTTGACAGATTCCTGCAGATATTTTAGGATCCATAAATCAGAGACCGGTAGTGGTGTCTTGCCTTTCCAATATAAATGCTCAATTTTGCGGCATGTACCTTATTGAGGACGCTTGTGACGAAATTATCAAAGTATTCCGTGACTTTCATAGCCCCCGGTTGTTTTTCTGCGATGATGGTTTTTAAATAAGATTCAAATTGCAGGTCAGCAAAAGGGTTGGATACAAACCTAGATCGTCCCGTGCTAGATCCTCCTGTTTCAACCTCGACTTCGCATAATCAAACGCTGCGTTTGCTGCTTTTCGCAAGGCTGCACCATAGTGTTGGTCATTTCCAATGCCTTTATACTTATCGCCCATATCTGAGACACCCTTTATGACTCCAAGAGCCTCAACATTGGTAAATTGGCAGACTTGGAAAAATGCACTAGCTTCCATCTCTAGTGCTTTTACTTTTCGCGGCAATATCTAGAAAGCATTAATAGAGAAATAAATCCACCCAATGTATACGTACCCCTTTATTGACGCGATCAAAGATATACTTGGCATCCATCCGTACCGCACAACCTGAAATGTAGTCGCCCTGCTTCCAGTACGGGCGTGCCATCTCGGTAACAAATCCATTAAGAGCATCTGCCTTTGCCGCGAAGGTCTCCGTGTCTGGTTTAAAGACACGTTTCTCGTTTCCGTCCTTCTCTTCGATTTCCCACTTTCCTTCCTCATAGTTCAGGGCTTTGTGCCCGAAAATAACGTCTTCAACCCTAATATCATTAACGAAAAACACCTCAAACCCTTGGATAGCACTTCTGAAAGCTCTTACTTGATATCTTGCTTATTAATAGCACTGCAAACACCAACGTGTATTGCATATGCAGGCTTCAAGATGGTGAACAGGGTTGCCGCTTGAGTCGCGAATGATTGAATACCTTGTCGAGTTGAGCTTGTGATATAGTAAGGGATTTTCCCTTTGTCAACGGGTAGGAGGCCTTGGAAGAATTGTATTCCGTCGGGAATTTGATCAACATTGTTACTGTGGATTACTGTGCTAGCCCCTAGCTGATCCCTGACCGTTATTGCTTCATCGGATTTGGCGCATATTATGCACAATGGACAAGCCTGTAGGGCTTCAAGTTTTATCCTTTTTAAGTTGTTGTTCATCTTGGTGATGATTAAGAGCGTTCAGAATAAAAAGACTATGGATGGAAGAAGTCTGATAATAAAGTCCTATACTTACAAAAAACTTGGAGAGAAAGAGGTTGGCTAAATTTATTGTTTGATTCACTGTCCCAGCGGGTTTCCTACTGCCTAGAACTTAGACAAGCCTCCCGCGTGCTCGATTTCGTCATGAAGACTCAAATAAATTATAAGTTTTGAGGTCCTGTACTAACGCCATGTGGGCCGATATGCAAGTCATTTCATTGGTATGTTCAATCTCGGCCATGAATTGTAGGTCCAAGGAAAATTCGAGTCACATGTAGAAGCTTTTTTATTGGAAATACATAGAAGGAACCGAACAGTAGGGTCTATCGATTCAACGACGGTAATTCGTATACTAAAACTTGAATTTAAACTGGTGCTTTACTTAATCAACACTTATAGACACATTCAACTCTCATTAACAAAGAGCCAGATTCATGTTGACGTGCTGGCTGTGATATTTTGTGGTCTAAAATAGCGAAAGCATCAGAAGCCTTAGCTAGCCCTACAAATGGACTTTGACATAAGGTGGGTGATACAGGGTTCTAGATTCCCTGTTCAAGAACCTGGGCGTTCTATCAGATTTCGTTGGATTTTAGGGTCTTTAACTCAACCGCCGTTGTCAGGTCTCACTGGAGTAGAATTTAAAGGTTGAATGCAAATGTAATATCAACAGTCGCTGTTTGCGGCAGTCTTTAATCACATGAAGCATAAATGCTTACGGCTATAAGTGGGGGCCTATGATAAATGAGCCAGTAGCATTCCAAGTCCATCGATATTGCAACACCTATTTCGTGCCCGCTACAGGATTCGAACTAGTCGCATGACATTACGTATCATGTCATCGGCTTGTCTAGTTTGTTGAAGAAAGCTTTAAGAGCCAAATGCAGGGGCGGCGGGGCTAGACCCCTTGAGAAACACGGATATAAGCTAAAATTCCACTTTCCTCTCCGAATTTGATGGGCAGCTCCAAAGCTAACTTTTCAGAATTTCTGAATAAGCTCATTCTGCTGATTTGGCCTTCTCGAAATTCTCCGGGCTTGAACAACTGACGCTGCTCCCTCGTGGTAGCATTTTCATTCTCGTTATGACAGGTCCTTTTCTAGGTCTTTGAGTGAGCAACTATGTTGAACTAATATATTTATAGTGTCAAGAATGGTACAACAGTGTCGCGAGGAAAGGTATAGTGGAGTTCACCATTCAACCGATCATCTGCTACTATGCAGATTCAGACTAAAGCAATTTCCCTATCGATGAACACGGCCAGCTCTGGGTGGTCAACTTTGCGAAAACCGGAGTTCTGCTAGCGTTCTTCGATTTGAGTGACTCTTGCAGTTGCTGCCCTTCCAAAAAGTGAGAACATCTACCAGCCAGTCCGTATTGGATGAACGATTTTCCTGTCAAATTCCTCAAACCCGGCGCCACTCGACTGTGCTTGCTATTTGAGCAAATTCGTTTATAATGATTTTCGTATGCTCGGGTGACTTTTTTCTTTGTAAGTTCTATTACTAACCATCATATCTAGACATCCATCGGAGCAATCGCATACAAGCTTATGTTGAATCCCTCCTGACGAGGTTCACACTTTCGAATCAACAACGACCTCTCATTACATAGGCGACACCGCAATTCCAGCATGAAACACCTACGAAGAGAAAAGAAATGCTTCATGAAGCCAGCAAATGATAACTGTAACTGGCTCTACCATGTGGCCCCTCTAGCGCTTTCATCTACATCTCCTTCCACATGGACGGAACGCTATAGATCAATGTTAGCTGGTGGTCGGTTAACAGCTACTATCCCTACTCACGAAACCTCAATCACAGCACATCTCCCACCCTGAACAACATCTGTCGCGTCTTTGATAGCAGGATCAAGTTGGCTCTGTGTAGTTACTGTCGCACCCCACGCCTTACCGGCTGCAGCGGCAATTCCGGGGTAATCGGGAGAAGGGTCGAACGAGATATTGAGATCTGTGCTAAATCAGCTACAGTGCACAATATATTTAGGTTCAATCTGACTGACCTCGTCTGTTCGACTTCGACGATAACCCGTTCTTGTGGACCAGAAGTGCAGACACCTTTGGTGCGTTCCATCCGCCGTTGTTGAGCACAATGAGGAGGAAGGGGATATCGTAGCGTCTCGCGATCCAATAGACGCTTTCCATCTGCGAGAACAGATAGACTCCGTCACCGACGCTGGGAGCTTATTAGATATTGTGGAAGACTTTTCCCACTGACGAACACTTACATTGCACATATGAATGAACCGGGCTTGCCTAGCTTGACGCCTAGTGCTGCACCGCCTCCCCATCCTAGACCACCTGCGCCGCTGGCAACCAGACTTCCTGGCTGAAATTCAATTAGTATCAAACCAACAATTTGGGGTGAATACATACTTGGGTCAAGTTCAAATGGTGGATGAGATGTCCTGCATTGGTTACAGCCTCCAAAACGTAAATAGTATCCTGGGGGAGAGAATCTCGCAGTCTGGATGCCAGGTACGGCACGCTGACTACACCGTCGGAAGATGGCGATTCAACTGCTTGTAGGGCTTCCCTCCAGGTTTTGTAGTTCTTTGACCGCTCCTCAAACTCCAGGGTATACTGAGCCCGATCGATATCCTGTTTATCCAGGAAAGCATTGATTTGCCCAAGCGCAATTCCACAGCCAACCTTGAGCTTACGAATAGTGTTGATTGAAAAGACTGATATAGAATTGTTAGAAAGAAAAAGCAAAAAGAGTTAGCCCTGCCGTCGATATGTGAACTTACGTGGCATCTGTTGCTTCAATGGATCGACATCTAGATGGAATACCTTCGTGCCTGCAGCGTCCGTCAGAAAAATATTGAAACATTGCTTTCTAGAAATTCTTACCGCTCTTCGGCTTCCCAGCAGTAGGAATCCAAGGCACATCACAGTCGAGAATAAGAATAACGTCAGCTTCAAGAACTTCCGGATGAGTAGTGACGGTAACACCGCGATACGCTTCGTGGTTACTTCGCAGGGAAACGTCAGAGCCGACCATCTCCACAACGGTGATTGGGAGTTTATCACAAAGCTCAGCTAAGAGGGCTGGTGCTTTGTGATTCCGACCAAGATAACCCGTGATGACAAGTGGCCGCTTTGCGCCCATGAGCGACTTGGCAATTAATTCCACCTCTGTTGGTGTCAGCGATTTGAAGTTATAGCTTGAGTAAATACCACCTTACCTTGCTCTGGCAATGCACTTGGGGTGATTGAACTGAGAATTTCCCCGTCTACGGATTCTTTTCCCACACGCTGCATAGCATATTCGGTTAGAGGTAATTTTAGTTTATGTCGATAACTGCAAATACTTACTTCCTCGAGTACCTCTCTCGCAGCCATTAGATATGCTGGGCCTTTGGGGTCAGATGTAGCGAACTGCAAAGCTCGCGAGACCATCTGCTTGATATTGCGTCCGGTCTTTATTTCACCTGTGTATCTGCAGTATTGGCGGACAATCGCTGCTTGATCGGGTACGTCTTGCAGCCAATGGATGAACCTGTAGTAGTGTCAGTAAGCTAGATGTAAACATTCTCGTTTGGGGTTGCTAACTCTGTTCTGGAACCCAACATTTCGCCATTCTGGGTAAAAGGACTCAAGCCAGCAAAGCACAGGACAGGAACTCTGCTAATGGAGGCGTTATGTATGGATTGTCCCATAGCGAGAGTGCCGCAGTCGACATGCACGATTACACATTGCTTGCAAGAAGTTAGCGAGAATCAATTGATATGGTGGGGATAGTCACCTACCGGAACTCCTGTAGTTTGAGCATATCCCAGTGCAGCTGATAGCGCAACTAGCTCAGATGGGCAGGTAATGATGTTCGGGAAATTGGTTTTGTTTTCTATCATAATTCAGCCCTGGCAGTGCTTATTGGATGACATCTCCGGTACTCACCTTGCTTAGCCTTGATCATCGCTTCCAACATTGCGGGATGGTCGCTCCCCCTATTCGGACCGGTCAAAATACATCAAAATGGTGGTTATTAAGGGACTCACAGGTTGACGAAGCAGTGAGTGATGCCGGCCTCAGCTGGGAGAAAGGTTAGTCTTTCTAATAGATTCCGTGGAACTTTGATCACATACACAGCGCCTCGAAGAAATTCTCAGCAGCCGATGTGAGGCTGCCATCTTTGACAATCTCGTTCTCGTCGTCACTCTCTGTCTTCTTTCGTTTCTGAGGTACTGTATTTGTCGACTTCATTGTGTATATCTTGCAATTGAGTTGCAATTGGTGGTGTGTATTGTTCAACGAGGGGGCCTCTGAGTTTAAATGTCAGCCCCTTGGATGTCCAGGTCAATGCAGCTCTATATACGAACCCCGCATAGTAATATATTTGGAATCCCGAGGTCAGGCCAATCATTTACAAGTATAGATTAGCTCCTAATTCCGCTATTTTATGGGGTTTTTAAATTGGAGTACCCGAGGCATGATCGGCATTTGTGCACGGCATTGGTATCTCGGAGTCTCTGCGATTGGCCTAATATTGATGGAAAATGGCACAACTCCGTAGATTCACCTTGGAATAGTAACTCTATGAAATCCGAAGCTCCTTATCATCTAACCATCATGTGTCTCATCATCGCCAGTTTATGTAAAACCCAATATCAAATTTCGCCGCTATCCACCCCCCCATAGAAATCAAATCTCGCCAATAACGCTCTTGAGTATCTCAGGGACAATAACACCCGCATCTCCCTGGAAGAACCAGTCACCGTAATGAAGTTCACCCGGTGTATCCTTGGGGTCCATATTGCACACTGCAACTCGGGCGCCCTGCGAACGAGCTTCGTGGACATACCCCGCAGCTGGCCAGATCCTCGCACTGGTGCCAATGACCAAACACAGGTCAATTGGACCCGCCGCGATCCACTTATCGACAGCATTGATCGTCTTCTCCGGCAAGGGTTCTCCAAACCACACGACTCCCGGTCGGAGCAAGCCATCCTTGCATTTCGGGCATTGGGGTAGGTCCTTTTTGTTCACTGTGGCGATAGGATTGCTGGCATCGGAGATGTCGACCTCGTTGCTCGTGGGGTCCAGCGCTTCTGCGATCGCTTTCGATGCTTCCTCGCCGGTCTTGTCGGTCGCAGAGGGGTTAAGGCCTGAACTCTTTTTTGGGATTTCAAGGGCGGGAACGATGGGGTCTGTGTAGTTGTCTTCGCTGTAGTTGCAAAAGAAATTGTTGCATTTCACAGTGAACAGAGTGCCGTGAAGAAGATGCAGCTGCTTCGAGGGATGGTTGGCTCGCTGAGAGAGACCTAGAAGAAACGTGAGAAGTTTATTAGTTAAGAAAACAAAAGAAATTATCGGAAATTCATACCGTCAACGTTTTGGCTCAATGTGATGAAGTCTTCATTCCTTCGCGATAGCTCCGCTAAGGCGTAGTGTGCTTTGTTTGGGTCGGCCTGTAAGGCCATGTGTCGCCGATAGCTGTAGAACTGCCAGACGAGACCGGGAGTTTCATCGAAGGCTTCTGGAGTCGCAAGGGAGGTTGCATCGTGGGCTCGCCAGAGTCCGCCCGCGCCACGGAAGGTGGGTAAGCCTGATGATGCTGAGATTCCAGCTCCAAGAAGAGCGACGATGCGCTTGCAGCCTTTCAAATATTCAGTGAATGACTGAAGGTCAGCGGCCGGCACAATGCTCTTTGCGGACGAAGCCATGGCCTTTACGTCACAGGGATTTGAAGATGGACGAGCTGAGCTTATCAAAGGGTGAAGCTGAAGTGGAGATGCGGGGGAATTTATAACTACCCCATCAACGCCTGATCTATAAGGCGTCAGAATAAACAATCATTGCTCAAACATCTATCAGTTCATTAGTATTTGTTGACTTACTAGTATAATATTCTTTCTTTTCTTTATTCTTCTGAGGAAAAGGGAATATAAGAGTTTAGCAGGGGCTATCTTCTGCTGATTCCTGGTAATCTATAGTTCAAATGTATTCTCCTAAGCAGGTCTACCAATCTAATATAAAATAGACTACCGAAAATGATCTTTGACACAGTGGGAACAGGGGACAGGGAAAAAGACAGCTCATTGCCAATCAATTGCTAGATTGTAGAAGCTTTACCAGTAGAACTATGTAGAATAATTTAAAGTAAGAGCCTCTAAAGATTTCCAAACAGATTTTCAAGATCGAGTACTCCAGAAATTCAGCAAGAGACAACCAGTGATATTTCAACTAGTGCTGTTGCTCTTAAGCCAGGCCAAACCAGCACTTCCCATACTCGTGAGCGCACCACATGCCTGTGCAGCAGCAGTGGTTACAGCCACCATTCCCAGCCCACCTGCTCCTGCACTTTGCCCTGTGGCAAACAAACTACCGGCTGCGACATTTCCTATGGAACTCTGAATCACAGCAGCGTATGACCCTATCCTCGGCACGAGGTTAACAAAACTTAAATCATGCAATTTCAATTATCCTTGCTTGGAGATTGCAAATACCTGCAGAAATACCACCAAACTTGGATTGGCCGTAAAGGTCTGTTTTGTATCTGACAGGGTTTGATACCCGACTTCTAATCATACGAGTAAGAAGATTACAAGAGTCTAGAGTGTTTCATGCGGGCTGAGCACAAGCACATTGTCCATAGTTCTGTGCTTTGCATCTCGTCGTTGATTCAATTTAAGAGCATGTCGCTGTCCTGCGCATCCACCAATAGTCAGAATTAGGTAAATCTCGATAGTAAAATGCCTTTCTCGTTTCAATTAACCCCACCACAGCTTTTGATCTTATCGAGCGATGTTCAATCAGACCCGGGCCCAGGGCTGTTCATGTACATAGCAGCTTCGGCCTGGATCATCGCCATATACTCTTCACTAGATGTAGGACTCGGCGGAAATATCTCATCGCTGTCGGAAGCTGAGCCCCACACCTCACGTCTTCTGGCTCTTCGTTCAGCCTGTTCAGCTCGCAGCCGGGCCCTTTCATGCCCCGCTCTGTCAGCTTCAGCACGCTCCTCGATTGCTCTCGTAAATCGCCGACAGACTTGGCATACACATAACGGTTTCCCGTTTTCTGAGGCGCCCACTCTGAATTTGCGACATTCCAAGCAAATAACATATGGTTCCCCTAGGATGGTGATGATATTACCGGCGACGTATCGATTAGTGCCTGGGGGCGGGTTGATACCACAGTCCACCCACCACCGTTCCGTTGCCTTGCATCCCCACTTGGCCTTTTTCCTTTTCACCATATTGTCCGCAAATTTTGCTCTGGGCCGTAATCTAAGACAATCCTGGCAGACGTATAAGTCGTTCTGGTTACCGAAAGGAGTCCTTTCCGCTTCGATCAACTCTAGGTGGGTAGGAGACGGTATTATTTCACGAAGAAGCCGGCACGAACGTTGAAGCCAGATAAGACTGAACGCATCAAGATGATGGGCTATGATGAGTAGTATCTCAGTTGGGATATCACAGATAGTGGGGGCCTGCGACAATAGTGTACTTGAGTCTTACATGTATTCGTAATATACCATTCAATCGCAGAACTCATCTTTAAATACAGATTAACTAATTCCGGGTTTAGGGTTTGAAATAGCTTCTATATGTTGTTCTATCATGGAAGGCGATAGCGGTCGCTACTGTAAGGGAGAGCACTACTCCAGCCATATGTCATCAATATAGCTTCATGTGGAGAAAGAAATAAAGACCTGAAAGACCATAAAGGGGAAAGAGAGGTTTGACAAACTTGCCTAAGCATGCAATCCCTCAGTGCAGCAAATTATAGATGTCAAAGCGTATATTGGCTATCTGGACGCAATCTTCTACAGGCTCCGTACTATATGTTTTACGTTTAGTTGACAGAGGCTGGTTCGCTTTATTTTATCGTCTTTCCTTGTTTGGCTTTTGGCCCCCAAGCCTAAAACATTGGTTTTGGTGGCGCAAGCTTACTCTTGCCAAACGCGCCCTGGGGTGTAACGTTAGAGCGTTTAGCTAATATACCATCCGACGCAACGCCGTCCTGCCGACCTTTAGCTTCAATTTCTATCATTTCCAAATATGGCACCTCTAAAACTTGGCGACGAGTCAAATGGGAAGAAACTTGGGTTGGCAAAGAAGAACCAACTTCAGGGTGATCACTTAAAAGACGCCAGCTCATCTCCAAACCCCCCGCCCCAGGCCACTTACTCCACCACTTCCGGAGAATAAAGATTTCAAACCCCGACTCCCATCAACTAGTCGTGGATGGCGGTTATCACTTTCAAAACGACGCGAGCAACAATCTACCTTCCAACAAGCCCGGTCTCCTCTATTCGAATATCTACCTACCGAAGTCCGGCTTCTCATCTGGGAACATTATCTCAGTAGCCGTATGCTGCATATTATTCGACCAAATCAAAACAAATGGAAACGATCTCACAAGCAAATTTTCGGGATTTTATGCAGCGAGCCTCGCGATTTCTGTCCATGCAGTCATCATTGTTGGGGACTGCTTGCTCGTCGGCCCGTGGGAAACTGCATTACACCCATGAACTATGGGTCATATTACCACGAGAACTCCGAGTGGAGATTTGACACGAGAAGAGTGGATTTTGTGCCACTGTTACAAACGTGTCGAAGAGTGTGAGTACTTACTTCCATTTATGTTCAAAACTAGCCAATTAACAGAGTGCCAGATACTGCGAGGCTATTGATATCATCTTTCAAAAGAACACTTTCCTCTTTAACCACACAGATACGATTATTGATTTTTCGAATACACTCTTACCACAGCGCTCGAGCATGATTCGCACTTTGCAGCTCAGTTTTCCGGATCCTGGTGGTCTAAGTTGGAATAGATGCTGCCAGGTTCTCGCTACTAAGCTGCCCGGCCTGAAGACCTTGACCATCCATTTATATCCTCACGTCGCGAACCGTCTGGATGATTGGCTTATACCGCTGCATCAGATTCAACAACCCACGGTCTTCGAGGTCTTACTGATCAAACCATGGTATCTGGATCCACAATGGGATAAGTCAATTGGGCTTGTTGATGCGCCTTTTCAATTTTCGATTGCTTATGTGGAGAGGCGCAGCTTTTTGAAAACTAAGGAGTAAACATTGATTTTTGAATTGAGGCGTCATATTCATAGACTGATTGATACATAAAGCATAGACCGACAAGCTATCAGATTCCCTTGAACCGATTTGGGCTCCAAACATTTCACGAATCCTCACCTCCTCCGAGTAACGCTTTCTTACGTACATTCTCATTTCCCGAACATATTTCAATTTTGTTTCAACCAATCCAAATTCCGAAGTCCACTCATACCTTGGCCACTGAGTCTGTGTTTTTGAAACCCCATCCAGCCTTAAGGTAGAGAAGATTAACTCGAGTTCATCGCAGGCTTGTAGTCGTACCCATAATAGTCACTCGCACCGTCGGTGCCCATTAGCCCGGGCGGAGGTAGCTGTGTGCCCTGTGTATTGTGGTCAGAAATTGTTATACTGCGTTTCTTACACGGAAAGACATCTCACCATTCCGTAGGTAGTCTGGTGCGATAAAGGCACTGTCTGATATGCAATTCGCTGCAATTTGCTGTCCGGAGCCGGGCGTCCGCATCCGTTTCCCACTGATACTGGAATAACTGTTGATCTCTGGTGAATGGTCTCACCATTCGGGTTCATGTGAATCTGAACCTGCAATTCGGATCCACCAATTTCACCCCGACATCTGGCAGTCTTCACATGGCGGGTCGATGGCTCTCCATTGTTGCTGTTCCTTCTCTTTGTGTGAGCGTGGGGTGGTTGCATCTTGTTCCGTTGGTATCGCACGTTGCCTTGCATACCGGCTCCTCCAGCCAAGCCTGCACCGAATACCTTTTCCTCCTCATCACCCTCCGGTCTCTGAGTGGCACCAAATCCAGTCGGGTCAGTCGCCGTAGCTGCCGCAATGCCAGGATTGGGTGAAGGTTGCATCGAAGGACCCAGTATGCGGGCCTCTAGGTCTTGTTTGATCCAGTTCCTTGCCAGGGTTGTTTCCATTTTGAGTATTTCCTGTGGAACATCTAGTGTTCCATCTTGAAAGGCATCCATTAATCTCATCTTGGCTGTAGCTTTGCTTCTCGTCGGCGGTAGGCCAAAATGAAGAAGCTGTGCTTCATACCAGTGGTCTTGATGGTCGGCTCTGTTCCTTTTGTCGCCCAATGGTGCACTGAAGATGTCATCCAGCTCGGAGTATGTTGCGCGTGGGTGGACATGGCCGCATGAGGAAGTGACGTAGAACGTGTCCACGTCAAAAGACCACTGGCCGTGATAGACAGGCGCCATGGTGTTTTGTTTGATAGAGAAGTAGAGGAGATTGATTCAATCGAAGGCGGATGAAGATGGAATCCTTCGTTTGCTTGAATACACCCCTCAGCAATCGTGACAAGATAATTACATGTCTATCTGAAGATATCAGATTGTTGACGCCGTACACACGTCCCATTTTAGTAAGTACGTGGTACAACACCCGTAACCGTATAGAGAACTCTACTTGATTTGATAGTTCCACTAGATGCTTTCCTCATTTGGATTCTCAATATAACGTCGGATCTCTTTGTTGATCACTAGTGCCGGTCACTTCTTTGTCCATTCAGGCATTGGAAAATCAAGTTGCACATGGTCCACCTGCTTAGAGTTGAAGAAGCCACCGACAGCATTTCCCGATAGATGTTTTCATTTGGGTAGCTATGTGAGTTATAGCCACTGATTCAATATGATCAAAAGGTTTGCATTTTGTTGGTCTAATGCCAGTCATTCCACCACCTATCACAGGTCCAGTCTGCTCATGATCAGTTTGTTTAACATCGCCAGAGCAATACCTTTCTAGGTCCTTGCAAAGCGTGTCAGAACAAAACACCCTAACTCCTGCTTCTTATAAAGACCAGGATCAATGTTCGTTATATAGTAGTTTATTATTAGTAATGGATTATTAATAGGTAGGATGCATGATAGGTATCAAGTATAAGGAAATGAAAGGAAAGGAGACATAACCAGCCCGTCCATCGACATGTCTTCCTCCTCCCCCGCAAATTATTGTCTCATCTGCAGGCTATTTTCCGTCTTTCATGAAGAGCTTGTTTAATTTCTCTTTCGTTTTGCGTTCTCCCAATAGCCCCCCCCCCCCCCCCCTCCCTTCCTTACCACCCGCTGCAGTTCAACATCGCCTGGGGGCAAAGCAAGGCCATATACAGAAGCATATATTCCCAGCGCGGAGCCAGCCCCGGGACCGGAACCAGAGCAGAGCAGCACCCGGAGCAACACCCGGAGCTGGAGGCCAGCTACATCATTGGTCAGCATGGTATTACTGCACGGGGCACGGCAATCAAGGGACATACCGGTCATACAACCGCTGCAGCAGCCATAAAACAGTGATGCCGCTTCAGGGCCAGATAGTCGATAACGACCATCCAAATGAGATTGGTGGCCACCGTGTTCATCACCGTGCCCCCTTTTTCTTCGGCTAGGCGGACGAGCTCCGCTAATTCTGACGGATGGACGAGCCGTTTTGCTTACTCGCCTTTCTCCTCGCAACGAATGGATATCGCGCCTAAAAAACGCGTTAGAAAGACACCAAAAAAGAGGCTGAAAAAGACGCCGAAAAAGATGTCAAACTTACCGGACAGCGCCTAGTAAGAATAGAACAAGAAGATGGGTTTATCAGACATTTTATTGATAGACGAATGATGGGTCAAGGTGAAGTTCTTCCGTGTCCTACGAAATTACTTTGTAGACTACATAGGAAACGATGGTGTGTACGGAAGGTACGAGCCTACAATGTGATGTCAGAGCTAGGTTTGCAGTTGGGGGTTGCAAGGCCTCCCAAGCTTTTGCTGTTTAGTTTCCCTCTCTTCCTTAACCCCGAAGCCATTTCACCCATAAAATGGCTGGAAGGTCTACCCTCTCCATCGTGGCAGACAAGAAACAACAAGCGGGCCCCAATCTCATCTTCTTGCTCTCCCTTCAAATCATCCTTTCGGGTCTGCTGGCCTATCTTGTTGTTTACACCCACTCACATTATCCGGAAGAGTCTAGAACGTGGTTTCTCATCAAGCTTTTACTGCCGGTCTCCTTGCCGGTCTCCTCTGCTTTGCAATCATTGGCTTGGGAATGCCCCCGTCTCTGGCGAAGCAGCTTCCCTCATTGTCCAGAATCCTGACGGTACCGGCGTGGCGGAGCATTGTCATGTGCAGTCCAATCTGGCAACCATTTGCAGTACTATAAGACAATGAGTGGGCGTACCTTGACACTCTGTGGGACTATTGCCTATTGTCATAATATGAAGCCGGGACGTCGGGGAGCAGCGTGTAGAATGCGGCCTTTTCGCTGTCGTGCCAAATCTAAATGGTCAATAATCAAAGATATAGTGTCTTCGCTCCGATAAATGAACACTTCTTGTTTCTTCGAATATCTTGAAAAACTCTAAATCCCACGATAGGAAGAAGCATGGTAGAATGTTTACATTTAAGCGTTAGCCCGTTCGGGCCGAACTCTAAGCGCGTCATCCCCCACCTCCGTCAACTTACACCTTTTTTACTTCATCCCATCTACTCGCTTTTCTTTGTACCATCATACATCATGAATCCATCTTCTCCAACACGCTCACCACCGAGCTCCCCCACTCCAACCCTACAAAACACACTCAACCATCGTCCAAGCCCGCGCCAGCCCCAAAGCTCAGGCACACCACCCAACAACTCAGGAAACGCCCCGATTCCAGATGACGACCATGGCGCTGATCTACCGATGAATATGTCCGCATCGGTCATGCTGACCAATCTACCCCGTGATGCGCACCAGGCACTTGCGGACGTGGAGAGTATTGATTCCGGGAAAGGTAACACCCTCCTTTTCCAACGAGCTTTGGGTTGATCAGACGACTGCAATCTCAACAAATAGTAGAATTCAACTAACAATGACTAAGTGACTGTGCGCTTCCAGCCTCTCCCGTCAGCGCCGATTCTGAAAAATCGGGTGTTCAAGGTTAGCGCTTCGCAGAAATTCGAAACGGTCGTCAAGTTTCTGCGCAAGAAGCTCGACTGCAAAGAGACCGATTCTGTCTTTTGTTATGTTAACAGTGTATTTGCGCCCGGGTTAGATGAAGGCATGGGCGGACTATGGAGGGTGAGTTTCAACTCGATTGTTCTACCGTACTTCCATATTCGAGAATTTGAATGCTAACTTCATAATAGTGTTTCAAGACGGACGATCAATTGATTGTCGCTTATTCAATGACGCCAGCATTCGGCTGAGTAGGCTATGAACAATCAGCGCAAACTGCTGAATGATGCTATGTACAAATGATGATGATGATGATACTTAATACAGAACATGAAAGAAATGGCCGTGAAAAAAATGGCAACCAGACGCATCATGATTCCCGGAAGACCTCGTCCACCGTTTTCTGGAACCCAGCAAGCTCATCCTTCGCAATGGGATATGTATATTCCTCTGAAGGGAACGCCCGACTCTTAACCTCATCGCGATACAGCGAGATGCCACGGGCAGCCTCATCCCAAATATCCGCATACTGCTTAACAAACTTCGGCACGAACCGGCCAGGCTGGAAATTCCCAGTCATGTCAACCTGCACAAGAACCTGTCCGGAGCAGCCATTCCCAGCGCCAATACCGATAGTCGGAATCCGAAGCTTCTGCGTGATGATGGATGCAACCTCCGACGGCATCGCCTCAAGCACAAGCATGAATGCGCCAGCCTCTTGCATAGCAAGTGCATCGCGCAGCAGCTTCATTGCGCTGACAGCTGTCTTGCCCTGTACACGGAAGCCGCCGAGCGCATTCTGTCGCTGTGGTGTGAGACCGACATGGCCTACTACCGGAACGCCGGCTTGTGTGATGCGTTTGATTGTGGGCGCGAGTTCCTCGCTACCTTCGAGCTTGACGCCGTGTACGCGGCCTTCCTTGATCAGGCGCAGAGATGACTCGATTGCTTGTTCCGCGCACACTTCATATGACCCCATCGGTAGATCTCCGATCTGGAATTGGAGCGTGGTTGTTAGTCTGTGGCACTGTGGCGCTTTCCAGTCGAGGAATCCGGGCAACTCACAATGAAAGCTGCTTTCGTTGCCCGCGCTACGCTCCGACAATGAAGAATCATCTCTTCCATAACGACCTCCGTCGTGTTTTCCAGTCCAAGCGCTACCATCCCTAAACTATCCCCTACCAAGACCATATCCATCCCCGACGCATCGGCCACATGAGCACTGGGGAAGTCATGCGCCGTCAGCATCGTGATCGGCTCCCCCTTTTTGTGCATGTTCTGGAGCGTCTGAATAGTAACCTTCCTCCGCGCCTTTCCATTCTCACCGGGTGCTGGCGCGGAATAGGAACTATATCGGGTTTGGGAGAGGTGTGTGGTCGGTACATGGGCGGACAGGACAGGACAGCGGGCAGCGCGAGGGATGTGCGTGGTTTGCGTTCGGGTGGCAGGGATCACTCTTGTCCTTAACAGCGACGAAGAAGCGAATGCTGTGCGCCGCAGCGCAGAGCCTGGCGCAGCCATTGTGTGATATTATTGTGAAAGACGGAGTGGCCCAATGCACTTGGTGACGCCCGATATCAAAATACCAAGGGGTTCTGTGTCCAGTGAGTATATATTATTCTCAATATGTCGTATGCAATGCTATATGCACTAGTCGTATCCCGCCCGAGCTGTAGAAGTGGCGATAAGAAAAGAATGGGGATGACCTCAGCGGCGAACTGAAGGTGCGTGAGCGAAAAAGACGACGAGGTTGTGGGTTCATATAAAGGAATAGGTCCGGAGCTGCGGCTTTGTAAGTTCAGATATCCTTCTGTCCGGACTGACGTGCTGGGTTATGCGGCGTAGATGGGAGCATCAAAAATTCCGGAAGTTGAAGATCTTCGTTACTGCCGCTAATTACGGGGCCGAGTACCGAGACGTTTTGCGGGGCGTTAAATACTTGGACTCAGGAACGGTGCATTTCCTCTCATCTGGTGCTAATGGATATATGTGAGTATGATAATTGTCTCTTTATCAGAATAATGTTCAATGTAAAGCTTTTGTTATGTTGACTCCAACTTTGGAAGCTCGAGGATGTATGCATTCGTGTTCTCACCGCCTAGCCCTGAGGCCACCGCCTGCAGTTTACGTCCCGCCGAGGTGATTACCGCATTGGGCTAAGTGAGGGGCCTTATGGACTTTCTACTTCTATGGGCTGATATTTCTTTACTCAAGAGTGTTATTCATAGCAGACAATTCAATTAGCACGATACAAACTGCATACAGATCATCGAGTCGAATAAATGCTTATTCAGGTAAGTAATGTCACGAGAAAGGAAAAGTCTTTGTTCAGACTCGGCCGCCTGTGCTGGGTAACAAGCCACAGCCATCGGGAAACATGACACCACCGGTGAAAAGACACAAGGAAAAGCTGTTGATGATAGAAAACATGGCCCCGTAGGACCAAAAAGGGGGATAACGATGTGTTAGAACGGAGTGCAATGCAAGGTTAGGAACCCTTGAGTCCATGCTAAATCGTCCATTATACCTTCGGTATATCGCAACCGGCCACAATTAAAGACCGTAAAGCACAAGCTGATTGCATGTGAGGCAAGCAGCGTCGACGATGAGTTGTTCTTGGAGCAACATGAGAAATGCAAGTATCCAAAATTGCCGTCGGCGGTTGATGGAGGTCGGTTCACGATTTCGAAGGTGATGTGATGCTGGTTTAAAATCGGATATTCAATACATTCGAAAGAAGTGAAGAAAAATGCTGTAAAGGAGTGGACGACCTCCATCGAGGTCAAGGCAAGCAGATCAGACCGTCGGTGAGAGACTGGTTACTGGTACTGCTGATGCATGATGAACACAAAGAAGGGAGAGAAAATAAAATAAAAAAACGCCACCATGCGTATGTGTCGATGCCGAGGGTATGGTTATGCGAGGTTTCGAGGTTCAAATCAGGCATGACGGAAATAAAAATTGCAACGTGGCAGAAGAAAGATAACTTGAAAATAAAAGCTCGACCTGCATCAGGATGCAAAGGTGTATCAAATAGAAGAGGTCGAGGTCCAAAGGAAATCATGGAATGCTGTGAGAAACAGCAGATCTATTCATCATATTCATATTCACCCTTGAGAGGGCGCTGAATTTCGGAGAGCAATGCATCGAGTTCAGCCCAGTTCGTCGAGTTCGCGGCAAACCGGCGATGTTTCCGAGTCAGAGTGTGCTAAGAGAATGGTCAATATTCATAGGGATCTAAGCAATTGGACAACTTTGATCTTACCTCTTCAAAATCGTCAAACTTGTCCCTGCAGTTCTCGCAATAGCCAGGCTTTGGATCTCTGCGGCGTTCGGGTTTCTTTTGCTCGTCTTTGTCATCCCTTTGTCGCTTTAACCCAGCCACCTCAGATTGCTTTGCTTCATCCTCATTGAGAAGGTTGGACTTTCCAGGGGGATTGATGTTATTCTTCATCGGAACCGTCGCAAATCCATCCGCACGGCGTTGAGGAGCAGCCATTGATCCCGCTGCGAACCCACCTGTGCCCTTCTCGAGAACCTTTCGCTTGAGCCCATGGACCTCCTTGCTGAGCCCGGCTTTCGCGCCAGGTGCTGCAGCAGTAGATGAGATCATCTGTGAGCGAATTGCGGATGTCATGTTAGACGGCTGAACGCCTGATGCAGCTGGCTCACGGCCAGCATAGAAAGGCCCAGTGCGAGGGAAGTGAGGAGGAATGAAGCTTTCAGAACTCTTTCTTTCACGAGTTTCATCAAATGATGGCTTTTGGATTTCGTTTTGAATTGGAGGTGAGATACGCTCCTCTTGTTTCGCCAATGGCTGGGAATGTGCGATCTCTGTTGTGGTCACAGATTCGGGGGCTTGAACTGGCACAGCTGATTTGGGCTTAGCATCACGAGTTCCATCAGTCCTGTGAGAGGCAGCCTTCTTCTCTTTGTGGAGTTGGCGCAATCGGTGTCGGTCATATTCCTTCCTGCTCGGGGGCTCATCAATGAATGGACACTTTCCGAGGGGAGCGCTTCGGAACTGTGGCCAAGATCCATCCTGGCGTCTAGCGACTCGAGAGTATTCTCGAACCATGACTGGTTTGGTCTTCTCGTTCATGTCATGGATGTAGACAAATGGTCCTTTGAACATTAGCATTTCCATTGATGCCAATGGATCACGATCAGACGGTCCGTTGAGAAGTTCCTGGCGAAGAACACGCGAAAGGTCATTTTCGCCCCTGCCGTTGGCGACGTTACCACCAGCAGCCTTGTTGCGAGCAGCTTGTTCATATTGGGCACCAATGTCACTGTCATTGATGGTAGTGATCATACGCTGAAGCTTTTCCAACGCCCAGATTTTCATGCCCATCTGTCGAGCCCTTTGCAGGATGTCCATGGTGCCTTGGTCACGACGTGTCTCGATTTTCAAAGAAGCATGCAGGTGAGTCTCGCCGTTTCTCTCGAGGAGCGAAGGGTTGACAGTTTGGACGTTGCTATCGCCGTTGCTGGCGTCTGCAGTTGATTCCGGTTCTGTCGGAGTGGCTGATTCTGGGGGGATAGCACGCGAGGTGACAACGTGGGTCACTAAACGCGAGAAAAACTTCTCCTCACGCTGCATTGAAGTGGGTTAGAGAAGATGCCAATGAAGGTGTTCAACAAATGAAGACAAGAGACAGGTGCAACCAAGACCAGCTAAATGTTCTGTGGGGCAATATAACTTACAGCTCCAAGAGCAATGACCTGGCGAGAGAACCGCCGTCTCACATCCTCGGGGATGCTGTCGAAGTAGAACACAAACTGGGGGAACGCCTTCCTATAGTGCCGTTGCCATTGTCGAATAGAATCCATGGTATCTGCCGGAGCCTTCTCGGCTTTAATGTGCTTCACCTGCGGTTGGCGTTCCTTCTCCCTGGCTGCGACAAGCTTCTTCTCGAATGCGCTGGGGTTGCCGTTGTTCGATCGCCGCGCGAAGAGTTTTGAGTCCGTGTTCGTGGTCTGGCAGGTGGTGGAGCGAGTCTCGTATTCTATATTCTCCATCACTTGTTTCTTCGGCGGTGGTTGTCCGTACGGGATCTCCATTTGAGTAGAGCGAGCTCGTTTAACTGGCAAGAGCCCTGCCCTGTGTGGAGAATTGGTTGCATTCGGCACGTTTGCGAGTGGACGACGAGTCGCCATGGCCAGGGAGTTTCGTGGCGAGGGGGGCACAAAGACAGTTGCCATTGGAAAACGAGTTCCCAAGGTCGAGAACGCGTGTAGATGGCTGTAGAGTGACAATAGTCAAATATCAAAGAGGGGTACTCGGTGACGAGCACGCGTGCTACACGTCTTTCCAGGGTTAGAAGAGATCAGAGAATGGACATTGTATCCCAAGAGACAATAGCAAGCCAAAGGAGAGAGGAACAGATCGAAGTGCTCAAGGGTGGGATGGGAAGAGAAAGACGAGGTGGAAGACCTGGAGGAAAGAAAGAAGAAGCAAGTCGTGTGGTGTGGAGCTCAGTTTGTTTTGAGCGGAGGCCCGACAACCAACGGCAGCGCGCGAAGCATGAACATCAACATTGCATTCTTTGACCGCGACCAGGATTCTTTTCGAGCTTCCTTTCCTTCTTTACTTCATTCTCAATCTCATTCTCTGGGGCTATTTTGTCCAATGTTTCTCTTCTTAACATACAACTGCTAAAAATGTCCGGTCGTCTCCAACCACCCCGGACCAGCCCCCAAACAGCCCCAGACCAGCCACCAGAATGTAATCTAGGCAAGGATAGTTCAGACATGTAGATTATAGATCAGAGGAAACAAAATAAAAGAAAATAAAGGGGCTCAAATATGATCTTTTGGAGCCTTGTGCTAATGTACATGGGAATTTGAGAGATCTGACGGCCAACGTATACATCACATCTAATTACGCAGCGCCTCAATATCCACGACCTAGTAAAAGTTAGTGACGTATAAATGCGGGAGATATTATAGTTTAAAACATACCTCCTTGACAGCCTCAGGGGTTAAAACAATCGGGTGTTCGTCTCCGACACAAACACTATCCTCGATGCGAATTCCGATCCCACGGAAGTGGGCGGGCCATCGTTCATCGTTAGGAACATAAATACCCCTAGCATGAATTAGCTTGTTTCAGGTCTGAGGGGAAAGAGGCTGGGGACGAACGGTTCAATTGTTATACATTGACCTGCTTTCAGGTCGTAGCCTCTGGAATACCCAGGGCAGTCATGGACGTCCAGGCCAATATAGTGGCCCAGATGGTGCGGGAAAAGAATGTTCAGTGCCTAGTCGGAGTCAGCAGCATACTCTACAAGGAAGGAGTTTGGATGCATACATTGCCGGAAAGATCAAAGCCAAGCGACTTGAGCTCGTCTTTCAATCCATTCTCGGCGATGCCATGGAGTTTGTCTAAAGAGAGATTGGAGGTCTCGCGACACAGAGCGAGACAGCGCCGGTGCACGTTGAGCACAGCATTGTACAGATCCCGCTGGGGATCAGAGAACTTGCCATTGACAGGCCATGTTCGAGTAATGTCGGAAATATAGCTTCCCCATTCCTGTGGTTTGGTCAGTGTGTGTCCTGGAACTATAAAGGTTGAGTTCAGATAATGAACTTACACCACCGCCATCAACGAGAACCAAATCACCATCCCTAAGATTCAGTGTAAGCAGAGTCCCAAGATAGCTTAGGAAAGGCATACGAACTTCAATACATCGTCATTTCGAGTGTAGTGAATAGCCAAGGCGTTCTAGGCCCGTCAGTATCGAATTCAGCTTAGAAGAAAGTTGGGGAATTTACCTGACCACCCGCGACAACCGGGACAAAAGCGTTGGTATCACAACCATTCACCTTGAACTGGTACTCCAGGAACGAATACAGATCTTTCTCTCGGGTGAAGTCCTGTCGCATTGCCTCGGTGAAAGCTCTCCCAGACGCTTGTCCCAGACGGCGCATATGTACAACCTCATTCTCGCTCTTGAACACCCTCATTTCATTGAGCAGATGCTTCAATGGCTTGACCTTGCGGTGATCGACGACCTTTTTCAGCTTTTCTGACGCGACTGTTGGCCCATACAGATACCGATTCAAACTCGATCTTGAGCCATCAAATGTGGGGATATCCGAGTAAACCTCTGTCGCTCCCTGAACAATACTTGGCAAAATATCACCAATGCGTTCAATGTTTCCTGTCTGTTCTCGGTGTCAGCTCGATGATTCGTCTGGTCCTTAAGCCAATATCCCGCACCTCATCCGCATTGAAGACATCCACAGCAGCCTGGGTGCCGGAGCGCGCCCCGTCCCAGAGTTCTGCCTTGGGGTCCTTTTCCCGCACATATAAATGGAAGATATGGTTGTCGCCAGAGCCATCGTTCCCGATGATCGCCAGCGCATTCGGTTCGTTGAATCCTATCCGGCGCGCAACCGTTTAGCGGGTGTCCTCCGCAGCATCACGAGCGTGCCAAGCAAACTTACCCGTCAGGTAAAAGAAATTGGAATCCTGGCGGTACTCAGTGAAGATACCTTGCGCACGGTACTTGACCTCCGAGGCAGCCAGCACCGCAATCGCGCCTTTTGGTAGCTTGTTGGCGAGCTTCGATCGACGTTGCGCATATTCAAGGGCGGTGATTCCAGGCGTAACTAGACAAAATACCATCAGCTAAATAAATTAAACTCAGGGACGCAGATAATGACACACGTTCGCCTGGGCTGAGGATGTGGGGATGCGTCTCATGCAATGGCTGGCCGAATTTGAGTTCCGCGGCGGCCACCGACGTAGCATAACTGCGAGGCAGAGGGTTGCATCTAGGTAATTGGCGCAATGAATGACTCAAAGCCCTAGATGAGCGCATGTGTACAGCGCATTGGCGCACAAGAGACCTGCATGCCGCCATGCTTCAAGGTCCCAAAAATAAGTGATAAGAGTAAACTGTTGGAGGTTGTTATCGCCAGGTTCTCGGTCCAGTCGGCGGTGTGGGCCAATCACCTCGGGTGCGTTTGGCATCGGAGACCCCATCTCTTGTCCACTCCTATACCCTGTCGTACACATAACTCTTGGTTGTATTCTGGTCCTATGCACAGCCTGTCATCCAATATGCCCCCAGACTAGCCTTTGTGGGGAAATCTTGCGCGGATGGACCTGCTTAAAAGGGAACACATGTGTTTAAAGGCGTGCCCTAGCTCATTAGATCACCTATCTTGAGTCATCATCTATCTACTTAAATGCTTGGTTCGCCGTCGCTTACTTCTTACTTCTCCCAACTTCAAGTCACATTCTAAAGACTGCCATATACATTATGGGACGAACTTTGACCTACCCTAAGAGGGTTTCCAACACTGCCAACCGGTACAAGCATCGAGGTATGTACAAAGCTAACTATAGAAATACACCGAAGCCAACTACTAACACTATATTTTAGCCACATATGACCTGGGTCCAATCCATTCAATCATCAATGACTCCCAAGTTCTCCATGTATCCTTCAACCCAGGGCCAGATGACCCATTCCCCGCAATCCTCCCAATGATAGGACAAATGGGATCATTCGAGTTTCCCTCGGCGAGCATCGATGAGCCTCTAGAGTGCTACCTCCACGGCTACGTCAGCTCACGGATTATGAACCTAGCCCGCAGCTGCAGCGATGGCGAGGGCCTCCCCATCTGTGTAGCAACAAGCAAAATAGACGGGCTGATCCTGTCGCTCACGCCCAACTCGCACAGCTACAACTACCGCTCTGCCATCCTACACGGCTACGCGACTCTCGTCACAGACGAGGAAGAAAAGCTCTGGGCTATGAAATTAATCACGAACTCTGTCCTCGCGGACCGCTGGGATCATTCGCGTGTGCCACCAGACCGTGCTGAGATGCAGTCGACTGTTATCCTGAAGGTAAAGATTGTGGATGGCAGCGGCAAGATCCGTGATGGCGGCGTTTCGGATGAGCGTAAGGACTACGACAACGAGCAGGTCACCGGCAGTGTCTGGACTGGTGTTGTTCCGGTCTGGGAAACATTTGGAACCCCGATTCCAAGCGGTGATAGTAAGGTCGCTGAAGTGCCCGAGTATATTAATTCGTATATCGCTAGCAAGAACAGTCGGAACAAAGCTCTGGCGGAGGGCGCAGTGAAGGTTCAGCTGCCGGCTGAGGAGCAGCACTGAGGACTGGACAAAGGCTGGTTCGTGATACGAATTTATCTTTCAGTGAGATCTCTCATTTGATTCAAATTGATCAAATCAAATGATAGAATGGGGTTATTGCTTTTTTGAGATGATTATTATCTGCTCGTTTTGAGTGTATATGTTTCTTAGTCCTCCACAGTAGCCTCCAGATGTTTTCGTATTACCACTTTCTCTGCCTCCAGGATACATATTGAAAAGGAAGTCTTAAGAATACTCAATAACGAATATGTGGCATTTCTGGAAACGGGAATGAAGCAAGATATATGACTGGGATATATTCAGACAAAACCATGGAGTATATAAGTATCATCCCCCGTACAAGCAAACTACCAATGAGCAGCCATGCTTCCCCACCCTTCAGGATCATCATTAGAACCTGTAGACTCATCATCATTTCCAGAGCCAAGATTTCGACCACGACTAGTAGTCCGTCCCGCCGCCGCCAATCTCTTAGCGACTTCATTCGCCTCAAACAGACTGACAAGTCTTCTCTTTGCAGGCCGTTGCTGGGCCCGTTCCTGACAAACCCGAAGCATAGCCTTCTCTTGCTCGTACTTGGCCCTGCTACCGGGAACAAAGAATCGGGGAGCGCGCTGAACGGCATTCTGCCACTCAGGGTGTGTATTCGACGATCCTGGAGGACTGGGAGGCGGTGCAGAGGTACTCTTGTTGACCCAAGCGTCAACTGCCATTTCGAGGGGCGTCGTACCAGTAGCATTCTCCCGGTTGAGCATGTCAGGACGACGATCGAGCAGTTGTCCAAGGACTTGGGGGAAGCCGTTCTTGACAGCATCATGCACCGGTGTGTTTCCAGCTTCGTCAAAGAGCTCGAGGTGCTTTTGGTCCGTGGAGTTGGCTAGGTCCAGAATGAGGTTCGTCATCGAGGTAATGATTTCATCCTCGGTCTGGGGACTGTTAGGAGGCCGAGGGATGGCCATATCCCCTGGCGTGAAGTGGGGTTGGGCGTGAAGCCAACGGGAAAAGGGCGTTCTTGAGCCATCGCCGGCGCGCTCCATGAGCATTGTTGGGAGGAGTTGCTTATCCAGCAGGTTTAGGAGTTTGGTGCATCGGTTGGAGTTCTTGCAGACCCGACCACCGTCTGATACGAGGATCAGGTGGAGGAGATTGCGCGCCTCTTTGTCGCGGACGGCCTGGTTGGCTCCGGCTTCTACCAGGATTTGGGCGAAGCGGACCTTGTGGAGGGACATGGCCCAGGCGAGAGGCGTCAGTCCTTCTGTTGAGCGGACCTCCAAGCATTCAGGGTGATGATCCACAAGATACTGAACCAGACGAACAGATTCGTCACTTGGTTCGGACATGATTGCGCAGTGGAGAACGAGGTTGTCTTTTATATGGTCAGCTAGGTTTCTGAAAATATCCGAATAGGTTGAACACTTACTTCTCGCTTGTAACCAGGTCAAGAGTGTGCCCTCGAGTCCGAGCTTGGACTGAGTCAACCGTTTGACTCTCTCATCATCCTTGTTCGCATTGAGATACTCTAGGTAATAGCGAGCAGGCGCGGTACCAAGGAAGAACTCCGTAGCGGCCAGATTACCCCGACGAGCCGCAATAAGAAGGGGAGGACGCTGTGTCTGTGCTCTCATCGGTTGCTCTCGACCAGCATTAGCCCAATCGGCACGCTTGGTGCCACGAATCGACAAGCCAGGGTAGTACTGAGGTTCTTTCTTCTCCTCAACGCCACAATCATCACTCAATTTTGTAAGTGGGAGGCCAGCTCCAGTACTTTGAATCATCTTGGCAAGACAATCGGTACGTCCAAGCGAAATTGCAAGCTGGAACTCATCGAACTTAACCAAGAACTCGCTTTTTCCGGATGGGTTGGTGGAAGCAAGGTCCAGTCCAGTCTTCAGAAGGAATTCCAAAAGAGGAATGTTGTTTGTGTAAACAGCGTATTTCAACAACCCATTAACATTGACAAGGTTTCCTCTCTTGTTCCAACCCTCGTCCTTATATTCGTCCAAAAACATGAACGCATAGAACCGTTTTTCGAAAGCAGCAAGAGGGGAAGTATTGCTCTCAACCTGACTGGTAACTTCACCGATGTTTTCGTGGGTGAAGGTATCATCAACAATGTCACTGACAATGTTAAGATCTTCGTTCTCTCCATCAGAGTCATCACAGTCATCAGAGTGCTCATCGACGTCGATCTCAAAGCGCTTCCGACCGCGAGGCTCCTTCACCTTGTACTGCACGTGGAGAATTTGAAGAATGGCCCTAGCGACGGCGAAATGGCCGCGCATGATGGAAATTGAAAGGGCGGACAGGCCTTGCTTGTCGGTAACAGCAATCTCAAGTGGTGCTTGCTCATTGAGAGATCCCCACATGCCCAGTGTCAAGGTTTTGATGGTATCAATGTCGCCATTCCAGGCTGCTTCGAAACTGTTATAACAATGTCAGCAGGATATTCTTAGGTTGTGGGGGTAAGGATGGGATACATACAGTTGGAGGTATCCGTCGCGAGCATTGTCAGTAATGGCTGGTGCATTGAAGTGGAAGCTGACTTTCCAAGGCTTAGCGGTGGGCTGTGTGTTCTCAGTCGAGACGTGGACTGGGAACGCCAAGGGAAACTTCTGCTGAGGATAAAGCTCGTCCCAGGTCTTTGCATCTTTTTGCAGCAAGATGAACTCCAGCTTCTCGTAGTCACGAATCAACTCCGCAATAAACGCCTTCTTCTCGACCAAGCCAGGAGGATCAGCTGGGACGACTTCATCCTTCTTGGCTTGTTCTTCGGCCTCTCGGTTTGTCTTGCGCACGGTGCGGAGAAGATCCTTTGCAGTGAACAATTTGTAACTACCAAACTGGAATTCCGACAGATATGTCTCGTCATTTGGATCCAGGGGGGTTGCAATGGAATGATCATAGCATTGGTACTTGCGCTCGACCAAGAATTCACGGAGAGTTTCCAAAGTTTGGCGCAAGACGTCCAATACCGTTCGACCCCTGTCTTGATACATCTGCTTGATTTCGGCATTAGGGTTCACCCCGCGATGAAGCAGATCAATGGCGACCAAAGGAAGGTCATTTTCAATAGCCAGCAAAATTGGCTGTTTCACACTGGACTTTGCGTCTTCCTCAATGTCACCGTAGTGGGTCAGGCCTCCTCTAGATGCAGTAATAGCCTTCACAAGCTCGCCGAGCTCAATCTCCGGGTGGGCACCTGTATCCAACAGCTTGGCTGCTGCAGGTGCGCTCTTCGCAGTGAGTGCGGCCATCAATGTCGAGGAGAATTCGGGTGTCCAGGACGAGCCCTGAACTGCTAAGTGATTGATTGCCCGCTTTACTGCCGGCTCATCATGCTGCATGTAAACATCAAGAATGTCAAACTTGTCGGAATGAGCAAGGTAGTATAGCGGTGTCTTCTGCTTGAGGTCTGCCTGGGCTGGTGAAGCGCCGAGATCGAGAAGAGTCTGCGACATTTCCTTTGCTTTCTCGAATGGGAGGGCATGGATGAGAACCAGGTTGAGAATTGCAGCCTGGGGTGTTCTGTAGTGCTCGTTCATGATTTTGATTGGCATCAAGACATCGGCACCGAAGGACGTGACAAGCTCTCTCACGGCCTCAGTGTGACCATGGAGAATGGCGAGATGCAAGGGAGCAGTCCGGCTATCCCATGCAACAACATTGATATCGTAGACATCCGGCTCGAGTTCATTCTCCTCGAGCGTATCGTACGTGGTCAAATCTTCCTTTTCCTCGCCTTCAACTTTAACGTAAGAGGCAGAGGTGTGAGACATGGCATCATCTTGGTCAATCATATCGATATCTTCATCCTCGCCTGTGCTAGGCTTGGTGTCTGACTTGTCGTTCTTTTTCAGAGAATCCTGTTTCTTAGCTTCTTCTTCTTCATTCTCATTGCTCTTTGTGAGTAGAATCCGAATGATTTCGACGTGTCCCCGGGCGGCGGCAAGATGGAGCGCGGTCTTTCCATCAGCCATACGGGGAATCATGCGAGCGCCGCCATCAACAAGGCACTGGACGACTTCAGGGGTTGAGCACATGCACGCGAGTTGGAGTGGTGTCCTTCCAGTGTAGTCACGACGATCCGGGTTGGTACCCTCATCTTCAAGGAAAGCTTTAACAGAGTCAACATCGTTTGCCACGATTGCCTGGCAAAGTCTCTCCGTGCGGCCAACGTAAGCCATTTCTAATGTTCGTATTAGTGCATAATTCAGGAATAAAGAAACATATCGGACGATTCACTTACCGGTCCAATCGGTCTCAGTGATCGGATTGAAACTTCCAATTTCCTGCCGACCAGGATCATCTTTGATGAAACTAATTTGCCCAGAGATATAAATCTTGGCCTCCTCGTCTGCGACTTTGACTTCCTCCTCTGTGACAGGCTTGGGGCAAAAGCCACAGCAGTCGCCAATGACATGTTCTGCCTCACCGAAGAATGCTGGATGACGATGAAGATAAACTGCACGCTCTTTGGGCTGATTCCATTGGGCGTTCAGCAACAGATCCTTGGTGTAAAGTAGCTTCTCAATGCTCCTGGCATTGAATCTCCGACCATAAGGAATAGTCTATCGGAGGGTCAGTAAGAGTCGAGGGGCAGTAAGCTCAGTTGCAGTAAAGGTACGAACAAAAGTATGGTAATCAGACACTTGGTCTTGCTCTTGCCATTCCGGCACCTCATCTTCCCAGTCATCCTTGAGGTTACCATGCAGCATTTTACCATGACGACGTTGCAGGTACAAATTCAGAGGAGGACGACCTCGTTCCTCGCGCCTCTTTTGGAGATAGTTTTCCCTGTCTTCAGACCGTGGAAGCTTTTCCAATACCAGAAGCCGTGCAAGTCCTTCAGTTCTGGTAAAGCTTCTCTCGAAAATAGTCTAGCAGGGAAATTAGTTTTGCTGAAATTTCATCCATCTGGTCAAAGGATTCAATTCTCACCGGGTCTATCTTGGATCGGTCAAGAGCAGGCCAGAAGACCTCGAATCCTCGATGCGAATACTTGGAGAGGCGATTTTCATATGATGGCGATCGTCGAGTTAAATCAATCTGGTTTGCCTGCGTGATGTATGCAGCGATTGCACGTGGAGATGTATAGACCTGGCGACCATCATAAGCTGCACACGAAACATCCACGTCAAAGCCGGTGAGAATCTCAGCGACTGAGCGGTAGATGCGAAGCACGATTTGTACATGGCGGTTCGGATACTGAGAAGCAATGGTAATTGTATTCTTGGTCCGGATGGTGGTGGTCTCATAGAGGATGGTGTTCTTGATCTTATCCTCGATGTGCATGACCTTCTCTAGAGCTTGCTCCTCATTCAGACCATACAAGAAGAGATCCACATCCGACGCCGGAGCAAACTCTTCATGGTAGTACTTGCGAAGGCCACGCTTTGAGTTGCGATATTTTTCTGGCACAGGCAAAAGCGAAGTCACAACAGCGCTGCCAGCAGCGACCACATTGGACCAGTCAATCTCACTCAATGAGCCCTCTGTGAAGAGCGCAAAGTTGCTCTTGAACTCATTCAAAGAGGGTACAACTGCCGCAGAACCATTTGGTTTCCGGTCTTTTGCACTCAGAGGCAAAAGATACTTCTCCATTTGCTCTGGCGTTTCCGAGACAAGGTCACGAGCTCGAATGGAAAGATCTGTGGAACCGGTCTGGTCGTACAGCGGCACAATGTTGACGCAGTTATCTTGGATCGATGGATGAGAGGGGTCTTGAGCAAATCTCTTGCGCAGAACAGCATCATACTCATTATATGGCTGAACCAAGTCGGCCATGGGCTTCTCCGAGTTGGAGTTGACATACTTCACGAAGTCATTGTGCTTCACTGGGAGGGAGGGCAAAGACGTCATGGCATCGATTGTTCAAATGTGATATGAGCAAATGTAATATGATAAGAATGTTGAGATGGTATAACAACTGAATGGCAAAATCAGGGGAAATTGATGAAGTTTAAATAGAGACGGGGGCCATGTTTAGGGCCATATCGTTGATATCCACTTAGCGTTAGCGTCCAGGCATCCTTAGGCAACCTTAGGCAACAGACCCACTATTTCCCCTTTTCAACCAACCGCTTCCTCCCCGTACAACCACCAAGCAACAAAATCCTGCTTCGTTTGCTCGTATGTGCTCGGACTCAATTCCTTTGATTTTGACTAATGAGACGCTAATTGACCCGTGGACTCATATGTCTCAATTGGAAGTCTGCAGGTCATACACAAACAACAGGCACCCTTAGCAAACGTTGAAGTAGGTTTGACCTCACCTGATGGTGTCCACCTCGGGACAATGCACCAACCCATTATTCCGCAGAGGTTTGCGAAGAGGAGGAGATTTGTTGCAGGATTTGCTGCTACGGGGAGTGGAAATTGTGGTTTGTTTTATTCACTCGGGTCGAATGCTATGCCTAGGCGATTTAGATATGGGCGGACATATCGCATTCTGCTATCGTACACAGTGGAGTGGCCTAGGCCAACAAAACATACATATTCCACCGCTAGGAGCCTGTATTAGCATTGACCATTAGATAGTACATATGAATAATTCGGTTTGTAGTAATTGTGCTTGTCGCTGTATTCTACGGTTTGCGACTGGTTATTCAAAAAGAAATTTAAGAAGGATGGTATTGGAATCTTAACTAAAACACCTTTAAAATCACATTGAACAAACTAAATATCCAGATTATTGAAGTCCTATATCGCTAAGTATAGAGACCGTATAAACTGCTGACGATTTTGCTTCTAAACAAACAACTACCTCATTATCAATCTATAGAAATTTCTCATCAGGAGGTTGATATAACAACTGAACTATGCATCCATGGATTATTCCATAGTGCTAGAAATTACCTCAAAGGAAGGTAGGGATATAAGCTGTGAATGTCGAAAGACAATAGGACTAAAGTTCCCAGTAGTCGGTCGTTATGCACTGCGAGAAACACGGGTATTATCAAGGTGGCGTTCTTATATAAAATCTGTCTTGCCTAGTTATCTATGCTTTTGGGTCTATCGTATGCATTCATACACACTATGATTTATTTGAGCTTGACCCTATATAGAGCTGTATAGGCAGTTTGCGTGAGACAGCTTTATTCGGAAGCCAAGAGCCTATGGAAGCTGTGCATATAGATATGTGAGTGAAAGGCACCATATCTGTAGTATTGAAAGAACAGCCTACCCTTTCCGCTGGTTTAGGCTCTAATGTTTATATAAGAGACTTTGTATTAATCTGCTTTCACGCGGATTACCCTTTCCAGGTTCTTATTGATACCGAGCCCTGACTGAGAAAATACCGTGAGAGTTTGGCTTTCTCCTGGTACACTTGAACTTATAGAAGACATAAGAAGGAAGGGTCTCAAGGCTATTGGTTTTCATGCCATTGTTCTTCAAAAGCTTAGCACCAGGATTAAGCCTAGCATAACTAGCAACACTAGGGATGTATTCATAGTGGACCTTACGGTGCTCGAGGCTGGTATTTCACGGGTTTTAGGGAAATACGGGATTACGAAACTCGGTACTATAAGCAGCAATAATCCGATTATTATATAGCAACCGGTAGAATATCTGGAGTTAAAAAAAGCTATTTCTTTTTACCTGGACAAATCACATGTCTCAAAGCTCATTGCAATGATCATCCAAATAATAACATTCGTGGGCTGAGCTAGTTTGGCAAGCCCCTCTGGCTTTGGGCGCACATTTCCATTGGCCGGCGCATGGAGCAACCAGGCGTAGTCGGATGGTGTTGGAAGTCCTGGCTTGCAAGCTTGTCTCTCAATAACATATACAAATATACTGTGACACCGAGTTACAACAATAGAACAAGCAAGAGTCGAGAGCTGTTTCACTATCCCCTCTCGACAGTTCTGATAAACCTGGAAACCATCGCAAAGAACCCAAAAGCAGACAACAAAGCCCCTATGAGTTCAAAACATTCCCCACTTAATTTGGTGTGATGTGCAGCTTCTTGGGCGTTGCAAATGAGTAAAATCGGCCCAGAGACCCACAGAAGTCGTTCCAAATGCAAGGTACCGCTAGCAAGGCTGGCCCTTTGGGTGTGTAGATATAGGCGAAACAGGAGGATCATAGCAAGGATGGGCATGCCATATAACAAAAGGAGGTTGGGAGCGCCTGCATGTGTTGAATGCCATGCAGAGGCCATATCTTCGCTGACACTGTTGTAAAGATAAAAACCAATGTCCCCAAAGATATTCTGGAACTTTTTCTGAGATGCCTCGCGAAGGTCGTGCTCACGGCCGAACCTCCACCTACTTGCGACTGAATTGGCATCCGCAGGTGATAAATCATGTCTTAATATCAGTACGTTCATCAGATAGGTTCAGATTTGACTTGGTCCATCATGTTTCGAAGGGTAGGTGGCCATGGTGAAAAAGCGGACGAGGTGTAGTTGATGGTCAAATGGAAAAGAGGGAAGAACTTTCGAAAGTTGACATCGGGAAGGCATATTGTTGACGACAGTCAAGTGTACTACCTAGCTTGTCCCATCCATGGGATGGACTTGTGGACCCGCGGATCTGTATGTCCTTGGCCGCTCCCTATTCGGAAAAATATCAGTCTACTTTCGCTGAAGGTCATTATAAGGTGAGTAGTAAATACATACACAATACCTACTCTTCTCTGTATATGTCATTTCAAGACCTACACGGTACAGTCCACCTGTAACATTGGAAGCCAGAATTGGACCCGGTTATCATAGATCTAACTGAGGAACATGACCGAAAATGTTGCACTGATAACTGAGAAGGTGATCATATTATGTAGCTACCACAGCCGCCTATTGTGGTCCCTAGCGGAGTCTAGGGCCTAATATATATATAGCGCTGCAGCGACAATCGGACGTTCCGATTGTTGGTATGATCCTTTGGTCTGTGCAGGTAGCCCTGGAGGTAGGCGGCCGTGGGGGCGGTTAATTGCTATTACGTAATCAGCCGGGTGTTCTAACCTTGGAACCTTGGAACCTTGGAAAGGCCTGATGGATTTAGCGTCACTTTGAGAGGCCACCAATCACGCGGTACACACGTGACTCAGTCAAACCTAACTGGAGGTTAAATCGGAGCATGACCCAGAGCTGGATCAATGGCAAAGTCATCTGTTTTAATTTAATATAGAGTTTCGATCCAGACAAAAGATTAGATTTGGGCCAGATGATCAAAAAAAGGCCTCTAATCCGCTGGATAGGCCCCTAAGTCTTCCGTAATGGTACCTGCAGTGCCTCTTTCTTGTTCTATGTACTACTACTAGTACATTGCTGGCTATGGATAATATCTGACCTACACCTTCTATACTATAGGATGTGTTCCTCTTTCTTTGCTTTGCATTATGTTGGAAATACAATCAAAAGTATGTAGAATGGCCCAAGAATCAGCAACTCACAGACGTATAACTAATGTTCAATGGTGTTTGTAGCTGCTGATGCACACCATATAGAGATATATCCTTGGCAACAATATCATGGTGAGATGAACGGATATTCTCCTCGAGTTGTATGTTGTACGATATAGCAAGTTGATCAGACAAGGCATGGATCCACCTATCCCAATCGTCATGGCGCCGGACCCCGGCAGGCGCTGACTCATCGACTCATCATGCCCGATCTAATGGATCCAAGACCTCATTCTCCTCTCTTCTTTTGTCTCAGGTCTGAGAAGTAAAGCCTTCTCTCATATTTGTTATTTTCGTCACTCTGCTCTTCCTTACTCACTAACCCTTTGATCACTCAACATCTATTTCAAAGTCCATCGTCTGCCCCGCCCATTACTTCCCCGCTCCGAATACGGGAATATTTGCTTGTGAATCACGACATTTGATACTGCTGGGTCTGCTTTCTCTGTGAGAGCCCGCCGCCGATAATATCTCCAATATCGAAAATCCTCCCGCTCTATTCAAACCGCCAACATGAGTAGTCCAAAGCGCAGAATCGAGACAGATGTGAGTAATGTTGCGGGTAGTCCGATAAGCCCCCAGAGTCGCCGGAGATGCTAATAACGGTTGTTTTTCATTGTACAGGTCATGAAGTATGCCCCACAACTCCGAAAACATCGAAAATACACGGCACTAACCTTTGGCTAGGATGTACGAGCGACAATCCCCCTACCCTTTCAATTTGGCTGCCGCTTTCCTCAACCTTTTTTGACCGGCCTCGGCGAGCCATACTTAGTTCCCGGGAAATATTCTGACAGTTTATCTAGGCTAATGAGTGACTATGAGGTGACTCTGGTCAATGATAACAGTAAGTTCTGGTCCCCTGCCATCTATGGATCTATATGCTAACCCCGGAAATCCAGTGTATGTACTTTATACACCCAAAATCAACCATTTGAAGCTCTCCGATACCAATTACTAGTAACAGGCAAGAATTCTACGTCCGTTTCAAGGGCCCGGAAGAGAGTATGTCTCGCTCATAATCGACCGGTATTACATCATACTAATCTTTCTAGCACCATTCACCGGAGGCCTCTGGAAAATCCACGTCGAATTGCCTGATCAGTACCCATACAAAAGCCCGAGCATCGGATTTGTCAACAGAATCTTCCACCCAAATATCGACGAGCTGTGAGTTAAGGATGGTCCGATATGTGTGGAAACGAAACTCGGAGGTTAATTCGATTTTTCTGCCATAGGTCGGGCTCGGTCTGCCTTGATGTGATCAACCAAACGTGGTCGCCGATGTACGACATGCTCAACATATTCGAGGTCTTCCTTCCCCAACTCCTTCGTTATCCAAACCCTTCGGATCCTCTCAACGGAGAGGCCGCAGCGCTGATGATGAGGGAACCCAAGGCATATGAGGCAAAGGTGAAAGGTGTGTTGCAATCAAAAAGCCTACCTAGATATGTTTGATATTTATGTCGTGCTGACAACTTATTGCCAGAATACGTTGCCAAATACGCCAGCAAAGAGGCTGTGGATGAAGCAGGCGAGGACACCGAGTCTGAAGATGAACTAAGCTCAGCGGGAAGCTATGAATCTGGTGGCGAAGAGCCTGCGGGTACAATGGACGATGTCTGATGGTCTGCAGCGCGAAAGTTTCCGTCAGGTTTAGGATTGACCCGACACGAACATATTGCATCATCCTACTCTCTTCTATGTCCATCCCGGTACTGGATATCAGCGGGCGTTTTCTTTTTTCCTGTCATAGGGGAGTTGTCATGTATCCTTTTTTTTCTCCTGTCAATCTCCATCTCTGTTCTTTTCTCTCTTGTTATGATCTATTTCGGTCGACCCAAGAGGCATTTGCGATAATTGTCGGCGGAGTCATGGATTGAACAATTGATGCCGAATCTCTCATAGGTATGGGGAGTGATATTCTTTTTTTACGATCCCTCCCATGGTATCTCAATTGTACAGTGAGCTTGAAATACTTTTCATGTAAAAACAATCCCATCCAAAGCTGAACTTCTATATGGACTGCGCTGCCTACAATATATATATCCTCTGGAAGGATTAGCACATTCAGCGCCTACGTACATTATCCTGATTTACCGCAGCCGACTTGATAATGAAATTCAAATTGTGTCTATGCGAAACTAAAAGGATTCAGCCCGGCACTCAAAAACAAAAATACATATACAAGCAGTGCATAACTGACAAGATGACATGAAGACAAAGAAACAAACTTCAAAAATAACAAAACACGCCAACAAGAAAAGAAACCAACATGGGATGAAGAAAAAAAATCGAATAACAAAAGAGAAAGTCTGCGCCATTGGGTATTATCAGACCAGGAAGAGAGAGTAAAGAAGGAATGGCTAGGTATGTGCGAAAAAAAAAAACAGTCGACCTGCGATCAATGCAAGGAATCCCTCAAATAACAGCGCAGCGCAAGAAAATAATGAAACGGGTCTTCCAGTACCCTTATCTGCATCCCTCGATTTAATCTTCATAACCGCACCACCCTCTTTTGTCGTGTACATCGTCATGTGCAGCGTCAATGTGCAGTGATGCATATACCAAACGCCCCATCTTAGGTGACGTTGAGAACTCCAAACACATCATGGCTGGCCTTAGCATCCGTTTTGATATCGGTACGAGACCGTTTCTTATTCGGGTTCACGACAACTTCGCCCCAGTGTTTTGGGACGGTGCCCGATGCGCCGGAGGTGGGACGGCTTGGCGGTGATGTGTGCTGGGTAGATGTAACAGGTGTTGTTGTGTCGGTTCTTTGTGATGGAACGGGAGATGCGGAGATAGGGGTGTGGAGAGTTGCTTGGGGTCGAAGGTGTGGTTGTGGTTGGATGGACCAGATATCGATGACGGAGCTGAAAGAGATGGTTAGCGTAAATTCAGTTCCCACCCATAGCTAATTTGCCGTATGCTAGAACAAAGGGCAACCAGTATAGTGTACTCACTCGGATGTCCGCTGGCAAATTGATTCCAGCGCCTCCCTCTCACGCCTCACATATTCCGAATCCGGCTGGCTAGCCTGATGAGCATGGTTGAGTGCTCCGTAGCCATATCCAGCTTGATAAGGGTCCTCTTCGAGTAGACGCGAAGACTCAGGCTTAACGAAAGAAAGGTTAGACAAATGCGCTCTGCGACAAGCATCCCACGCATCGCGCATCAGACCGAGGTAATGCGCGCTGAACATGGTGACCTGGAAACTATCTCCAGATTCGGGACTCACCTCAGGAGACTCGTGGCGATTCCCGCCGAGGCAGGAGGCACAGATACCCATTTATAGGGATCGGGATCGGGAATTCAGAACCGGGGATGTTCTTGGCTGCACGTTTGCGCTATGCGATGGGCACGAGGCATTAATCACCCCAATAGTTGAGGGGCGGGTACCCTTTGTTGGAGCAGGTGAGGGAATTATCGGAAGGTAAGGAAAGGAGTGTGGAATATGCAGAAAACAGAGAATATGAAATGAAACAAATGGCGCAGTAGAGAGTCACAATGTAGACAAAAGGACTTCAAAGAAGTCGGAGGTTGTGGCTGGGCGGTCCGTGCCATGTCATCAGGCCGTCCACTGGCCGCAGAGCGGCGTGGAAACACCGTTTTTCTTGATTTGGCATTTTGGTCTTATTCCTCTCCCCACACACCACACGATGTTTGATCTACCAAATGCTAAGCGGTATGTGGTCATGCAATTTACACAGACATTTCTCGATATGCCCAGCCACTAATCTGACTTGTACAGCGTCCGCCGCGATGAGATGCGTTCTTCAGCATCATCCCGATCACCATCACCAGCACCAGATGACGCCGCCGCCCAGGATGCATACGCCCGACTAGGAAAGCTACTCAATCTCGATCAATTGGATACTACACAAGAGACAACTAGCCAAGACAATGGTCCCTCACAGCCTGCGGATAACGAAGACGAGGAACAAGAATTCGAGTTCCGCCTATTCAGCGCCCCCGCCAAATCAACGGAAGATACCACCAAGCAATCAGGAAAAGATACAGACGAGAAAAGCACAGAGGCCCCTACTACACAAAAATTGAGGATTCGGCTGCATTCACCTACACCGGGGTCTGGAGCTGGCACCGAGGGCCGATTTGTGAAAGCCTCCCGCGGGTGGGATTATTACTTCTCTACACCTTCTCTCCAGGGCACAAGGAGCGGAGAACCTACCGCCGAAGATGAGAGCCGGACAGCGGAAAGGAAGAAACAATTTGAGGATATGGCCATTAGCGGGCAGCAAATGCTGACATGGGCCAACACGCTAGTCTGGGTAAGTGAATATCCACTTGGCTGGTTTTATAGTTGCTAACTTAACCTATAGCCCGGCTGCCATCTCCCCTGGCGAGTTATCCATCTCAAGCGACATCAGACAAAATTACCACGACCAGCCAACAGTCTTCCCGTCTACTTGGTAGAGGGTGCACCTGTCTCGAAGAGTCCACTTACACGCAAGAAGCCAGGCAAGAAGCGACGAGTCCAGCTGCGCAAGCGGGTTGCGGCCGCACAGGCTGCCAAGGAAAATGAAGCGGAGAAGCGGACTCGGAAGAACCGCGACAGGAAACTCAAGCGCAGACAAAAAGCGAGGGAGCAGAAGGCTGCGGCGGCGGGTATCAGCGTTGAAGATGTCGTCATGGCTGATGGTGATGATCATTCCTCGGGCGGGGAAGAATGAAACTATCTAGCATCAGGATAGATTCTTAATGTGATACCCGTGGGAGTGTTGTTTCCCCTTTGCCGTTAGCAACCATAGCATAATACATCCGTTTAGTGTCGCGAAAGGATTCTGGAATGGATGAGTAGAGCTTTGCATGATATTGAGCGGTCTGATCGAGGTCGATATGTAAGGGGAAAAAAAGCATGCAAAGCATCACTTCGTGAAACTGATTAATATACAACGCTGAGGGTATGAAACGAAACAGGGAGCGGGAAGAAAGCACTCTCAATTTAGATCAGACTCGCAAAGAAAGGTCCTATTCTCGCCAAATGAGTGGATATTCACACTTCTACTTAGCGGGCGCATCTAATGTCGCTGTTAGCATTATCCTCTGCCTCGTTAAGACAATTGGCTTACCGGTCTTGGCGGCAGGTTCCTCAGGCGCAGCAGCAGTGGCCTCGGGTTTAGCAGCCGACTCTTCGACCTTAGTAGCGGGTTCCTCGGTAGCAGGGACCTCAGGCTTAGCGACAGGCTCCTCGGTCTCAGACTGCACAGCAGGTGTAGGTGCAGGTGTAGGCGCAGCAGGAGCAGCCTCAGGCTCGTACTGAGTCTCGACGGGGCCGGCGGTAGCGGTCATCTCAGAGGAGGCGACAGGCTCCGCAGTGCTAGCGTCCTTTGCCTCAGGCACCTTAGCAGCGTCTAGAGTAAGTCAATAAGTCAGTTGGGGGCCAAAAGCGAGACGAAGCTGATATCAAATTGATAAGAGAGTGTCATACCTGGGGCAGAGTCCGGGGTGGCAGCGGGGGAAGTGGGTTTCTCGGCAGGTGTCTCACTGGCCGCAGCGGCAGCGACAGGGGCAGCAGTCGCAGCGGGGACAGGTTCGGCCTTCTGTTCGGGTGTCTTCTTAGCAGCCTTCTTGCGACTGCTGAAGAAGCGCTTGAAGCCCTTCTTGACCTGCTCAAGAGCGTCGGGTGCTGGGGGATGTTAGCGCTGTGTACTTGTGGTTCCGACGGGCGCCAAATGTTGGGTCGGGAGTATAGGGGATGGTTATGATCACTCACGAACACCAGGCATTTTGATCAACGAGTTTGAGATCGGGTTAAAGGGAGATTTGATAAATGCGAATCAAGAGCCGATGAGGAACGCGTTGCGAATCGAAAAGGAGAAGAAGCGCGCAGTCGATCTATTTACTCCCACGTGACCCCCCCCCCGGGTCTATGCTTGTCGACTTTCCGTTTTTGTTTTTTGGGGGGGGAATTACCTTCTCGTATGTCATTTCCAATGCGTAGAGGATGGACTTTTATTGGCTGATCGCGATATAAATGGGTCCTATCCCGCAGCTTATCTTGGCTCTGACAGCTCCCAGTTATTGTGGCTGTGCTGGCGCTAATTTGCTTGCACTTTCATTTTATTTTTCTGAAACACTGTCTAGACAATTTAGTTTCATGCTGTTAGCAGAAAGGGGAGATACGTAGCTCTTCCGAATAATTCAATGGTGGAAGGCTGGATTGTTTCATTGCTATAGATCTAGATGTGATGAATTGAAGTTCAACCATAGGTGATGCAAGCATAAATGGTAGAGATAGGAGGAAAAAGATAGAAAAGCAATAAGAAAAAAAGAAAATAATGCCAGGGTATCAATAGTATCTGGTCCGCAAATCACTGCGCAGGGTGTGTATAACTAAAGAAATTTGAAGATGGTCAGGGCAACAGAATGCCCTAAGCCGCATGGTATCAGCACCAATCAATCAATCTTGATCATGAAGAACACACGTACCCAAAATGAGAAAAAATAAAGCAATTGCAATCCTAAGGTTCTGGGCGGCGATGACAATGAGCAGGACGGCACAGAGAGACCATGCGGAGGATCCTCCGATACCGAAACCCGGGACCTGCTTGAACTTGAAAGCTGCATCGTCGATGATGGATTGTAAATTGGCAGCGGCAACGCTAGTTTTGGCCAGCAAAGCTTGCGATACTTGCGCGTCAAACCGAATGGCCTCCTGGGCCCGCGATTGTGCAGATAGTGCTTCTGCTTGTTGGTCTTGGGCCTTTTGTAACTCGCTTGCTTTGGATTCGGATTGTTGTATAAATGTTTCCATGTTTTGAAGTCGCTTTGAATGTCAGTGAGAGAGTCAATGAGTGGAAGATACACTCGTACCTCTGTCATCCTGATTTCTTGCTCAAGAATCATGTTCATTCGGCTGGTCAGCCATTCCTACAAAAAGGGGCAAAAGGTTAGTCTCCAGTATACACCAAAAGGCAAATCCATATTTGGCACACCATAGCAGCATCAAACTTCTGCATGGCTTGGTACACTCTGTCCATATCTGAGTCAAGAAGCGACTCGAGCGACAGGTGTAAAGAAGATGTGAGGTCCCTCTGAGCGACAGCATTGGTTTCTTGGACCAGTAACGTCTCTTGGCTTCTAGCCATTGCGTCTTGATGTGCACTCTGTAGGGCTTGTTGAAGTGCTCCCACTTGGGTCGATACGTTCTGGATGTCCTAGTTGAGATTTAGTACATGTTTCAACTCCGATTGACTTGGTCAATTTTACCTTTTCGAGGACCCCGGTTCCAGTCCGCACATTCGACAAAGCCACAGATATAGAATCTTGGAGCGACCATATCCCGGCTTCGATTTCTCGAAGAAATTTGCCGAATGTGCGCTTGAACACAGAGTCTGTCGCTTCCATATCGGTCACCATTTTCTCTTGTAGAGACTGAACGGCTTGTATGAAAGAGTGCTGCTGCGCAGACTGTGCAGTTGCATTTTTCAAAGCCTCTTGAAGCCCGTTATTGAGCTTGAGACTACTCTTGGCAATGGATCGATGCAGGTCAATAAGCTCCTCTTTTTCGGTCTCTATTCGTGAGGCATGACAGATCACCAGGGCATTCTGTCGACTGTTGCTGTAAGAAGTCCACCACTGGGGTCGCGACTCAAGCGTCATGAGACATTGCTCCAATAATTCTTTCGCGACTTCATCCGAGACAGAATCAGAACCTCTGTGTCGACTCACAAACCCAAATCGATTCTTCTGTGGAGGCGGCGACACAGTGATCGGAAGGCATGGGGGAGGCATTGGGGTGCCAGCACCGTCGATCTCACACAATGCAAGGCGAGCTGCATAGATGGATCGAAGAAGGTCGAGCGTCTCTGGGCTATCCGACTGCGCGCCGTCTTTGCCATCACTGAATGTTTGACACGAGTTCACTAGTCTTGTCGCTGCAATCCGGTTGCACGAGGGTGACGATTTCATCGAGTCCAGAATCTTGACGGCTTCGTTGAAGATACTGTCTTGGTCTTGCGCTCGGGAACTGAGGAAAGAGATCGCATCGATGTCTGGCAGTTTGGGTGCAAGAATTGGGACATCTTCTTGTGTTAGCAGAATGATTTCAGACGTGTCTGCATGCCTTACTGTGTTGGGAGACACTCGCTCGACTGAGCTGTGCAAGGGCTAGGAAGATATATGAAAGCACTTGAAAGCTATCGACTGCCCTCATAGTGAATGGTCTGGCTAGTTTGGTCTACGAGTGTGGCTTTGGACAGGCCCTGGTTCTTGATCACTCGTGTATATTGTCTGAGATGAATGGGTATAAAAAGGTATGGGAGAAGAGTGATATAAGGTGGAAAGAAATGGATGAAAGATGGCTTCGAAAGTGAGACTTGACATCCAAGTTGTTTGGCTCACGCCCAACTCTGGGTTTACTTTTTCCTGGAGAATTTGCCCTCAGCATCCAGTTGTCTGTTTATATGGATTATTCTTTCTTCATTCAGATACCAAGACGGTCATCAATACATGTATATGGTTAGGAGCCATAGGGGGATGCCATATTGGTTTTGTGTCAACTTAAGACCTCAGGATATTCCCCAGACAAACAAGACAAATGGGATTCCAAGGTTGGCACAGTGATGTAACCATTTCGAGAAATCTCTTCTGGGCAACAATTTTTGGATACGAGTGCATTTCATTATGGTATACTACCATATTATTAAAAAGCATAGTGCTCTTCCGAACTCAGCCACATGGGTATGGGAGCTGAATATATATAGGACCGCAGAATTATTATCCGATTGAGGCTGCCCAATATTTGGGTTTGACAGAGGTACTAGTCTAAAAGGGGTAAGCTCTTGACGAAAGTGATTTCCCTGTGGCAGCCTTTAGCAGCAAAACAATGGCCCGGGTGTGATCAATAGAGGGCTTTTTTTCCCCTTAACACCCCCCCCCCCAAATCCCTACATGTCTAATACCTGGGTAGTTAGCTGTACACGGGATTTTTCTTTAGCTGAATGTCCCTCCCTATTTATCTACTTTGGGTAAGGCGCCATGTAGCATTTTTTGCTGAGCTGTCTACCCACTCCGGTTCTAGTTCCAAGCTTTTTTTGCCCTTTCCCCCCCCCCCGGACCCTTAAATTCGAGAGTATTAAGAGTAGTTGTAAACCTCACACAAGGAATTGTCCGCCTGTTTCCCTACCTACTTTACATCAAGTGCTGAACACATTGCTTGATTTCCCTAGTTTTTTCTTTTTTTTGTTCTTCTATCATAGTCTTCTAGTATGGCATCGCCTTCTTCCAACACCCACTTTGATCCTTTGGAAGTGCCAGATGGTTATGACTGGACCATCAGGGACTTCAGCTATTCCCAATTCGCCCCTCTTGTCATTCAATCTACCTCTATACTGGCGGAGCCATCTATAGCACCTGCGGATCCTCTTCCATATACCTATCCCATACAGTATACTATTGCAAGCGTTGGGCCTAGCTTCGCTGTGTCTTCTGCCTCACCCTCGACTTGTTCCGATCTGTGTTGCTTCAACAAAAATGCCATACGCCAATCTCTAATCGAGAATGACTGTGCAGCTACGGGCCCGGCGACAGGATATCTCGGCGCTAGGCACGACACCGGTTGCACCAATTTACCAGCATCTACTTCATCTGTTCAGATGACATCTCAAGTCAAGACTGGCAGCGATAGCTATGTTAAGGGAAAGAGAGCTTCTGGTCGTAACCAAGGGCGACAGCAGAGACAGAAGTGAGCAACCTCGGGATTCATCATCAAGCCTTGACACTCACTAATACCATTTCATCCATTTTAGGAAACCCCACCGATCTTTCCAATGCCATTGGAAGGATTGCACATACCGCGATCCCTTTTCCGGAAAACCAGCGTTGCTGCGTCATATAGACACGCAGCATATAACTCCGCGCTCATTCGATTGTCCTTCATGCAACAAGTCCTTCAATCGAAAGGACAACATGACTGAACACCTAGGGAGAGTTCATTGGGAACGAGTTTGATGTTGATGCTGAGTTGGCGGTGAGGTTCGGGTTATGGAGCCTCATGTGTGTTAGGCCTAGGCAGAGATTCTGTATCTCGAAGAATGTCGGTGTCTGAAGGGATATCTGTGCTTTAATTGGGATAAATTGGGATAAATTGAGTTCGTCGTTTTCTTTCACGAATCTGTTGGAGGGAGAATCCGAATGGCCCTCGAGAGTTTAGATTTCTAGGCATCAGGTTTCAACAACCTTTGGCAATAGACGCATCCAATGAGGAATCTCCAACATCAAGTAAATTTCTTGATGCAATGGACTCGACTATTATATCACTGTAGTCGAGAGCATAATGAATTATGCTGAGATCATGATATGATCTTCCGAACAACCTTGAAATGAGAAGATGCAAATTATATAGATAATCACGTGCACGCTAAACCCATTGAGGCAACTCATCTGCGAACAAAATCCAAAGTCCGCAACGCAGCATCCGACCCAACACGCGCAAATCACAATGTCGTGCTCCATACCCCAACGCTGTGCCCGCCAGCTTCTTCGAGAGCCGTTCCAGCGCGGCTCCTTACCCATCTTCCTCGCGCCCGCCTTCTCCTCCCGCACACAATGCTTCTCGACCACATCCCCGGCGCAGTCCCGAGTCGGAGGTGCCGCTCTCTCCATCCCCCCGGAGGTGTCATTCAAGCTCATCGATCTCCCCGCGACCCTCAGCCGGACACGAGGAAAGGATATTCCCAAGTTTATGGCTGAGATTAAGGGGCCTAAGGGTAATGTCTTATTGCTGAAATGTGGTCTGGCCGACCGATGCTAACTAGTCCGATTTACAGGCGAGATGAGCCTGAGCATCCCCTCGTTCCTTACTATCACACCCGATGAGACAGGCCAGAAGGCTAGCTTGTCAGTCTTGGATCAGACAGTTCCTCACCAGCGTGCTATGTGGGGTATGTTCTCCTGTCTTTTCTCCGCGGCGGTCTAGTCCGCACGGCAAGCCATTGGTGTCTAACGGTTTGCTTTTCTATCTAGGAACCGTTCGCGCACTACTCCAGAACCACATCCTCGGCGTCTCCGAAGGCCACGTCTGTGTCTTGAGTATGGTTGGTGTCGGTTACAGGGCAACTATCGAGGAGAAGGCGTCCACTGTTAAAGCCGACTACCCCGGCCAGAAGTTCGTTTCCCTCAAGGTCGGATTTTCCCACCCAATTGAATTGGGCATCCCCAAGGGCGTTGTGGCGAGCACACCGCAGCCTACTAGAATCCTGTTGGAGGGTGTCGACAAGCGAATTGTGACCCAGTTCGCGGCCGAGATCAGAGAATGGAGACGCCCCGAGCCATACAAGGGCAAGGGTATCTTCGTCAACGGAGAGACTATCAAGCTCAAGGCGAAGAAGATCAAATAGACGGGAAGCGCATTTCTTTTCAGCTACGCGGGACATTTTGTGTTTGGTTCCGTGTTTTGTACTCTTATCGTCATATATGTATTTTTTTATTCCTCTCACAAGCGATGGTATCACAAATCTACTTCAGACCGATTCTGCTCCCCGGGAGCTCAAGTGCAGTGGACGAGACGACGAAATTAAAAGTCATAAATCAATTACAGCTTCAGAACGGCCTTGACGGCATCAATGACCTGGTCCTGGTGGGCCTTGGGAGCAGCAACGACACCCTTGTTGACAGCCAAGGTCCGGCCCTTGCTGAAATCCAAGCGGTTGCCGTAGATGTCAGTCACCTGGCCACCAGCCTCACGCACAATCAAGTCACCAGCGGCGTGATCCCAGATCTTCTCCTGGTAGTCCTTCTTGACGGGGAGACGCAGGTAGACGTCACCGGCACCACGGGCAATGGAGCAGTACTTGGCCTGCGAGTCCAGTCGCACGCTGGGGGCGGTGATGCCAAGAAGCTGAGCAACGGCAGCGTTGTCGCCCTGGGCGGAGTGTGCAGCCTCAACACCTTCACAGAAGACAGCGTCGGAGATCTTGGCGACGGGGCGCATGGAGATGGGCTTGCTGGCAGCAAGAGTACCACTGGCCAGAGGACGGCTGGTGGCACCCTCACCCAGGATAGCGGAGAACAGGACACCGTTACCGGCAGTCGCAGACTGCTGGGCACCAGTGCTGGCATCAATGGGGGCAGCATCGTCGACAGGGAGGTTAGGAGTACCAATAGCACCGACCTTGACGTCACCGTCAACCATCAGACCAAGACACACAGCGTACTGGCCGCCACGAAGGAAGCCCTTGGTGCCGTCGATGGGATCGAGGGCCCAGATGCGGCCCTTAGGACCACCGGCACTGTTGCCGTTATCAATGATGTCCAGCATGCTCTGCTCACTGGTGAGAGGGCCACCCAGGATATTATCGCTCTCCGCATCATCCAGCTTGATGTCCTTGACCAAGCGCCAGATCTCAGCGCTGAGGTCTTTGTCTTCACGCAGGGAGCTGGCCTCCTCCTCGGCGACGATCTCGTCGTTGGGGAAGTTCTTGCGGATGGCCGAGATGATCAGGGCTTGAGCGCCGAAGTCGCCAATGGTGACGGGGGACTTGTCATCCTTGGAGACTGTGCCCTTGGCCTTCTCGAAGAAGACCTTCTGTGTAAGAAGGCACGCCCGCTGGACGGCCAATTCAGCAATGTAACGTTCCTGTTGGTAAGACATAATTGTAGGTTGGTTGGAGGAGAAGTGGGGGAGGAGGAGGGAGAGACGAGAGCGGGATTTCAGAGCCACGCTGACGGCGAGAATAAGGGTGGAGCAGACCACCAAGCGGGACAGTACGCGTAACAAATAGGAGCGTGGGGATGGGTCTGTCCGGTGTGCAGACGAAAGCTTCATCCGAGATCAATTGGCAAGAAATGTAGCCAGGATTGACTACTCTTGCTTTCTCGAGGTCTAATTGGTTACTACTGGTTTGCCAATGTCGATTAATGACCTCGGGACCTCTTTCTCATGTAGTTGGCCTCAGGCATTAGACCCCGCCCTAATCCCCTTTGGGCCGGAGTAGTCACGAGGAGCCGATAAGCTTAAACTGTCTCGGCATTGTTTGAACTCTCTCCCCCCTTGCAACAAGGCCATTTTGCAATTTGGACGCCCTGTTGAACAAACTAGGAACTGACTACATATTGCATTCGCGCCACTTTTCCATTGCGCTTATCAGATTAACGGGCGCCAAGACTCCTACGTCACCGACAACACGTGAAGGTATCGCGAAAGATCCCTAAAGGCTTATGTTGTGTTTCACACCGTTAATTCCTTTCCGGCATTCTTCTAGCGCATCTCGGCCTACATCCTATCACCGCCGATACCCCATACATACCCAAATTCCTGCGAAACGTTAGTGTAAACAGCGCCGTGCGGGGTCATTTCAGTACCGACATCGCAGCGTGGGGTGATTGTGGGCTGTTTGATACTAGGGACACTTTTCGATTCCTCAGACCTGTTCCTTCTCAAAACAAATATACACTGTTCTAGAGGCTATCCCCTTGACTAGGCCAGCATGTTTGAATCCTCAGTGAGTCATCGGGTGCAGATCATACGCACTTCCAGCACCGACTGATATGGCTGTCAATAGAAACCCTATTCGGCAGTGACCGTACAAATTGAGGTCCTTACGAGCGAACAATATGAGGTCGAAGATTCGAGTGGTATTGTCGATCTAGTGGAAGTAGTTCGCATCCAGGCCAGTGGCCCGATGGAAGCAAGTCGGGCTCTTCGCAAGAAGCTGTGAGTATATGAGTATTGACAGTGCTGAAAGCCAGTCTGACCGATCCAGAAAATATGGCAACATCCATCGACAACTGCGCGCGCTTACTATTCTCGACTTCCTGGTTCAGAATGCAGGAGAGCGCTTCTTGCGTGATTTCGCCGATGAGGCATTGCTCGAACGTCTGCGAATTGCAGCTACTGATTCCGTTTCGGATCCACTTGTGAAACAGAAATGCAAACAGATTTTCGGACAATGGGCGGCAACTTATAAGGACACCCCTGGTATGGCGAAGGTTACGGCGCTATACAAGCAAGTTCCCAAGCGAAAGCAGCCTGCGACGCAGGCAAAAGCCAAGGTTCTCCGCGAGGGGTCGAATTCGAATTCAAACGAGCCCCCGATGGGTCATGTTGTATCCGTGTCAGCGGGCAGTGGGCCATCCACTGTGCTGACCAGTCCCAAAGAAAAGTCCAAGTCCAGGAAAGTCAAGAAAGATAAGAAACTTTCAATTAGCCACAAGAGGTTTGATCTGGAAAGGGAGCGCCCGGAGATCCTGCAAACGCTTGCTGCCTCTTCTGTCGCTAGCACCAACCTGTTGAATGCCCTTAAACTCGTCAATCGCGAGACGCACCGAGTGAGTGAGGATGCGGAATGCAGTAACCGATTCGATACATGCAAACAGCTTCGCCATGGGATCCTTCGATATATCCAGTATATAGAAACAGAAGAGTTCCTGGGCGGCCTGATCCATGCAAATGAGGAGCTGGTGGATGCATTGATGGCATTCGAGGTGCTAGACAAGAGTGTGGACTATGACAGTGATAGTGAGGACGACATTTTGGAAGGCAATTGGAGGCAAAGACATGGACTGCAAGACACGGACGTGAATAACGGCCTTGCTGGGCTTAATATCAATCCTCAAAAACCGCCACGGCCAAATCGTCCTGATAGCCTGCCTCTTGCATCGTCATCGCAACACACACGCCAAATCTTCGACAGCGAGAGTGAGTCGGAGGAAGAAGATGATGATGACAATCCCTTTGGGGACAGGAATGCTATTAAGACCCCGGCCATTGAGAAATCCGGACTTAGTTGGTACGTCATTCTCCCACTCTATTACACCTCATGTTATTAATGTTCGTACAGGAAAGAGGTCTGATCCATGTGGTTACGATGCTGAAGTTAGGCTGGTCTTTACTTTCGCCGGTTTTGGTTTCTTTCATACATTTTCTGATCTTGTGCTTGATCGGTATACCCAAAGCTATCGTGTTGCTGAAAGGTGAACATCCATTTTGATCGCTAGAGTCTCGCGTGTGTATATTCTTAAATCGATTGGAAATTGATTGCATTGCAATTTCTGTGAGCCTTTTTCGAATTCTGGGACGAATATATATCCTAGCTTTGTTTTAATAAAAGCCTTCGCTTGTAGCCCTAAATCTAACATTCCAAGAGATCCAGCAATGAGAAACTTAGCAGCAGTCCTTGCATGAAACCCATCGGATAATGACCGGTTAGTCAAATGGCGCCGAGGATTAGCTCGATGACGCCCCCAACAGCTGCCTACAAAGCGCCCCCACCCTGGCTTGCTCTTCGGCCTTTACTGGTAAACCCCGCCGGACTAGATAAACCTATAAATCAACGTACAACCCCCAATAATCGAGAGAGAAAACTAGACATATTTCTCCTCAGAACACCAAAACACAAGCTATTGGTCCAAAGAGAAGATAAAATGCCGGTGACCGAACTCGCCCTCCTGCGCCTGACGACGCAAGACCCCTGGTCTTCTACCAAAAATACTTTCCTAGAAGCCCAGAAGAAACAGACAGAACATTCCGGATATCAAGTCACATACCTCCGCCAGATCGAAGACCAACAATCCGTTTATTTACTGGGCGGCTGGGAGTCTGTCGAAAAACATACAGGCGAAGGCCAGTGGCTTTCACTCGAAGTGAACCAGAACCTGCTCGCGCAGTTGAAGGGCAGTGTCGATGTTAGCTGGATGTTCCACTTGGACATTGATGTGAGCTTTTCTCAAACTTTTGATAAACTAACTTCGTATTTCATGGGTGAATCAAGAAATATAAGCTAACGGATCCAGCCATCTCCATCCAACATCCCACTGGGTGCACCTGTTCTCAGTATAACTCGATGCTTTGTTGAGCCAAGCAAGAAAGATGAGTTTGATGCTGTTTTCAAGGCTAGTGTGTCTCATTTGAATGCCTATACGGCTCCATTCTCTTCCTGTGGTGCGTGGCGCGTCGATAAAGAGGGCGAGGATGAGGAGTTTGTTCTTTTTAGCGGGTGGAACCAAGTTCAGGATCATCTTGCTTTCGGGGAGTCTGAGGCTTCTAAGGAGTTTGGAAAGCTTAAGACGTTGATGAAGGATGCGGATGTTAAGCATGTACGTGTTGAGAAGTGGGAGTAAGGTACTATGTACTTTCATTCATCTATGTGGTATCTATTGTGAGGTTATTATGTTATGTCCTAGGTACGGATGTGCCGTTGAGGATAAATTGCACCATCGCTTTCCTACCATCCAGTTTGAGTGGTGCCTCTATATGCATGGCACCGAGGACATCTTTCCTCTCGATCTTCAAGCCGAGAGATTTGGCATGCCTTTCTAACTGGTCTGGTACGTATGGTGGAATGACTTCATCTTTCTCGGCAGATAGAAGAAAGATCGGCGGAAGCGAGCGAGGTATTGATGCTGTAGCTTCACGGTTGGGGATTTGAGGCCCAGGTTGGTCTCTCCATGTAGCCATTTGTTTCATCTTCGCCTTGATATCCCATGTATTCCAAGAGAACGGCCAAAGATACCTGTATGGAAGCCATTTTTGAGGATAGAGGCTGACGAGCATGTCTTTAATGCTGGAAGTTGGCGCCTCCAGAATGAGGCTGGAAATGGGCGCCAGGGGCCTGTTACTGCTTGTATTTGAGGAAGTTTGCCTCTCATGTTGGCGGGCAATGTAGGTAGATACTGCTGAGCTTGCAACAGCAGCACCCAGGCTATGGCCCCACATTACAATCTCAAGATCGGTTTCTGGGGCCGCATATGTTTCTGAAACCCAATTCAAGAATGCCTGGGCATCCATTTCGATGCCGGACTGTGTGGCGCGACCAGATGATGTCCAGTAGCCGCGGTATGATAGAGCGGCGATAGTATATTGAGAGACTTCGGGGCCAGACATAGCAGATGAAGTTAATCTTGACGTTTCCGTAATTGCGCGCAAGACGTGAGAGAGAAGAGGCAACCGCATAGGGGTCGATCCGCCATTGCCTTGAAAGTAACAGATCACAACGGACTTTTTTCGTTTTGGGATCAGTTTCCCTCGATCTTTATTCTGTAAAGCATCAGGATTTGAAGATGACTCATGGTCCTTGTGAGGAACTGGAATGTGACCCTCACAAACAGCCAATTTAGTCCCATCCAAACTGCGAATCTGCTTCTCCTCCCACCGCACTGGTCTGCACTCAGCCTCATAGTCTGAAATTACCTCAGACCTTGTGAACGGAGGCAGCCAGGAGAGGTAGAGGAGCTTATTTTGCATGATGATGATCCAGAAGCATTTCCATGTCCATAGACTGAGTAGGAGCCCGATGAACATGAGAGGTGGTATAGCAAAGGTTGGAATAGAGGCCGTGATTAGACCTCGTGATTGAATCCTTGATCGTACATTTTGAGCGATGCTCTGTCTCTTTGTTGTGATGCTGTGGAGGCCATTGATGCCATTTGACGGGATGTTGTTATAAGGACTTGGTGATGGCTGTCGCATGCGGGTTGATATTGTTCTCGAGTTTGAACCGCGCAGCGCGCGTCGCACGATCCAGCGTGCCAGCATCAGCAGAATCGGTTGCCAAGTTATTGGTTGGGTTGGAGGTTGTTGGATGGTTGCGATTTACTAAGTGGAACATTGGAGCCACAGCGGCAAGCTGGGCCTTGACTCAGCAATTCCAGGGCCCGGACCATCCCGAGGTCTCTAGGGTCCAAGGCTGAATATAGTGGATATGAAGCAGTTTTCCACGCTAAATTCATACATTTTCCTCTTAATACTTTGATTATGGAGATAGGATAATGGTTTTGTTTTCATCACTCTACAGTTGAAAGAATATGTAAAAAGTAGATTCAATTTAAATCACACACAGACAAAATATATTCCTTGTAGAGCTTCTGAACTAGATCGAAGCTCTAACACGCGATGAAAATGATAGCATTGTGAATATTCAAATGGGTATTGTGAGTCGTCATCTGGAGTCATAATATGAAAAAGAACAACAAAACGCAACCGCATGAACAGAAAAGGAAAGATGAATCCTTTCCCAAGACGCCAAAAGAAGAAAACCGCAAACCAGCCATGCAGTGATGCAAAATGAGTTTTCACAGAACCTTCGATCTCATCCACTCACTTGTTCCAACTCCAAGGTTGAGCCCATTCCGCTCCCACCAACGTCGAACACGACCCTCAGCGCCAGAGCTCGGATCAGCATCCTCAAGCGCTTCTTCAATGTCACAAGTCTTAAATTCAACCCGCATACCGCAGGATTTCCACCACTGCAGAACGTGGTCGTGGCCGTTCTTCGTCGGGCCAACCAGCACCTGGTTATCGAAGATCATCTTCGGGCCCTTGAGTTTATACCAGAACTCAAGGACATGGACATGGCCGTGCGTGCTCGCGATACGGGCAACGTTCTCGGCGTGGCTGTACGGGATCCCTGATGCGTCCCACCAAGCAAGAGATGCGGTGCGGCCCGACTGCGCTGCGAGAAGGACGGATTTGCCGACCTTGAGAGGCAAGGGGTTGGATCGTGGGGCGTTTGCGGAGGCGGCTTTCCACCAGTCGAGTACGGGGACTCGACCTTCGGCGCTAGCGGCTTCGAGGGCACGCTCGCTGTATCGTAGCGGGAGCCCTGAGTGGAGCCACCAATCTAGTACGTCGATGAACCCGGCTCGGGAGGCGCCGTCCATGGCGTCGGCCATATATTCTTTGTTTGGGAGAGCGGGCGCATCGCGCCACCATGTCAGTACGTTCGGGTTGCCGTAGATTGCGGATGCTCGGTATGGGATATTTGTGAGTCGAGAGGTTGTCCAGAGGAGGTCCAGGTGGTTTTCAGTGAGATAGGAAAGGATGTCGGTGCGGGAGAATTTGACAATGAGGTGGCAAGCGAGGTCAGAGAGCGGTTTCCAGCGAGGCAGCGCATCGATGCGTTTTTTGATTGCAGCAAAGGATCCTCGCAAGATGGTATATTCGAGTGAGGCCGTAGTGGACATTTTTGGTAGATGGCTCTGCCATTCTTGGGGTACAGGGAGATGTGTTGGAATGCCCACAGCTTTCGCTGTTTCCCAGTCTCGCAGTTGATCCTCAAATACATTCAGCCAGATTTCCAATGGTAAAAAATCAGCATTGCCTGTATGTTTCGTTTGTGGCGTGGAGCCGGTGGCACTTCCAGATGTAGATTTTGATGCAGTCTTAGCCGGGACCGTGGCACCATGGGGGATTGCTCTGGTCGACAGGCTAGCTTCCCACGGCGGTAATTTTAATGTTGCCTCCAGTGTCTGTTGTAACTCCTTCAAGCCGTCCCATGGTAGTATTGTCAGGTCTTCAGGCCCGTTTGACTTCCAGAGCACAGGCTTGACAGTGCGAATCCAAGGCCAAAAACGACTAATTTCATCGAGTTGTCGAGTGCTAAGCGGGTGGTCCCATTCTGACACCGTCATTCCTGGAATGAGAATCACAGGTTTCTTCGAGACCCAGCCACGAAGGAGCGCCAACGTCAAGGTATTCGTCAAGCCGGCTAACATCGCCCCCAAAGCTCCCGCATCGATCGGCGCAACCAAGAGCATGTCCGCCCACTCGCATAACTCCGCCGTCTTCGCCTTGAGCCATTTTCGCGCGCCGGTTTTCTTATCAAAGGTTTGGCTGTCGACCGTGTCCATGTAGTGCGGGATCTTGTTGGTGCCAGTGAGCAAAGCCGAGGGTTCATCTGTGATCAGTCGCAGCTCGATGAATGGGTTCAGAACGAGGGACGGGAGGACGGTGTCGGCGAAAGCACTATCCGTCGATAAAAGCAATCGGCGGCGCCGAGGATGGGATGATGTCGCATTTTGCACCGCTTTGTTTCCAATCACGGTTTGCCTATAGCCTCCATCCACCTCCATATCACTTGACCACGACCCCCTTGTAATGCTATTTCCCTTTGTAATCGACGAGATATTAGGTCGAAATCCAACTGCCATGCCAATGTGACCGATAAGGCGGCTGAACCGTATGAGGATAAGGGCGGTCGGATAAAAGAATCTCGTAGGAAAGGTATAGGTAGGCAGGTAGTAGAGAAGAATCGAGGTCGAGAGGCGATCAAACAAGATCAATTGGGCACTCTAGCACTGGACAAAGAGATAAGTTATCGGACTGGTGGTCTGATCAGAGTCCAATCATGCAACCCAGTATTGAAATCGAGGCTGGCGCGCTTTATTTTGTGCAACGGCGATCAACCGGTTTCCTCGAGCGGTGAGGTCGTTGCGTTGTCTGGATGCGTCGCCACGTCTTTGCCACACTCGATGTGATGAGCTGCCGAATGAACAGTGTTGTGTCTCGGCGAAAAAAACGCCTAGATCCTTTCGAGGGGGAGATCCACCAATGACAAAGAGGAAATATGCTAGTTCGATGGTCTATGACGGTTAAAGACGGGGCCGTACAGGAGGAGCTCAGATTTGATTGGCGAGTTGTTGGGCAGAAGCGGTCAATGCCAAAGATCATCCTAACATGTGCGCTCTTAGTACAACTTTCGTACAACTTCCATAAATACTGGTTTAATGTTTTTTTTTCCTCTCTATTGCTCTGTTCCTGTCTAACTGGTGCTGGGTTGTTCAGGCCATGTCAGTTTAGAATGCGAACCCCGACGCCACGGTACGGGAGTTGAACTAGGTCAATCCCTGCCTAGGTGCTCGTATATGTGCTGGTCTATATAACGGATACTCGAACATTTTTCTATCAATGCCCGAATGAAGAATGAATGTTTACTCTATCGCCGGGCCAAGTTGTTGTGCAACTTCTGCTCTCTCATCGCGAGACTTGCCAATGCTCCCAGGACCGCCAGGCCCAACAATGTCACAAATACCGCCCGCAAGGAGTCCATGTATGCGTCAAGCACTCCAGATGTCAAGTCTGCGGGTAACTTCCAAATCTCGTCCAAGCTATCTCGAAGCCGCCCAATCAGCTCCTTGGCGTCCTTGCGCTCACCGAATCGAGACCAAAGCCCAAGCTTCAGGGTGTTCTGGAAGACAGCCGAAGCGACCGTGATACCAATCGTACTTCCGGTGCTGCGGAACGCATACGAAGCAGATGTCACAACCGCATGGTGCTGGTGGTCTACAGAAGAGATGAGCGCCACCAGGGTGATGGTTAGCATGCTACCATAGGATGCACCGCCCAGGAAGAAATAGAGGAACGGCAGTCCGACGGGCGTGTAGAGATTCAAAGTGCAGATGAGCCCAGCGGAGAGAACCTGAACAGCCATGGCAACATAATTGAGAAATGCATACCGACCGCTGGCGCGCATGATGATACCCGATCCCAAAGAACCAATCGAGGTGCCGATCGCCTGCGGGATTAATCGCGCGCCGGCAGCAGTCGCAGAAAGCCCCTGCACCTGGAAGTACACCGGTAGGTAAAAGAGGAGGCCGAAGACGGCCATTGTACCGAACCAATTGGTCAGACAAGCAGCTGCGACGGTGCGGTCCAGCAGAAGGCGCACGGGAATAACAGGCTCGGAAGCAATCTCAGCTTCCACGTAGATGAACAGACCTAAGAAGAGAGCAGAGGCAACCAACGATGTCAGCACCAGCGGGTGGGTCCAGGGCACTTGGTTTCCGCCGGTGTTGAGGCCAAGCAATAAAGAGACCAGTGTCAGAACCAGAGTGATAGCGCCTAGGAAGTCGACGCGTTTGATGCGCGCGGTATCCGTTTCTTTCACGGGAATGTTGACTTTAATCGCGACTAGAATGCACGAGATGACTAGGAAGGGAACCTGCAGCAAAAACGCCCATCTCCATCCCAGAGTGTCGTTGATCCACCCGCCAAACACACCTCCAAGTCCCATGCCAGCACCGTAGCAGATGTTTCCGATGCCCTGCCAGATACCTCGTTTGCGGAGAGGGATCAAGTCCGAAGTGACGAAGGTCGAGATCGCAGTAAGACCGCCTCCTCCGACACCTGCCACGACGCGACCAAGGATAATAACCCATTCCGCTCTTGCCAGGCCGCAGATCAAGTTGCCCAGGGCGAAGAAGATGTTAGAGAACACAAGCCCCCAGCGACGAGAGTAGATATCAGTCAATCGGCCACTGAGAGGCTGGCAGGCGGCATTGGAAATTAGGTAAGAAGTGGCTAGCCACGAGAGCAGCGAGAATGAGTTGAAGGACGAAGAGATGGGCGCGGAGAGCGTGGCGACGATCGTTGTGTCTGTAATGAGGCTAGGGTTAGAAATTTTGTTTCTCCGGAAAGAGTTGAAGTCCATACCGAGAGCAGCCAGGAAGACACCGAGCCAGATGCTTCCGAGGATCCAAATCAGCTCCTTGGTACTGGGTTCCTGGGGTAGTGGGGTATTCTCATTGGCATCGCCGGGTGAATCCCGAAGGAGGGGCGTTTGCTCAGACGCGGGCTCTCTGGCAGTGTCACCTGCAGACATAGTGTGATGCAAAAGTGAACTGATGTTTCTCAACAGAGAAGTTGGTAATGATGTGCTCGGGGACTCGGCGGAATCTCCGAGGGGAGTGCGGAGATGTGGGGTCCAAAATAGCGGCTAGAGTGGGTGTCTTATTGGTTGATGCATACAAGCTCTCTTATGTTGTACACCAATTAAGAACTTGGCTTATATGTCGGAACAAAGAAAGTGATTGTAATAAGTTGGCTATTTAATCCGGGTCAAGTCTCGGCAGTCTAGTTGGAAAGGAACGTGGCCCCCTTTTAGTCCCTAGCGGTTGACTGCCTGTATATTTCCTTTCAGATAAAGGCAATCCTATATCGACCAACTTAACATCGAAATACTATTTTTGCAGCAGCGCGGACAACGGATATGACAGATTAGGATCCCAGCATGGCAACGTGAATATAACCACAAGAGCAACAGTGCGTCGGGTGCTCTTTTCCTCTAGCTTGAGTAGGACTTTGGTAACTGGAGCGGGGTTATTATACGATGGCGAGCTCATGAAAATTAGGCAACCAAGGAAGTCATCCCTGCGGCTGGCACTTTCCACATACCAAAGCTACTAGAACTGTCAGAGATCGGCGCCAAAGATAGATTGAATTGTCTCGGCATCCCATTGGTAGTGATCAATCAACCAGCGGTGGGCGAGAACCCCCAGAACCATGTGACGAGCATGTTTCCTGTTCCCCTCAATCCTCACCCAGACCTCGAGGGGATATCTTTTGGGTTCAAAGGTGTGACCTTTGCACGCATTGACCAAGAGGAGCAAAACAGGTTGTTTTCTGTGCACTCCGAGTCCGTGAGTTCAGCGGGACATGTCATTCAGACAATCCTGGAGGTCCTGATGAAGCTTCTGCGGTCCTTCTAATAACTGTAATACCTGGAAACATGGTTATCGGTGTAAGAGCTTTCCCTTCTCCCTAGGGAGCAGTCACATCACATCGACGGATCCAAGTGAGATGCCCACTATTGATATCCGATACTTCAGCGATGATCTGGATATAGAGATTCTGGCTCAACATGTGCAAAGTTTGCATCATCTAACCGCAGCTCCAGCTCTGCAGCTATTCCTGCAGCGGAGCACAGAGCCAACTAATCTTGAAACAATTGAGGAGCAGCCGCGCGAGGCAACGGTATTGTCTTGTCGCCATAGATGCGGCACTGCCGCTATACTTTCCCATGAATCGGGGGGTGTAGTGGATTAAGATCCAAAGGTTTATGGAATGGAGAACTTGAGGATTGTCTATGCGGATATTTTCCCGCTTATCATCAATGCAAACCCTATTGCGATAGTGTATGCGGTGGTTGAGCGGGCTACCGATATAATTCGCGGGATCTGCATATCTGGGATCGGACCAACAGTGTAGATCGTCTAAGATCTAGGTGAACATTCTTTGACGTAAATCTCGTGTTGGTAACTCCTTGTTCAGGGCGATATTTTTGCATGTTGGATCCCTCATTCCCAATGTGTTGAAGAACAGAAGGAAATGTTGTAAGCACTGCATGATATCTTCCAAGGTTGAGCTTCCTTTTTATTTTCGTCCTAGGAAAATGTATGGAAAGAAAGAGAGTGAGAGAGTAAAAAGGGAAAGAAAGCAACCAGGAAAGAGCTGAGTAGGTAGCTCTTTCCAATTGTGTTCGCAGTTGCAGACTTGCTTCATCATTCACTCTACCACCGTGGACTTTTCACTTACTTATTTACATTGTTCCAAACTCACCATCATGAACGAGTTCCTTTTCTTTATTGTGTTCCCGATGGTCGGAGTCCCTCTTATCACGTTGGCAATAGCGTGGATCGAGCACTTCGTCAACAAATTCCGCATATGGATGTTCGTCCGAACCACCGATGCCCTTGTGAAGGATGTCGAAACCTACAACAACAAAGTGATTAATTGGAAGAAAGAGGTGACCGAGCTCAAGGAGCAGGTGTACGTGGTAGGGGCGGAATTACCGGTTTTGGAAAACCGGCTGCTTACGATTCTACGGGACACGCCAACCTCAGAGCAAGCTAAGGCTGCGCACGACGAGACAGAGAGGTTGAAAGATAGGATACGTGGGTTTCGACAGAAGCTTGTTGTTTTATCGAAGGACGGACATTCTCTTAGTGCGATGCACATGAACCAAATTGATAGGCTGGCAGCCCTTCAGCAAAGGCTAAACCAATGGCGGTTAGTAAACACCATTGTTTACCAAGGTATCTTGCTTGTTACTGACGACCACACATAGTGCTTAACGATTGACTATCCTGCCTGATTGATGGTTGGCCGTGATCGGATTCTGGATCATTTCGATACTGCCTACATGTACCTAGGCTCTTCTAACTACTAGTTATGTCTTGCCAACAACCATTGCATCATAATGATGCGGCCTCAACATGATGATAATGGCCTGTGAACCTCTAGATATTCAATGTTCGATTGACTAACGAGATTTTCCCCTGGTAGAAATGTAGAAATCGGCTCTAAATTTGGCCTTGGTTATGGAGCTCCCCGCCACCGAAAACATGCGGATAACCAATGCCTAGAGCTTGATGGACTAGGTAAATCTTCGACCTCTCAGATCGTGCTGGTCTAAGAGATCCACAAAGTACGATGGAGTGCAGATCAGGAGTTGCAGTTTCTATGTGGAGGTCTAAAGGAACAAGAGCTGAGATGTATATTTACTATCTGAATGAAAGGGGCACGGCAAGGTGCGAATAGCTCCAGGGTTAGTTCCGAGTATTATATTCCCTTGAATTAACAACCAAATACATCGAGGAATACAGGTAATCAAAAGTGCCGATTCCAACAGCCTTGAAGTGAAACAGGGGGTATTCTCCGCATTTGTGGAGATCCCCGGATTTCCCCCTCTGACTCGAGGAAATGGGAATTCCGGCCGTTATTTTCGGCTTTTCCTGATCAAAACCCCGCTATTTGGCCTACCTAAGCTTTTCAATGCTCCTGAGGTCGTCGTGTCCTTTGCTGTCGTCTCCGCAGTATGGCGTTGCTCATTCGCTCTTGCGTCCTATCCCCACATGCTATTCGGCCAAACTTCGGATGTTTGAGCCTTTTCGTTATGGATCTGTAAGACTCGCTCCTTCGGGAATTTCTGGTCTAACATTTGCCGTCTCAAGGTCTATATTGATACGCGATGATACCGCCGCCATGAGAGCAGGAAACATACCTCGGAGCAAATACAGCTATTAAAGGCCGCTGGTCTGCAGATGTCGCATCCTGGTCATTTCCACGGGCTCTCCCCAATATGATTCGTCTTCATGCATTGCCCTTGTTGGCGGTTATGGGCTCGCTTGCCCTGGCCAGCCAGGATGCGTTCCAATCAAAATGTATCAATTTTGGTGATCAAATCGACATTCCCAATGTCAAAGTCAACTTTGCCGAGTTTGTGCAGGGAGGCACCAACCTATCCTTGACAGACAATCCGCCTAGCTGCGCTAGATCGAGTCAGGTTGTCTCGGTAGACCTGTGCCGAGTGGCCATGGCCGTGTCGACCTCGAACAGCAGCGAGATTACGCTAGAGGCTTGGTTCCCGCGTGAATATAAGGGCCGTTTCTTAAGTACCGGAAATGGTGGTATTTCTGGGTGTAAGTGTCATTTCCAAATCCAGATCCAGCATCTAGAGTCATGCTAATCCCAATACAGGCATTCAATATTATGACCTTGCATACACCGCGCAACTAGGTTTTGCCACTGTCGGAGCCAACAACGGACACAATGGTACCTCGGGAAAGCCTTTCTACCGCCAACCTGAGGTAATCAAAGATTACGCATACCGTTCTGTTCACACTGGAGTTGTAATAGGCAAAGAGCTCACCAAGCAATTCTACGATGAGGGCTTCAAGAAGAGCTACTACCTCGGATGCTCGACTGGTGGCCGCCAAGGTTGGAAGTCTGTTCAAAAATATCCCAACGACTTTGACGGGGTGGTTGCTGGTGCCCCTGCTATCAACCTCATCAACCTATTTTCATGGAGCGCACATTTCTACCCCATCACTGGCTCACCAACTTCCGACACATTCCTGTCCACAGCTGAATGGGAGATTGTCCACAAAGAGATCATCCGCCAATGTGATACCATTGATGGCGCCGAAGATGGAATCATCGAAGATCCTGATCTTTGCCGCCCTGTCTTGGAAACGTTGACCTGTGACCCCAGTGCCTCAAAGAAAACAAGCTGTCTTACTAGCGCCCAAGTCAACACCGCCCAGCAAGTGCTTTCCCCATTTTATGGAATCAATGGAACCCTGCTATACCCCCGCATGCAGCCTGGCTCTGAGATGCTCGCCGCACCTATAATGTATAGTGGCGCACCATTCCAATACAGCCAAGACTGGTACCGCTATGTCGTCTACAACAACCCGTCCTGGAGCGGGGCCAACTTCACAGTGAAAGATGCAGCTGCCGCTCTCGCCCAGAACCCGTACAACATACAAACGTGGGACGGCGATATCTCTCCATTCAAAAAGACCGGCGGCAAAATTCTGCACTACCACGGCCTCCAAGACCAGTTGATTAGCTCCGAGGACTCCAAGATGTATTATTCCCACGTATCAAACACCATGAAACTACCTCCCAATAAGTTGGATGAGTTCTACCGCTTCTTCACAATCAGCGGTATGGGCCATTGCGGCGGTGGTGATGGTGCCTATGGTATTGGTCAGGGCGACAGTACTTACGATGGAACCAATCCCGAGGACAATGTTCTTATGGCAATGGTTCAGTGGGTCGAGGAAGGCAAGGCGCCGGAGACTGTTCGTGGTGCTAAGTTCTCCAATGGTCCTGGCTCCAAGGTCGAGTACAAGCGCAAGCACTGCCGCTGGCCTCGACGCAATGTGTTCAAGGGTCCTGGAAACTACACCGATGAGAACGCTTGGCAGTGTGTTTAGGCTTGCTTGCCACTTTTTGCATATAGGACTCTTCCAATCTCCCTAGGAATATCATTAAATGGTTGTCAGATTTGATCAATTGATTCAACTCATGTAGGAGGAGGATGTAAACGAGCCTGGAGGGACGTCATATTGGCAGAAAGCAGACGGAATTCATCGGCAAAACAATGCGCTCCGCAGCAATAACAGACCGCCTAGTAGACTGCCCGTCTGGATTGCAGATCAGTTGAGCTGTGTGACCATAATTCGCGCTATTCATTTTTCCTTTATATATGTCTTTTATATGAATCATTGCAAATTTTGAAAGACGACAATATATTACACCCTCCACTAGCCCGCGCACGGATCACCATTTGAGGCCCCATCAAAGCTACCCCTCGGATCGCGTATATAGCAGCGACAATCCCGCGCATTCTTGAGTTTCGAGTTCGCAGCCTACCCTTGACCTGTCCGACCTACCAGTTTGCTTCTCCCGACCCAATCGCAAAGGCAGACCCAGAGATGGACGAGTTCGCGCAGACTCGCGGCGCCGACGACCTATTCGACGATGAGATTATCCCAATCTCCACGGAAGAGCACCAGGCACAGACAGAAGTCAATACCCGCGAGCCGGAGCCAGAGTCACAGGAGGTACAGGTGTCCGAGAAGCCAGCTCCCGAGCAGCCAATTCCACGTGGGGAGACTCCGCAGCGGGGCCGTGGAGAACGAGGCCGGGGACGACGGGGCCGGGGCAAAGGAGGGCGCGGTGGACGAGAGTCGGAGCAAAAGCGGTCAGAAAGCTCTCCGCGCAAAAAGACTCCTGTCAATGCTGCGGCTGCCGATGCGCGCGAACCTGGTGCTTCGAAGTCGAAGCCCGAGAAGCCCGAGAAGCCCGAGAAGCCTGTTGAGCCTAAAGAGCAGACCGGTCCGGTCGAAGAGGGTAATGGTGAAGACCTGACTGCGACTGGCGCCGAGGCCCAGCGTGTGCCTGCTGTTCGTGGCGATCGGAGCGCCACTGGTGGACTGAGAAAGGTGTGTAGTCCTTCTCTTACCAAGACAAGAGAGTACCGAGCTGACTGTTTACTCCCAGCCTAAACTCACAGAAGAGGAATTATCCAAACGCATCGCCACAGCCAAGGAGAACGCCGTAAAGAAGGCTGCGGCCCATGCTCGCGCCGAAGCTGATCAGGCGTCGTTCATGGAGCGCGAGCAGGAGGCAGCGAAGAAACGTCGCGAGGAGCTCGCGCACCGCCGCGTGATGGATAGTGAACGCGAGAAGAACAGACAACGGAAACTCAAGGCCCAGACGGGGCGTGAGTGGGACTCGCAGAAACGCGAGGAAGATTATGACCCCCGCGGTGGAGGCAGCCAATTCCGACGCGGTATGCATGGTGGCGTGTCTGGCGCCGTGCGACGAGGCTTTGAAGACGCCCGTTCAGAAGATGCTGCAGATCACTCTGGTGGTAACCGGGGTCGTGGACGCGGTGGTCGAGGTGGCCGTGACCGTGGATCTCCACGTGCTCCACAGGGAGACCGGCCACGCAAGGGCTTATCCGACAGTATATATGCAAGAGAGATCCCTGCTGCGCCGGGATTGGATGATAAGAGTGCATTCCCTGCTCTGCCCGAGGGACCCAAGAAGACTGAGACCAAGAAGACTGAGACTAAACCAGTGCCTAAGCCGGAGACCAAGCCTAAGGCGGAGGAGACTAAAGTCGAGACCGAGACTGCTCCTGAACCATCCAAGTCACAATCAGCAATGGACAAATTGGACTCTACGTTCTCACCCATTACTGGAACTTGGGCAGACCAGTTTGAGGATGAGTGACGAAATGTTTCATTGGAAAACGACTTTTTTTTGTTTTGGTTGTTATTGGCTTTTACGATTTTCTTTCTGCATTCACGACATGAAAAGACTCCTGTTTCCCTCACTTGCAATTTGATATCCCGCCTGTCCTGAAGCCTTAATTGGTGGCTCAGATGGCTCAGATGCAAAAGTCCAGCATTACATATACGTATATTGCCGCTCATAATGTACGCTGCTTTCTGGAATTGTGACATTTGGTATATTTTTGCTTCTTATTGATCTTATAACAAGCGTAGCCGACCGCTTATGCGGCCTCTGTCCTTGACAACGTATTCTTGTAATATGATCCATTGGCTCAAGATGATATATCGGACTATATTCCAAGATTCTTCCACAATTTCATTTTGGATATCTCTCCAGATGTCGTCTCAGATATCCTTTTTATATGTCTTTTGGATCTCCTCCGCCACAATATATCCCCCGAATTTCTGTAGCAGGAAAGCTGGAAAGGGGAAGAACAATCACATTCTGCTAGACTAGGACTACAGAAAAGACGGGATGAGGCACGTGGTCCGGAGGGTCACAGCTCCTATCAAATATCTTCTCCCTTTGCAAGTAGTATCTGCCTAGGAATCGTCATATGGATTGCCAAGTAGTGATATTCTAGCCCATGGCGGGTCAACCTTGTTGTGCTGCAACCTAGGTCTGGGCATAAGACAAAGAATGGAGAGAAACGAAACTGAACTACATTTGCTCCCGAATCAAAATCCACCCCTTCCCCCCCCAAAAAAGGAAATACTTGAAAATTCATCTACTCCCATCGGCACTTGGCTCCTCCTTCTCACTGATATTTCTTGCCCTCACATGCATCTGCTTCGCCTTGTCTAGCTCTCCTTGAGATTCGTAAAAAGCCGCGAGACAACTGACAATGTTAAGAGTTGAAAGGTGGCCTCCCCCAAGAATCCTTTCTCTTCCACTCAACGCCCGCATATACATATCCTCCGCCTGTTCTGGCTTGCCCTGAGCCTGAAACAAGGTTCCAAGGTTTTTGAAAGTGCTGAGAGTCGATACATGGTCTGCACCCAGTGTCTTCTGATATCTAGCAAGTGCGCGCGTAAACATCTTCTCAGCCTCATTCAGCTGGCCTTGAGAATAACAGAGAGATCCAAGATTGATTACGACATCGAGAGTTGATGTATGGTCTGCTCCTAGCGCTTTCTCGTTCCCCGTGAGCGCTCGAATATACATCTGCTCGGCCTTATTCAGGCTTCCTTGAGCATTGAAGATGTTTCCGATATTATTGACAGCGTCAAGGGTTGTAGTGTGATCTTTTCCAAGTGCTTTCTCGAATCCGGCTAGCGCTCGCGTATACATTTCTTCGGCCTTATCGAGCTTTTCTTGGGCTTTATAAATATTCCCAAGATTATTGGCAATGCCCAGCGTTGTAGTGTGATCTGTTCCTAGCATCTTCTCGTTCCCTGCTAGCGCCCGCATATACATATGCTCTGCCTGGTTCAGTTTGCCTTGAATGTCATACAAGTTCCCGAGGTTGTTGACAGTGCTGAGGGTTGATGTGTGATCTGCTCCAAGTGCCTTCTCCTTCCCACTTAGTGCCCTCATGAACATTTGCTCAGCTTCATCAAAACTACCCTGTCCGGCAAATAAAAGCCCAAGGCCATTCACAGGCTCAAGTGTCATTGTGTGATCTGCTCCAAGAGCCTTCTCGGTCCCAGCCAGTGCCCGCAAATACAACTGCTTGGCCTCATCCAGCTTATCTTGCACATGATATAGGTTTCCAAGATTGTTGGCAGTCCGGAGTGTTGATATGTGATCTGAACCTAGCGCCTTTTCTCTTCCAGCCAGAGCTCGCAGATACATCTTTTCTGCATCAATCAACCTTCCTTGGGCATATATACATTTCCAAGGTGGTGAACCGTGCTAAGGGTTGATATGTGATGCGCTCCAAGGGCCGTATCTCTGCCAGCTAGCGCTCGCCTGTGCATCTGTTCGGCCTCTACTAGTCTGTCTTGGATAGTATATAGCTTACCGAGGCTGTGAAAAATTTGAAGGACTGGCACCTGGTCTGTTTCTAACGTTTTCTCGTATCCTGCCAAGGTCCACATGAACATGTATTCAGCCGCTTTTAATTGGATTTGTTCGAGCAGCATATGCGAGATACGCGAAGCTTCTCCAAGCTGAGCGGGCGCAAATAAAATTTCGTGGTTTTGAAAGAAACGCGGATGTACTAGACGTGCAGCATGTGCAGCCAGCTGAGCGTGGGAGGCGTACCCAAGGAAGTTCTCGTTGATCCCATTGATGCAAGCAGCAACGCAGTCAAAGGCATACATATAATGCTGTACGTTAATATCCTCATTTAGCTTTGCTAGTGCCCAATCATGCACGCAATTATGCATGCTCCAGGATTCCCGCGACGCTTGGGAATCCAGAAAACAATAATCCGTCAGTACTCCCATGATGCCGTTGAAGTTTATGTCGTCTGAAACCGCTTCACGCAGCCACTGCGGAGAGTCAGTTTTGATTCCAGCCTGGAAAAGGTCGTACCAAAATCTCTGGTTATCGAAGTAGGCCAAGAGATTGAGAAGTTTCGCTGCATCCAAATCAGACCTTTCTAGGGAGATGTATGAGAGATCCCAGGTAGTGTAGAGTGTGCGTTCTTGATATTCCTGAAGCTGAGGTGACCGGCGCGGGTCAAGGTTCCAGCGCTTTTCGTATTCTTGGAGATAGCGTTGGAAAGTAAAGGGGCTTCGTTGAAGATATGCCCCAGCCGTAGCCAGAGCTAGTGGGAGACCTGCGAGCCGTTCCACTATCCTCCTTGCATTGGGATCTAGTGAATGTTAGGCAAAGAAAAATTATCATCCTTGATCACATACCCGATTGAACATTTTCTCGATTGGATCGGGTCTGCAGGATTGTAAGGCTGTCCTCCATATTCTGTAGAGGATTTATACGGACACTCTCTCCAGAGACAAGATCTGGGCGTCGGGAGGTGACCATAATCGTCCCATGAGAAGCAGGAGGATAATAATTCTCAATATTGAACTGGCTTGGGTCATCATAGTTGTCAAAAATCAATAGCCATTGTGTATTTTTCGCGTCAGATAGCCACTGGTGTAACCGAATCACCATTTGCTTGCCCTCAAGCACTTCAAGTGCTTGGTTGCCAAAGACTAGTTCGAAGGTTGAGCGAAAACTATCTTTGAGTGTAGCTTCGGATGCCGCATTGAGCCAAAAAGCCGATTCATAGATGTCACGGTGGCGTTCTGCGTACGCAATGGCCAGCTGTGTCTTGCCGATGCCACCAATACCGCCCAAAACGAGCCGCCGTTGTTTTCCAGATTCATCACCGGGTTTCAAAATCTTTTCCAATTTCTGAAGCTCAGAATTGCGGCCAACAAAAAAGCCCACAGGGATATAGGGCGCTTGGCCTAGACAAATCCCAAAATTCTTCTGAAGATGGAAGGATTTGAGTTTCATTTCTTTGATGATATTTTCCAGCTGGATGTTTTCCTCCGACCGGGCATTGCTCATTGCGTGATTGTTGACGATAAGTTGAACATCTTGTGTAATTGATGCTATAAGCTCGTCGACCTTGCCACCTTTGCCGAGCCTCCGAGCAACCATTGCGTATCTTTTCCTCCACGTATGAGACTCCCCAGGTACAACCTTTTCGAATATCTCTCTCAGCCTTCGTGCTTTTTCATCGCAAGCATCAAGAATACTTCCTAAGGCTGCGCAGACTTCTGTGGGCATAGAGTATTTGTCCACTTCTAGATCATTTTTGCACGTCCGAAGGATGTGGGTTATTATGGGGAGGCGGCGTCCAACGGCCTCAAACGTCTGGGATAACTTCAAGTCCATTTGAGCGCTCTCGTAGATCTTGATCGAGGCGTCGATGATGTTAATAACCGCGGAGATGGCACCGATCACTTCGAGGCCTGACATATTTGAAGAAAATGTCGGGAAACTATATCAGGTTCAATAGAAACTCCTTAACTCAGAAACTGGCAGACGGCATAACAAACGAGGGGTTAGAGTAACGAGGTCAAAGCTGACTAAGTTGTTTTTAGCTAGCTGCCAGGTGTTCCAAGCCAACGACATGCATGACCCATAACATCGAACCCGTAAATACTGGATATATTAATGCCCTGAATCGAACGAAGTGAGAGTAAGTTTGACCTTAATACCGAGGGAGCACCCTTGTTTTCAGAAAATTTATCAAAGATGTTGCTATTAGCCAAATTCTGGCTTTAAATTCGCCAATACTATCTAAACCATTCGTCTCATTGACTGGTTCATCTGTCCACGCTTTCTTTTGAATGCTGTTTAGAACATTCCACTTCTAAGCTTGGTGTTGCCGATCTTAGATCCTACACTATTCACTGGTCTGTCAGTTCTGACATTGTGTCGTGTTCATGCTCCATACGCCGCCGCTTATTCGGTATTCCTTCTCTTTCATTGCTTGTATGCTTCTGCTACGCACTTTCATAAACTCTACTTCTGGTTGGTTTGGCATCTGTATGTCTTCGTGTTCTGCTCACAACGTAGCTGCTTTTCTGTGCTGTGGTAGGGTAGAAGAGTGGCAGCGGCCCGTTTCGTCACCTTGGTAGGAGTCGTAGGATTCTCTTTTGCAGTACCAGCAGGAGCTTTCTTCGTAGCAGTGGTTGTTTTGGTGGTGGCAACAGTCTTCGCCCTGATGGAAAGAGGGTAAGGCAATTTGTGCCAGAATCATGAACAAAAAGAAGCAGAAATGATGAGATAATGATTCACTTCGTTTTTATAGCAGATAAAAACTAGCGAAGCGTTTCCTTATACTAATCACTCTAGTTTATATCGTTCTCTAACGTACCTTACGCCTTACTTAAGAAGAAGTGAAGCTTATACTAGGGTATAAGAATTATTCTAATCGTATAGATAATTCCCTCTAAGAGAACCGACCCGTATACGGGTCGGTTTTCAATTCTAGTTTGAGGGACTCGGTGCGGGTAAGGACGAGGTCTACCCGCAGACTCGGCGCTAGGCCGTGTTATGGTTGTTATCTCATCTCTCTGATGAGGTTGTCTTCTCGTGCGCGGGAGGGTCAGCAAATCAACGTTCTCCGCTGGGGGAGGCCCTGTCGATCCTTACGTGCCGGTGGGAGGGCGTTTAGGCGCCCCAACTGGTGGGTCCGCCATCGGTCCGTCGTTAGTTCCCGCTTGTAACCCCTCAACAATTTTCAGTCGCGATCAATCGTAGTTTCGTCGATTCCTAACACTCTTCTTAATTCTCGTTACTACAGTCCCTGTTCTCTGATCATCGGATCCAAATAGTGACCGGCATACAGTCATACTCGAAATCAGTTTTAACCCTATACTCTCTGTGCTTATATCCGAAAGCCCCACCTCGAGTGCACTAGTCCGTATTAGAACATATTTCCCACCACCTTTTATAAATTACCGTAATTTATAGTAATCTCATGTCATGACAATTTATTTCTCTTTAGATGATGGTTTTATCATCTCATTTCAAATGGCCCTCGGTCGGAAGCCGATACATCTCAATCGAATTTCAGCCTATACCCCTCACCCTCGTCAATAATAGCAGATGAACGGGAGTCTACACGTAATTGGTATATATCTAACATGTAAGAGAGAGTTCTATTTTGGGAAGCGGGGATCTTTTGCCAAACCACATTTGGTTTGGCGCGGTCTAGATTGGAGTTCGCGAGAGAATTCGAGACTGTTAAGATAGCAAAATATTTTCGAATATTGCTAAAGTCCTATCTTCGTATATTGCCGTACATTCAGTCCACGAGCGATAGAGATAAGATGGTAAGGCGACGCGCAAAAGACTGTTCTAGGAGGCTTGGCGAGGGACATCCCTCCACGCTGACCACTATGGCCAATCTCGCTTTCGCTTGGAAATCTCCAGGTCGAGAGACTGAGGCATTTAATTTAGGATGCCCACGTAGCCGGGAATCACGTTAGAGGGGTAAGGGGGTGGCGGAGCTCAGGAGGACTGAGGTAACAATACATGATACCCTATCAATAACTAGTTGAACTTGAAGGACACGTCACCAACCAGGGTTCAGCGTTGGTATGCTTCATATCCTGGCCTACGTCCGCACAGAAAAATCATTTCAAATGTGGAGAGTGGGGGCCTAACAGGTAGCCATCAAAAGCACTTGCCATAATCCCTACCCTGAGGCTATGATTGCGCAAACGATCCTTCCCAGCGGTATGGGCGCAACTGGGTCATCTAACGCGTTCATATCGGACGGATCTGAGGGGAAGTATAAACACTTGCAATAACTAGTTGAACTTGAGTGACACGTCACCAACCAGGGTTCAGCGTTGGTATGCTTCATATCCTTGCCTACGTCCGCACAGAAAAATCATTCCAAATGTGGAGAGTGGGAGCCTAACAGGTAGGCATCAAAAGTACTTGCCATAATCCCTACCCTGAGGCTATGATTGCGCAAACGATCCTTCCCAGCGGTATGGGCGCAACTGGATCATCTAAGACGTTTATATCGGAAGGATCAGAGGGGAAGTATAAACACTTGCACTAAGCCCTGTCGCGAAGCTGTGATTGGGCACATGGTCTATTCCAGCGGCGTATTAATCCCTATAGCGGAGCTGCAATTACACACGTAATTTATTCCAGTAGGGGGTCGAGGCGAGACAATGTTTGATTGAAGTGTCTCGCAAATGTCATATAAATCAGAGGCTCATTAGTTGTTCTGCTATTGAATTGACACCTAAGTATGAAAGCCAGTCAACTCACGAGACCGGATGGCAAAGTAGCCCGGCTGCGAGCATCCTGTGATGCTTGTAACGAATCCAAAGTCCGATGCAGTCAAGCCAAGCCAACTTGCGCCCGCTGCGAGAAGCAGAACATCACTTGTGTATATGGATTATCCCGCCGCAGTCACAAAGATGCCCCACGAATTGGAACTCAACCTACGGCAATACCAGAATCCTCCGAATCGACCGGCGATGCGTCCTTGCCATCAGCCGTGTGTCCCCCTTCTCCTTGCCGGACAATAGACGACTCAATACGTCCTATCTCTGTGATGGCTGATGGAATATGCAATAAGGACACTGTTGATACGATGGCTGACAGCCTCTCTTGCTTCCGACCAAATATGGGATTGTATAATTCACAAGTATTCGACGCGATCGACAACACGATGGATCTACATACGGGATTCGACCAAGTGGAAGACATGTTGGATGGCTACGACTTCCTCAACCAATGCCTCAGCCTACATACACCCGGTCATACAGCAAGCAAGGATCCAAACTCCGAACTAGAAGCTACAAATTCCCAAAGAAACAATTATCACCACGCAGCCGCTGAGAGTCCTAGCCATCGTGAGTGTAGCTGCACATCTCATCTGATGAAACAATTGGTATCTATGCCGCTTGCCTTTGAGAATCAGGCAAACCCATCATTTGATGTGCAGCTCTCAGAATTAAAACTGGCAGTCAACGTGTCAAAAACCTGCATGGGTTGCAGTTGCACCTTGCAGGATGATATGGCGATGTGTAAGATCCCAACCCGTTCCACCCAAGTCATATCGTCACCACGTTATCCAGAGCAGAAAACAATAGACCAGAACTTGAACCAAGCACCATGCTAACAAATCGGTTTATTCCTTTCCAGTGATGATCAGCATTCTCATCGGGAGAGTCATTCAAGGATTCGAGAAAACCCTTTCAATTATTCGGCCCATGGCAGATACAGAAAATTTCAACGCCCCGAACGGCCCGGGGGGGCCTGGGCACGCACCTACACTGTCGTGGGGGACACTACAGATCGAGGCAGACGAAGAGGACGAGCTGAAGCAGCATATGTGGCTGCTACAATTTCGGAAATTTCGACCAGTGCTAAACCAGTTCAATACATATATCGGCCGGCTGGGAGGTACTTATGGCTTTGGTGATTCTGCTCAGGTCAAGGCCTACCAGTGCATACATATGTGGTTGGCGCAGAAGATGGATAATGTGAATAATCAGTATAAGGCTCAAGAAGGTGTGAGGGGCAACCTGATAGGTTAGATCCTGTCAATCAGGTAGCGAGATAGAGAAGGAGAAAGTGAGATGGAAGGATCAAGCCTGGTAGTCAGATGGACACAAGAGACTGGACCTATGTTCATATTACTCAGAGGATTCACACAAAATGACTATAGACGCGTTTATAGACATGGCGAGTTTTCTTGCGGGCAGGTTTAGTAAAAAGCTGGGGCTTGTATCGGTGCATTGATGGCTCATGGATAGATATTCGGTATAGAATCAATTTGTGTTGTTATGGTGTATGGCATGCGTAAGAATCTAACTCTGACTACTCTGTCCGTGATCTGAATCCGATCTTTTTCAAGAAAAACATCACGCTTTCACTCTTTCCCCACTTCCAAGCTGGTCATCGCCAAATCCCTAAGTGACTCGAGCGTGCATGACGAGCCCAGCAACATGACCAACGGCACATCGGTTGTCAAGTTCTGGTAGAACCATGTTCGGAACTCAGCCCCAATCATACTGTCCATGCCGTATTGCAGCAAAGGCTTTTTGACATCCACAGCCTCGTACTTCAAAAGGACGAGGTTGCCAAATCGCCGGCGGATGTGATCCAGCACAGCCTCAGCGAGGGTGTGACCTGATTGCACCAGGGTCGTAACTTCAGCCGGTAGGCTTCCGTTCTGCGCTTGCGATGACTCATCCGAGCCACCGTCCAAGGCGCTAGCTAAAAGATTGGCGCGTGGATCGTCCAAAGCTGGATGGGACCCTTCGAAGCCTCTCTTGCGCAATTCCTTCAGTCCGAAGGCTTCTAGGCCCGTCAGAAGGTGGGAAGCGGCCAAATCATCGTGCGCATGCGATATTCCCATCGTAGCACTGGATGACAAGGCAAGATCAATGAGCTGGAGGAGCTCGTCGGCGTCAATGGCCTGAATACCTTTGCGTAGAAGGAGGGCTTCGATTTCTGGGTTGTCGTGTAGATAGCCGACTTCTGAGATCATACCCAAACCAACCGCAACGGCCGGACATCCCTGGTTACGCAAGAACCGAGAGAACTGGTCAAGGAAATGGTTTGCGGCACAGTAGTTAGACTCGGTCGCAGTACCAACGCTGCCGGAGACGGAGGAAGTCATCAAGAAGAAATCAAGATGAGAGCCCCGTCCGTGCATATGTAGGCTGTTGTACAGATTCCAAGATCCTTGTACTTTGGGGTCGATGCCGGTATGCCAGTATTCGTTGGGCATGACAGAGAAAATTGCTTCATTCAGCCCCATGGCCGCCTGCACAACTCCACCAATCTCACCCATGGCGGCAGCCGCGGTGATAACGGCTTCGACATCAGACGCCTCGCAAACGTCACCTCTGACTACCTCACATTTGGCACCCGATGCTTCGAGGTCTTGGACCAGGTTGCATGCAGCAGCCTTGTCAATACCGGATCGACCTAGGAAGGTAAACTTCCGGGCACCTCGGTTGACCATCCAACGCGAAAGAGTGCGCCCCAGACCGCCCAAGCATCCAACCATCACATAGCTCTTCTCACTGTCAAACTGCGTGGTGTGCCTCAGGGGTTGGATTTGGATGGTGGACTCGGCCCGTTCAAGATTAATGGCCACCTTGCCCATTCTGCTGCGCGATGAGAAGTAGCGGAATGCCTGCTCAGTCTCACTGACGTCAAAAATATTCAGCGGCTCGAACGCGGTAATGGTTCCCTGCCGGTAGAGTTTCATAACCTGGGAAAGAAGGTCATTCCACAGACAGTGAAGCTCCTCACTATCGGTGTGGTAGAGATGGCTGAGATCGAAGGCCGTGAAAGTGGTACTTTTTAGAAATTGGTCCATTTCTAGACGGCCAGCCGCGGTAAGGTCCATCTTGCCAATCTCCACAAAACGACCAAACGCTGCACAGCATCTCCACGTCGCGTGTAGCTGATCGCCCGTCAGAGAGTTGAGAATAACGTCTACGCCCCGCCCAGAGGTAGCGCTGAAGATACCCTCGAGGAAAGAAGTATCGCGAGAGTTGAAGACGTTGGATGGTTTGACGCCAAGTTTATCCACCAGGAACTTTTTCTTCTCATCTGAAGAGACAGTGGTGAACACCTTCACATTGGTTTTGTTAGCATGTATTTCAGAAATTGTGCGGTTTCAATTCGACTTACCTCTGCTCCTGTATGTAGAGCTAATTGGATTGCCGCGATGCCAACTCCGCCGGCTCCGGAGTGAATCAAGACCGTCTCCCCAGCCTGGATATGGGCCCGGTAGTGCAAGCCATAGATGGCGGTGGCGTACACTATAGGCAACGTAGCGCAAATGTCAAAACTCTCCGCATCAGTAAGCTTGTGGCATGCCCACTGAGGGAGGGTTTGATATGTTTGAAAATGGCTTGGTGCCATGGCAACGACACGATCACCGGGAGCGAAATCGGTCACAAAAGACCCTACTTGTTCGACCGTGCCGGCGCATTCCAACTGACAGGTGGCGTCGGGCGTGTCGACTCGTCCAACCAGGACGTAATAGTCTTTCGCATTGAGACCGACCGACGCGACCCGGATGCGCAAATCTGTCGGGCCAATTGTCTGTGGAGCTTTCAGCTGCTGGAAGTAAATAGTGTCCAGCTGCCCAGCTTGCTCGATGGCGAGTCTCACGTCTTTGGCATCCTGTAAGCTGGACTCGGTCATCTCAAGGCCCTGCTTGTTGCGGAAGAGGGTATTAATGCTGTCATCGGGCGTGAACCGAGAGACATGGACCACGCCCTTGCGCTGCGCAAATTCTAGGTCTGGCTTCCTACCGGGCTGGGTGAGAAGAGATACCAGACGCTTGGCATTCACATGGACCTGAGCTTCAGGCTCGTCAATGTCGTAGGTGTAGAGCTTAAGCGAGGGCTGTTCTAGCATCAATGCTCGGGCCAGGCCAGATATGAGAGCAAAGTCCGGCCTGTCGCCATGCATGATATTACCATTGGTAACCCACACCAATGATGCTGCGTTGTCTGTCATTACCTTGACGCGGGCCATCTCATCGTCAGAGATGACGGATAGAAGAGGTGACTTCATCTCGCAGAGGTTGAAAATTGTTGTCCCGCTCGAGACATGTCCGGGTGTGAGCTCATTCAGCCGGACGCGCATCACCCATTGTCCTTGGATGGGCCTCAGGGTATCCGCCAGTGCAGATCCGAGTGCAGATTTCTCGCGCTCAACGATGAGGAATTTGTGCCTTTGCAGTGAAACTTGTTGCAATTCCTGCGGCTTGCGCGCAACGAGAAGTGTTGAATGATCCTCGGAAACGCTGACGGGGAGACAATCGAGGCCACGTGAGGCAAATGACTTGCTTGTGAATCCGGGGCACAAGGCCAAAATGGATGCGTCCTCGGCCATCAAGCCACTTAAAGTGTCCACGGCCCGGTCGATATGTTCGTTCATCGCCGGAATTAAGATGAGGTCATATTCATGGTCTAGTTCAGTGGGACTGGAGCAGCGCTCCCCAGTCTCAAGGTCTACGGGACCTCCCAAAATAGTGCCATCATCAGCAACTGATGCTGTGCTGTATGCGGACAGGCGCTTGAAGCTCCCCTGTGCGGACAGAAGTCCCAATACAGCCAGGGTGATGTCTTGCACATCATTTCCAACTTCCAAAACACGGAGACGGGGATTCTTGTGCGCCAAAAGGTCCAGCATGGCGCCCATCTTGAGGAGCGGGCCGGACACCGGTGAATGGGCCTCATCAGCAAACTTCTGGACATGGTGCTGCGCATCATCCATGGTCATGAGCCCCAGTCCATAAACGTCGGGCTTCCAAAGTACCCGAAGAACTGGATGACGCTTATCTTCTATGTCCGCTTGACTAGTGGATTGATACGGGGCGAGTCGAATGTCATCGAATTGAGCCACAACTTGTCCATCGCCGTCAATCATCTCTATACCAGCCTGAGAGTATCCAAATCCAGTCCGTTTGGCGACTGAGTGCATTTGGCAAGTCTCATTGGAGGAAGTAGAAGTTTGCACGATTGCCGATGGCAGCCTCGTGGGTATCTGGGCACGTAACTCCTTAGGCTTGCCATTGGTGGCTGCAACCACAGCCAGTTGGATCATGCCGTCCAAAGCGACTGGATGCACTGGATATACTGAAATGGGATCGCCACTTGTCTTCAACAGAGGCGCTGTAGCACTAGCGAAGGAGTCCGAATTCATACGCGGGGTATAAAATTCGGATATGGTTTGGAAGGTTGGGCCATAGTTCAACCCCTGCCTGATAAATTTTTCGTACCAAGTTCGCTTTGCTGTGGATTCAAGCGCTCCGCTTGGTGGCTTATATTTTGACTGCAGAGCCGCGTTGCGTGGGTGAATAGCGATCGATCCAGAGGCATGCTGTACCGCAGATTCATTATCGTAGCTTGATATAGCAAAGTCCCACCAGGTGGCTGATGTGGCTGCATTGGTAATGACAGACTCGTGCAGAGAAGTGAAGATCTCTGCGTTGGTCGAGAATTCTGTGTTCAAGGTCAACGCGTTCGTGATGTTGACGTTGGAGAATTGAAAGGCGAGGTCCGTGCGCGTCACGTCGGTGGCCTGCATAACAGCCTCCATCGCCATCGCCAAATACCCCGCACCAGGGAAAACGACCGTATCACCAAGCTTATGGTCCTTGAGCCAGGTGACATCATCCACCTTGAGGATATTGCGGAAGATCATGTCGCGGCCATTTCCACCAGTGAGTAGGCTACCCAGGAGTTCATGGCGCGGATACTTGCGCTGTCTGTATTCAACACTGGCGCGGCATTCGTTCCAGAGGATATTCTCGTAGCTGAAGCGATACGGTGGAAGATCTGTGACCACGCGGTACATAGAGCGCACAGATTTCAACCCTGTCTGGAGTCCATTGACCTTCGACCAATTGATCTCAAACCCTTTGAGCCACAGATTTCCAACAAAGCTCAGGATGCTTTCCATCGAGTCCACATTACGCTTAATCGGGGCAGCATATTTTAGTTCTGCGCCAGCCTTTGCCAAGGTTTGCTTGATCGGCAGTTCCAGTGAAGAGTGAGGACCAAGCTCGATGAAACAGTGCTCCGAGATTTCATGGATGCGTTCAATCGCATGAGCAAACCGCACCTGGCTTTCTAGGTTGCTTCTCCAGTAAATTTCGGTGAATCCAGATGACTTGAGCTCACCAGTCACTGAAGACATCACAGAGGCACCCTGGGGCTGTCGGATCGAGGGACTCAAGCTGGGGAGGGCCCGTTCCAACAGGGCCTGGTACTCTTCTCCAATGGCTACCATGTGGTGAGAGTGATAAGCCTGGCCGCCTGTCTTCAGCTTGCGCGCGAAAATATTTCTCTGTTGCAAAGTCGCCAAGAAGATGTCCAATGCATCTTCATCGCCTGAGATGGTGACCCCCTCCGGAGAGTTGACGCACGCCACTCGGATCTGGCCTTCCAGTCCCGCTTTCACAATCTCATCCGTGGCGGAGCTTTCAGACAAGCCGGTGGCCATCATAGCGCCGACCCGAGTAGACTTTGAGACGCAGTATCCACGATAGTAGGCAATTACGATTGCCTCAGCTGCAGAGACATGACCTGCGGCAAAGGCAGCTGCGATTTCACCCGAAGAGTGGCCAACTGTCATCGTAGGGGCAATGTCCCAAGAAGACAGAAGTCGAATGAGGGCAACTTGTATCGCAGTACAGCATGGTTGGGATCGCTGTGGTAAATGGATGAGGTTTGGGTTATCAACATTCAAGATCGCCTCTTTCAGCGACCAATTGGGGGACTCTGGGAGGCTCTTGAGGACTGAGTCCATCTCCGTGATGGTATCCCGGAAAAGAGAAAATTCCGAGAAGAGCTCACGACACATGCCGGGCCACTGAGACCCCTGTCCAGTGAAAACAAACGCAAACGGAGTAGATGCAACACCGGTGACTGGGCTGGCTGATGTCACCAAGGTCCGTGTCTGGAAACTTTGAGAGATTTCTTGTGATCGCGGAGCAAGTAAAAACCCTCTCTCGGCAAAGTGAGTGCGCCTGGAGCCCAATGTATACGCAAGGTCTGCAATATCTGTGTCACCAAATTCATATTGTGCAAAGTCCGCTACGCGGGCTTTGAGGGAGGCGGTTGTGGAAGCGGACAGAGGTAAGATCACTGTGGACTGGGTGATGGGCAGTTGTCGGAGCTGCCGAGATGAACTCAAAGTCTTGGTAGGTTGCTCCAGGATAACGTGGCAGTTGGCACCGCCGTAACCAAAAGAGTTAACACCTTGAGTGATGAATTAGCTGATTGGTCGTTTTTTCTGTCAAACAGGCTGTACTAACCAATACGCCGCACTCGAGACGAGTGGTTTGGCCAAGTCGTCAACTCAGTTGGAATTTTGATATTCCTGTCCTCAACCTTCAACTTTGGATTGATGTTCTTTAAGCCATGAGTGGGTGGGATTTGGCCGCGTTCAAGGGCTAAGGTAGACTTGATCACGCTTGAAATTCCGCTCGCTGCTTCAGAATGCCCGACATTACTTTTCACCGACCCGATCATGAGGGGGTTATTTGGCGTGCGTTGAAACACCCGCGACAATGCCTCAACCTCGATGGCATCGCCAACTTTGGTGCCGGTGCCATGACATTCGACAAACGTAATGTCGTCAGGAACGATTCCACCCTTGGCCATGGCCTTTCGGATGACCGCCTCCTGACCATCGGCGCTGGGTAGACTGATTCCAGATGTCTTGCCGTTTCTGGGCACAATCGCAAGTCAGCACAGAGCCATGAGCGGGGAAAAAAAGCTTTACTTACGCGTTGATCGCTGACCCACGAACCACACTCCGGATTGGGTCACCATCTCGCAGGGCATCTTCGAGCCTCTTGACATACAAGGCCCCAATGCCATCCGCGCGACCATATCCATCGGCAGAAGTATCAAATGTGTGACAGGCCGATGTTCCAGAGAGGACTCCGGCTTTCATTGTAGCAATATGTTGCTCGGCGGACTGAATCAGGTTCGCGCCGGCAACAATGGCGGCGTCACATTCGCGATTCTCCAGGGCTGTACATGCCATGTGAAGACAGTAGAGTGATGAGGAGCAGGCTGTGTCAAGAACAAGACTGAATAGAAGCGACCGAAGGTGAGAAATTATAAATCCCAGTGGATAGGTTGCATTTTACGACTCACCTAGGTCCTAGAAGATTGAAGACATGGCTGATGCGGTTTCCCAAGATTGTAGTGCCTAGACCCGTTCCAGAGTAACGGCTCAGACTACACGGGTTAGCTATAATACCTAACAATGGACCCATGAGAACGACTATATGTACTTACTAGTCAGGGTCTTTCAGCTGCATCACCATGTAGTCAACAGTGAAATTCCCGACGTAACATCCTGTGTTTGACCCAGATGCTTGATCCAGAGATATTCCTGCATTTTCCATGCATTCGTATACAACTTCCAGCATCTTTCGTTGTTGAGGGTCCATATACGTCGCTTCGAGGTTGTTGATTCCAAAGAAGCTGTTCTCAAACTCTCGCACGTCATCGTCAAGGAAATAACCACCTTCTGTGATCATACTTCCGGGGCGATCCATGCCCTGGGGGTGATAGAAGCCGTCGACATTGAAGCGCGACTTGGGGACCTTGCATTGAGCAGATCTACCATTGGAAATCAGGTCCCAAAATTCACGAGGGCTTGAAACTTCTCCTGGTAGGCGACAGGCTAATGAGAGAGAAAATATTATTACAATCCACAGAGACAATGGAGAAGCATTTCTTACCAATTCCGCAGATGGCAATGGCCTCACCGAGGCCTTCATCTGCAGGTGGTGAATCTAGTACAATGGGCGACATGATGAGGTTCGCCCAGGGCAAATAAATTTCAGTAGCCAATATTGTTTTGAAAAAGAAGTAATAGCGGCTATTTGGAATTGGTTGAGCGTCTCTTGATCATATACATATGTACATATTTACCTTGAGGCTGGGTCCCGCCATATCTGGTCTCATTGTGCTTATTGAAAGCAATCGCCGACAAAACACCGGCATTGCATAATGACCCCGGTAACTTTGGGCTTACCGGGTATTCCACGCATAAGATCCAGTTTGCCGAGAAATATGAAGTTTTCGGCCACGTGGGAATCGAAGAACGGGCTTCGCGGCTCGGGCACACGCAGTCACTGACGAGCATCTACGCCGGACAATCAAATTCCGGAGTAGCCCAACCGCATTTTCTAGGGGAAATCGTGCTCTGACTCTAGATTTTAGATAACAAGGGGCAGTTACTCTGCTTGTTGAGAGAATTCTATTCGCGTGATCTTGACGGTGCATCAGAACTCGCAAACTTTTCCAATCACTAGAATAGGATTTTCTTCTTCAAAGATGATTACCAAGGGACATAGTCATCCTTCGGTCCTGATAACTGGGTAAAATCAGACCGGATCCTGTTTGCATGTCGAAATGCTGATGATGGAGATAGTTGCGGCGAGGGGGGGAATTGGACATGCTTTGGCACTTGACTTCAAGAATCAAGGTATGTTACATAACAATACTTGCACTGATCAATTCTGATCGTTCAATGTTTAGGACACATGGTCTACACCACTCTTCTCGCCCATGAGCCACGGGACCATTTGACCGATCTCGGAATACACTCGTTCACGGCGGATGTTACGAAGGACAGTGACATTGAGCAGTTGAAGGAGACCATTTCAAGCTTGACAGATGGCAGCCTGAATGTGCTTGTTAATAATGCGTAAGGAAGATATGTCTATTTTTCGTCGGCCGATCTAACGATGGATTCAATACTGGATAGAGGAATATGTGAGTGACCCAGAGCCAAAAGAGGTGATTAATTGGGCTAACCCAAGCAGGTTATACGATGACCGCAATCGATACAGATGTGAAAGAGGTAGAGAAGATGTTTGGTGTCAATGTTTTCGGACCGATGCGAATGGTCCGCATCTTCCACCCTCTACTTATCAAAGCCAGGGGGAAGATTGTCAACATTGGCAGCGTGGGCGGTATTGTTCCTTATGTTTATGGATGCAAGTTGACTCTTCAATCGCCTGAACGTCGTGATAGAAGCTGACCGACTTTGCAGCTAGCTACAATGCCACCAAGGCCGCTCTCCATCACTGGGGCAACACTTTAAGAGTCGAGATGAAGCCGCTCGGGTAAGTCTCTCTGCTAGAAGGTCATGACCTCCGCTAACTTCAATAAATGAAGCGTTGAAGTAGTTAATGTTATCTCCGGAGAAGTGGGCACAAACATCTTGAAACGGGATAACAATCGCAAACTACCAGAGGACTCGTTTTACGGCCCGCTCGAGAAGGAGTTCGTGAACCATGTCACAAGAACACCTCGTGGGCATTCATCTCTTTAGCTTTGTGGGTGAATTATATAGGACTAACCCTTTATGCAGGCACTACTACACCCGCGGAGTATGCCCGGTCCGTCGTCTCTGAAGTGATGAAGCAACACTCGACTGCTTGGTTCTGGACAGGAGCCAGCTCGGGGATTGTAAGATTTGGGGAGCAATTTTTTCCTCGCACGCTTTGGGTAAACTCTCCATAATTCCGTTTGGCTGAACACCAGCGGTACAATGGCTAACATCCTGTCTCTAGGACTGGATATTTACTCGACAATTCAAGTTGAACAAGCTCAGCAAGTGATAACTTAGTCAAGTGACTACATCAGAACGAATCCGCACTTAAACTAGCTTCATAGAATTTCTCATTCTTTGAAAATATCATTTCGAGATCTCGATCCAGCGAAATTCACCCAGGAAGGCTTCATCGAATCATACTGGTGATAGTCTAGCTGTATAAATTTGATTGATAGATGATCCTTTACGCGTTCGGAAATGAGATTCAAAAAGAACAGCCACAAGGCTGGACATTTAGTTATCTCATGCCTTGGTATTTCTTCATTTTGCAGTCATATCATGTTCATGTCGTCACTAGCATCTCAATCAATGCAAGAGCATGTGATAGCCCAAGTTCTGAAGTTATTATGAGCGGAAAGTCACTTTTTCTCAGATATACCGACTTTATTGCGATATCTCCCATCTCGCAAACCATTGCTTTCATTCAGCCAGGTCATTTGGCGCGTGTAACTCGTTATTGGAGTTAGTTGGGGGACTTATGAAAGTGTTACAAGAATATATATTTGAAAAATAGAAAGGACATTGGAAAGGTTATTGAACCTCATAGCGTTCTTCTGTGTACTGAAAGGGCAAGCAGATATGGGACTATCAAAGAATTTTCCTTTGCTCTAGCAAGTATGGATTTTGCATGACTGCTCCGGAAAGATGGCTTCACTTGCGGCGATCACTGCTTCACATCCGCGTAGTCCTTTTCCAAAATCCCCAAGTGCTCAGTAATCTCTTCCCCATTTACCTTCGTCGGAGTCACATCGAGCAGGACGAATAACATGCGTCCCGGTCGGTTTTCGTCTAAGTTCTTCCACATATGCATGCAGCCTCGGTTCACACCTAATTGGGTCAGCCACAGAATACTATTGGAATTTGTCGAAAGCGCAAGGGCTTACTCATGTCACCAGGCAACATCAACTTCTTCTCGCCACTGTCAAGTGTGAGCTCGAAAGCTCCTTCCACCACGATGCCGTAATCAATTGACAAGGCACGGTGAATGGGTGATTCCACGCCTGGGCCAAAGTCAATCAAACGAACAACACTTCCGTTTGAGACATGAATGGGGGCTAAGAGGGACAAATTCAAGTGTCAGCAGATGCCATCCAGAGTCAGACAAATAAGTTGATTCGCCCATCAAACCATCGTACCTCGTTGTCGCGTGCATAAACCAGGTCTTTATCATCATTCATGTCCACTGGATTCCCAGAGGTGCTGTAAATGATGTTTGCGACCGCCAGCCCATCCACCATGATTCGGTGGTGGTCCCCATTATCATCAACAGCAAATACACCTTTGCCTTCCTTGTTGTGGGATGTAATGAACCTGCGCGCATGGCGAAGGCCTTCGGCCGGGAACTTGGTAATAGGTCCCTTAGGAGCGGACATGACAATTTTCCCAAAGTAAATGTTGTAAAATATCTTGGCTTTCGCTATGAAAGGTTGTAGATAATTACCACGAACAAGAAAGGCCTTTTCTATGTATAACAAACCTGGGAGCGTCTCTGCTCATGGGGAATTGTAAGAGCACCGATATGTATCGAATACCATACGCCCTCCTGTCTCCAAATCACCGGTAATTTTCAACATAGGATGTCTATTACTAGCGGGGATATCGGAAAACTCGGGCAAGTTGTCAAAACCCGTAACTAATTGGCCCCTTCCGAGTCATCATTAGCAGGAGCTTCGGGGATACGGGATCGGGAATTCAGAGGTTGTAGCATCTTGCAAGGATCTACTGAATGCCAACCTACTCCGTACCCACCAACAGAACCAAGGCAATCTAGTCCATTCCAGGAAATACATGATCAGGATAGATTCATCATCATCATACATTTGAAAAAGAACTTCAAGATAAATTAATATGGATCAAGTACATCACATCATGGGATAGGATTCAGGAGCAAACCAATTCCAGGTCGCTTCTGCTCTAAAATTTTCATCAATTCTTCCCATAGCTTCTCCCTCGCCAATATGCCCTCCTCACTTCTTACGAATGGAGACAATGCTGATCTGATGATGGAAGGCATGGGTCAGCCACGGCTTAAAAATCATGTGGAGAGAGATATTCTTGAAAGGGTTCATACTCATCGATATGGCAGTCATTTAGGTACTTTCCATGATTATTGTCCCCTTGCGCAATAGCTGCGACCAATGTGCGATCTCCAACTTCTGTCGTCCGAGCGATGGCCTTGCTCAGAAGCCAGAGCTCGAGCCATGTGATCCCGTGCACATTCTCGATGAGACCAGAAGTGCAGTAGCCAGGTGTGAATGAATTGACAATTATATTGACGGTGCCGTTAGAAGGGTTTGAATCAAGTTGCTTTGCCATCGCCTTCGCAAGTAGTATCTCCAACAATTTGGAGATGGGATACCTGAGAATGTTGCGTCAGTCCTTTTCGGCCTGGTTGCATTGTGTACAAGAAAATAGATTGAACTCACCTTTCATGCATCCTGGCTTGCTGTCGATCATTCAGAACTTGAAAGGTGTTGTGTGTTTTCCACCCTGGGAGATCATACATTACGTGCCTGTCGGATGCCACGAAACTGATGCGGGGCTGAATCACCCATGTTTTGGCTGAGCGTCTCAGTACCGGAAGAAGGAGGATAGCCAGCAAGAACGTATTAATCACGTTCACGGTCAACGTGCTTTCATGATTGTCGGCCCAAACAAAGTCATGAGTGTAGATACCCGCATTTAGCAGCACGGCGTCTATTCGATAGATTTCCATTCGGGTAGCAAATTTCTGGGCTGACTCTTGATTGGCCATATCCAGTTCCTCGACTTGGATAACTCCAGATCGCCCCGTCGACCGTTCGAGGGTATCCGCGGCTATCTGGCCTTTCTCAGCTGACCGTGCAGCCAATATGAGTCGGCCCACATTCAATCTCAACAAATGACGGGCAGCCTCAAAACCGATACCCCTGTTGGATCCGGTGATAATCACAGTTTGGCCTTGGAAGTCATGTGTGGGAACGGCGGCTCGACGAAAAGCTGAGAGTAGAGGAACGAAAGCGCCGACATACTTGCGGTGGAGATTTTTGGCAGCATAGAATGAGAATCCTAAGTGATTTACTCGAGACCTCGGGGAAATTAGTCGACAGGGTTGTAATCCCAGTGGCAGAAACATAGAGATCCCCGCTTCCCCGATCAGTGACCATAACAGGTCGGTAATTCCACGTTTGCCGTGTCGCAGGAGAGAAGGGAAAAACTGGATCCAGTTATTCATCCCCGTTCTGGTTTCTCAATGGGCCCATATTCTTCTGTAATTTGCGATTTGAAGCCGGTTTTGGAGGAGCCCACCACATGGCGCAGTCGAATCTACGCAGCTATAATGATTGATATCACTGCTGCTTTCTCATGTTTTAGCCATCAAGTCTAAATATGGCAGCAATTTTATTTTTTGGACCTTTAGTTCTCCTCCTAGCCGTATGGCTATCGAGCTGGGTCTCTTCGCCAAAACAGCGCTTGCCTCCCGGTAAGAGCAAAACTACTTTGGGCTCAACCTATGCGTTTGAACTCTTCATTAAGATTATCTTGCAGGACCTCAGACACTCCCTTTCATTGGAAATATTCACCAATTTCCCAGGGCGGGTATCCACTTGCGGTACTTAGAGCTGCTCAACCCTTACCTTCTCGCATTGTTGCTAATGAGAACTCCCACAGATTCACCGAGTGGGCGAAGCAATATGGTACCGTCTTTCCACTCAGGATCGGCCGGCATGGGCTCATGGTGGTTTTGACTTCTGCGTACCATGCAACACATATCCTAGATAAGCGCTCGGCCAACTCGAGCAATCGGCCGCCATCCTTCGTGCTGGGCGATCTGGTCTTTGCTGGTGACCATCCTATGTTTATGGATGCGAACGACCGGTGGAAACTCAGACGCAAGCTTTACTTTCAGCTAATGAATGAGGCGCGGTGTAACACGGAGCATATACGTCTCGTCGAGGCAGAAGCCACGCATTTGCTACGCGACTTGTGCCTCGAGCCGGATTCATTTATGCACCATCCTGCTAGATATAGCAACAGCATTATAATGAGCTTGGGTAAGTGTATTTCTTATGGAACATGTGCCTCGGAGGTCAGCTGCTAATTTCGGATGATGTTAGTGTTTGGCATTCGCACACCTCACTACTCTAGCCCCCACTGCATTGAGCTGCAACGTATAGTAACAGAATTAAGCGGTTTGGGCGAAATTGGTGCCAGCCCACCGGTAGATTGGCTGCCGTTTCTCAAGTATCTCCCGGAGCGACTCTGGGGTCATTGGAAGACACGAGCCGCTCGACTTCGTCAACGAGTCCTGGACCTCCATTCCCCTCTTGTGGATCGGGTACTGGAACGCCGCAAGCATATTGGCACTGCTGCGACTTTCCTTGATGGAGTTCTTGATCAGCAAGAGAAGCTGCAACTCACCAGAGAAGAAATAGATATCATGTGTGGCAACTTGCTCGAAGGTGGGACAGACACCATAGCTACGACAATACTCACCTTCTTTCAAGCCATGGTCACATACCCTGAAGTTCAGGCCAAAGCTCAAAAGCAGATTGATAGTGTTCTCACCGATGGAGAGTGTCCATCCTGGAGTGACTATGATCGGCTACCCTATGTGGCGATGATTGTCAAGGAAGTCTTGCGTTGGCGACCTCCGGCTCCAGGATCATTCCCCCATACCCTAGCTCAAGGTATGCTGAAACTTACTCCATGATCGAAATTGAAGGAGAGCAATACGCTCATATGTCGATACAGATGACGAATTTGAAGGGATGAAATTCCTCAAGGGGACATCCGTGGTGCTCAACGTCTGGGGTATTCACAATGATGAGTCCCGCTACCCAAGCCCTGAGACTTTCGAACCGTCTCGGTTTGCCGGGCAAACCCAACTTGCTTCAGTTTATGCCAATGCTGGTGATGCACAAAAGCGTGATCATTTTGGCTATGGAGCAGGACGACGGATCTGTCCCGGCATTCATTTGGCGGAACGGGCGCTTTTCATAGCCATCGCCAAGCTTATGTGGGGATTTACTGTTCAACAGAAGTTAGATGGTTCCGGTAATCCTATTCCTGTTGATGTCAACCCGGCCACAGCATACCGCGATGGGTTCTTGAATCAGTGTCTTCCTTTCGATGTTGACATCAAGCCCCGACTGGGGAAACAAGAGATGATCATGGTCACCGCGGCAAAGGCAGAAATTGATATTTTGAGCGCCTATAGTTAGTATTAAACTACTACATTTTGAATTTCACAACTGGTTGGGTCTTTGAACGCGGCTTAAAAATAACACCCTTCCATAATCCGTCAACATAGATGCGCTGAATATCTTTGACTTGCGTGACCCATACAAATGGCTTGAGACGCTAGGTAAACACAGTAATCAAATACGCGGGCGTGATATAATTATCGAGATCATGTTCTGGGGCTGTCTTGAAAACAAAGCATGGCAAAAAAGGATCACACTCCAGAGAACACCGATTGAATTGGAAGAGCCCATTGTCATGGAGATTAATAGCATAGCTTCTATCAAACTTTGAAACTAAAGATATAACGGTGAGAAAAATAATTTATCAATCTTAGAGGTGCAATTCCTAGTTATCTACCCAGTCAAGAGAGATACATAATCCTTTCAACAAGTTTGCACTTGCAGGGTTGTCCCACCGTCTACAACCCAACCGACACCAGTGACGTAGCTCGATCTGGGGCTAGTCATAAATAAGACCACATCTGCAACCTCTTCCGGTTCTGCAATCCGTGACATAGGAATAATTGTTCGCATCATCTCAGGGAGACCCGGGTTTCCATTAATGGCTGCAGTCACCATAGGTGTATTGACCCAGCCGGGGCAAATCGCATTGACGCGTATCCCATGCGGTGCGAGATCGAGGGCTGCAAAGCAAGAAACCATAAGCCTGGATTTTGGAGTTCATTCGAATTCCGACTTACCGGCACTCTTGGTCAACCCCATCACAGCATGCTTTGTCGTCGTATATGGGACAATATCTGGCGTTGCGATATACGAATTGCATGATCCCACGTTCAAAATGACACCTCGACCAATTTCGCGTGATTTTCCCTGGTTATTCAAGGTGGTGACACTCTGTGATTTCATAACCTTGGTCACGGACTTGATACAGTTGAGAGTTCCTAACACGTTGACTTGCCAGAAGGCGTTCATCTCAGAAATCTCTGCCTTATCGACGGGCTTGTGGTGCTTGACCCCGATTCCAGCGCTGTTTACGCTATAATCAATGCGGTCAAATGCCTCAACTGCTGCCGTGACCATACGGTCGACACTTTCCTCATCGGTCACATCAACAGCCACAGGAAGTGCTCGGTAGGTGGGGCTAGTAGCTATCGATTCACTTTCTCGTGCCGTCTGGAGTGCAGCCTCGAGGTTCAAATCGGCTATAACCACACCCCGGGCGCCTTCCGCGGCATAGGCGAGGGCGACTGCCTTGCCGATACCACTGCCTAAAAATGTCAGAACCGTTACTATGGAAGCGACCGAACAGCAACCTACCAGCACCAGTCACCACTGCAATCCCGTTGATTTGAAGGGCCATATTTATTTCGCTGCGAGCAAACTTTGGAGACGACTCGAGTCAATGAACATCATGACGACTGAAACAACGCTGAATCTCTTGTTTTTCTATTACTTTTCATCAACAAAGTAATAAAAGTGTACAAGGAACACTGACCATCATTCTTGGCGATCGCTCTGCGTGGATCGATTGAATTGCCGACGTTCCCGATGTTCCCGATGCTCTCGACATCTCCGAGATGAGATTGGGATTCGGTCACAGAAGTTTCCCGATCACGGAAGCCCCTGCATAAAGTCCGGTGGATTTAAACTTTAGTTTCATTTGTTTATGTCCGATTGGTGGCTGTTGCTGGGCTGAAGGGGCGGAACGAGCGTGACCTGCAATGGGGCCAAGAACTACGCATTGGATCAATCAGGCTTTTCCAGACTTCTCAACATTTTGCGTAATTCAAGTTTTATTTCTATTGCGTGTCAAGCAGCCTTGTAGACCAGTCGCAACTTAGATCTAATTTTCTTTTGCAGAAGGAGCCTTTGAGCAATTTTGTTGCGCGGGTTCGGCTGAGCGTGTGATGACCTCCCTGGCTGTAGAGATATTTGTAGATGGGGAAATCACCATACTCCCAATGGCATATAGGCCCCACTCTAGATTCTTTGATAAAGCTGTGCAATATAATTTATTAATATAACCTTGATATGTGCCTCGCCACTCATCTTTCAGGTTTCGAGGCGCCGCCTTTTTAATGCAGTAGGATCGTTTCTCTGACCGCATAGTTTATATAGCTTAAGACTACCAAGAGCTCTAAGTGCATATCGTAAAAGCCAAGTTAGCCAGTAGAGCGTTTCAGGAACAGGCAATCATTTGGTCGATCTCTGAATCACAGATTTCCTCTTTCTTTGCATCCTCTTAGTATGGAATGTACTTCAGCGCCATACACTCACTCTACACCAGAGGGCAGTGCGCTAGCGCGGCTTACATCTTCTGTTGTACGTACTTCCACGGCTGAATCGGACCACAATTTGTTGGATTTGGGGGCCAATCTATCAGTCTAAGCCTCGTTCTGTCGATGTGGAAATGAATCATATTGGCGGATATTTTTTATCGATCATGAGATGGCCGATTCCCGTGTTCCCAATTCCCGTCGGTAAAAAGACTTACAGGGGAAGAAATTGCATCTGGAACTTTATATAAAGGTTGATAGTAGTTCACTTGAACGAGTCCAGGCTCTTCCATATCACCCGTCTTACTGTATACTCAAAAGGATGGTGCAAATATCGAATCTTTGGAGCTTTGGGCTCGCGACTGTGGTGTCTCTGGCAGCCGCCGCACCAACAAACTGTCTGGATGGACTCTGCCTGAAAACACGCGCCAATCTCAGCCCGCTACAAGTCAGTCGAGAACTCGGCCCGCTCCTTTCCAACGCCTCGAGTGTCTTCGGACCTAGCGATTCACGTTGGGCAAATGCCACGGCGAGATATCAGCAATATGCTGCTCCCAAATTTACAGTGGCGGTCCAGGTTGCTCGCGAATCTGACGTTTCAGTCATTGTACGTCTCCTTTTCCGGACCCTCAAATCCACCTCTAACGCTCGAGAAGATCAAATACGCCAACCGCAACAGTCTTCCCTTCTACGCAGTTAATCGGGGCCATGGTCTTCCTATCTCCCAGGCCAAATTTAGTGGCTTGGAGATCGATATGCAGCTTCTTACTGGAATTACTATACAATCTGACGGGAAGTCCGCTCTCTTCCAAGGAGGAACGTATGATCAACAAGTCATGGACACGCTATGGGAGGAAGGCTATGTTGCAAGTAAGTAAAATTCAGACAACAAACACCCCTACTCAAATCAACCAAAAACTTCTCTAACATTGAGTCTGCAACTCAGCTACTGGTAGTTGCGGTTGCGTGGGAATGCTTGGCCCAGCTCTAGGCGGCGGACATGGACGCCAGCAAGGCTTCCATGGCTTGATTAGCGACAACATTCTCAAGCTCAATGTTGTGTTGGCTGACGGAACCACTGCAACTGTTTCTAACACCTCTCATATGGATCTCTTCTGGGCAATGAGGGGCGCGGGCCATAATTTTGGAGTGGTGACGAGCTTTGAAATGAGCATCTACCCAACCCAAGTTCATTCATGGTATTATAAGAATTATGTCTTCACGCAGGACAAATTAGAGGACCTCTTCGAACAGCTGAACGTATTGCAAGGCAATGGAACTCAGCCAGTGAAGATGGCCGCTCAATATGGCATTTACATGGTGGACTCTACTGTTAGCGCCACTGAGGTTAGTATTTCTCCAATAAACATCCGAATGAAGTTTTGCTAATAAGTAAATCACAAAACAAACAGGCAATTATCTGGTGGACTTTTGGCTATGCCGGCTCGCAAAGCGAGGCACAGCAGTACCTGACGCCGTTTGATAACCTCAATCCATTCAGTTCTACTGATGGAAATGTTCCGTTCCCCGAAGTCCCCAACATCCAGGGGACTGGGATCAACAATGCTACTTGTGATAAGGGTCTTGAACGGATAGTCGGTCCCGCTGGGCTTCAGGTGTATAACGCCACAGCGCAACGCCAGATCTACGATCTTTTCAACAAAAACGTCAATTCCTACCCAGCACTCGCCGCTTCAGCTGTTGTGATGGAGGGCTACTCTGTGGAGGCCGTTCGAAACGTGGACTCGGATTCATCCGCCTATCCTATGCGAGATGATTACTTGCTCATGTAAGTCTCAGTCTTTGCCCAGGTGGTTTGACAATGGGAAGCGTAAGGAAATATACTAACAGTTTTGTGATTCTATAGGCAAACCACCATCTCCTATTCCCCAAATTCTACCCTCGACAATGTTGCCATAGATTGGGTGACCGAGAACCAAAAGTTTTGGAACGAGGGCCAGCCAACACGCAAGCCCACTGCGTATGTCAATTATGCATCTGGCAGAGAATCATTGGAGGCCATATATGGATATGAACCTTGGCGTTTGGAGAGGCTTCGGAAGCTCAAGGCCAAGTATGATCCTGAAGGCCGATTTTCCTACTACAACCCAATCGTCTGATAAACCAACTATTCGTGCATGACACGCGCACATTGCAGATTTGTCTCCATGAAACCATATTCCTGTTATATTGATACAAATCGGGGGGGTTAGGTTTTTCCCTTTCTCTCGTTCTCAATACAATACTTTATGTTGTTTGAAGTATTTCAAATAAGCGCTTCCTCGTAGCGCTGCCACCGTCGCTAAAGTAGAGGGTAATACAAATTGTTCTACTATTTAGTATAATACCTCTGGATAGAAATGGAACCGAAAGAGATTGGCTTTACTTGAGATATCGACAAAATGCTGGCAAGCCCGAGAATACCAACTGGCGAACTTTCATCAGCCAGTTGTTACGCACTGCTAACTGGTCACAGTTAGGTTAGAAGGGTTCGGTTATACTTGCCTTATGCTTCTTAGGTTTCTAACGTCAACGATCTGTTCTCTCAACCGTACTATTGCCTAATAGGCCTTACTATAGGATGGGTCCTTTTAAGGTATCGAGGAACGATGCTAGGTAGAGTGCCGAGGAGATCTATACCGAGGTATTAGTCTACTCGTAGGTGTTAATAAGTTATAATCAAGTAAAGAGTCACTAAAGTTCTAAAGGTATATATAAGTAATAATATATGATTAAAGACGAAGAACTAAACTAAGTATATAAGAGAGTGTCCTTATATATCCTTCGTATCCTACTCCCTAGGTAACTCCCCTAGAGTCACTATTAGAGTCGCTAGTGACTCCTAGATATACTCTATAGGAGTAGATCTAGAAGTCACGGTTATATAGTAACTAACCGTAGTATTACCTAATAGAGTATACTTTAGGACGGCTAGCGGGAGGCCGGTTCTAGCTCCTATAGTGGTAGAGGTCTATTAATATCTAGAATAACCTATATACTAGATAACCTCTAGAAGTGGGTCCTACTTAGGGCCGATCAGACTCTTACTCACTAAGTATAATTATAGTCTCTCTTTTCTCTAGATACCTAGGTATCCCTAAGTATAGGATATTATATATAATCTAATAATAGATCGATCGGTTAGCTCTTAGTAGCCTATTAGTAGTTACGGTCCCTATAATTAATTAGTGACTAGTATATCTATAATATTATCTCCCCCTCTCCTAGGAGTGTCGTCCCTAAGACTTATAAATCTGTAGTCCCCCCTTAGGTTAGTGATATTTTTCTTTTCCTTAATATCGTCTCCTTACTATACTAGTTTCTAATAAGGTATATAAGAAAAATAGGTTACGCTAATATAACACTATTTTAATAGTAGGTTTTTAATTATTAATACCCTATATAAATACTATTCGAATAACTTTATCGACTATATTATAGATTCGAAAAGTTAGAATTATATAGAGTATACCTAGTATAGTTATAAATATATAAAGCGTTTCTATAACGATTATAAGTAGGAATTATTAGAATATAACTATTAGAAGGTAGTAGTAGAGTTAGAGTAAGCCTAAAAGTAATAGCTTAAATATTTATAGCGAATAAATTAGGCGATATTAAAAATACTTCGCCTTTAAAAAAAATAATAGTTTCTTAAAGATTATAGTAGTTAAATATTAAATTATAACTTAGTAGTTATAGAGTAGTTAGATACTAAGGATCCTCTATCTATTAAGGACCTCGCTAAGCTAGATTATCTTACTAAAGAGTATAATACTTAGATTCTTACCACTATATTAGAGAATCCTACTCTAACCTAAATATTTAGTCCTTTATCCCCTTCTATCTTAAAGGGGATAGATTTAGCTTTCCTAGTTAGCGATTCTTCTAATAGAACTATTAAACTAGCTAGAGGTAGCCCCTTAGATTCTTAATAGGTTCCTATATATCCTTAGAGGTATTATACCCCTTCTATCTCACTAAGTAATAAGGCTTTCCGCTTATTTATTTTATTTCTAGAATCTCTTTAACCTTATATTCGTTTTTAGTTTCTTCCTCTATTTCTATATTTATCGCGAGTTTAGCGTTATTTAGTATAGGTTTAAGTAACGAGATATAAAATACTAGGTAGAGTTTTTATATACTTTCTAGTAGCCTTAAGCGGTAATTAACCGGTCCTAATTTTTCTTTAATTTCGAATAGTCCTAGTTATAGATAGTCTAGTTTATTACTAGGTCGCTTAGTTTTAATATTATAGTGTAAAAGATAAACCTTTTCCCCCTCTTTAGGTTAGGTCCCTCCTAATATTATTAGTCGTAGTACTTCTTTATATATAGATTGACGAAGTTAATATCTCTAGATAGTTATAGGTATAACTATTTTAGTCTATTAGCCTTTAGCCTTACTAATTCCGCTACAGCTATCTGTTACGGACATGCTAGTCACCAATCAGTTGTGGGGACCGCAACTACTGATGGGCCACCGAGAGCCAACCGAACGATCTGTCATCAGATCACGTGCACCATCCTATACTCTGAGATACCCGGGTGTTTAGGGAAAAGAGAAACCGTGATCATGCTTAGTGAGTAAGAGCACGATCAGCCCTAAGTAGGACCCACTTCCAGAGGATATCCGGTATATATGTACCTATATGAACTAGCAAACCTCTACCACTAACGGAAGCCGCCACGTGATCATACAAGTAGTAGAACAGTCAACGGTAGACTAGTAGAATCTGCTAAGGCAATTCTACTTATCTACGATCTACCATTCTATATAGGAAGAACTTAGGGATATATAAGGACACTCATTTATATATCTAGTTTAGTTCTTCGTCTTCAATTATACATTGTTACTTATATATACCTTTGGAACTTTAGTGACTCTTTACTTGATTATAACTTAATAACACCTACGAGTAGACTAATACTTCGGTATAGATCTCCTCGGCGCTCTACCTAGTATCGTTCCTCGATACCTTAATAGGACCTATCCTATAGTAAGGCCTATTAGGCAATAGTACGGTTGAGAGAACAGATCGTTAATATTAGAAACCTAAGAAGTATAAGGCAAGTATAACCAAATCCTTCTAACCTAACTATAACTAGTTAGTAGTGCGTAATATATTGAAGACCGTCTCGAATTAAGTTTCGAGTCACTAAACGATAATATATCTCACGTTAGTTCGGGTAAGAAGCCTATTAAGGAGCAAGCTACTCCACCTTAAGATAAACCTAACTCCGACGTCGAGCGAGATAACACTATCGCTAAGCAGAAGAAGAAGATAAGCGAACTAGAGTATAATATTAAGAAGATAATGAGTTAGCTATCCGACTTAGGCGAACGAAGCGGCACTAAGTTCGGCGAGGTAGACGAACACCTCGAGTAAATCAAGTCTTAAGTTATCGCCTCTTGTAACGGATAAAAGATCCTTACAACTGGAATACCCAGAGCGGGCCATATCAATGATCTATCAATAGATCGACATCGATTCGATGTCGATCCGAGAGGGGTTCGTCAGGTGATATCAATGTCAGCACTATCATGTTGGTTTCCCTATAGTCAAGGACCCCTAAAGGATCCTTTGCATTCTGGCAAGAATTAGTCTTGGCACACTCTACAATACATTGTGTTCCCCTCTCAGTCATAGTATCTTACCCGGTTGACAGGCCTTACACCTGAAAACAGTATACCTTTACACCTCTATACCTACTAGCTCTGTCTAGGCACCACGACTACCTAAGGCTAAGTGTTTTAAAGGAAACCGAACTAAGCTTCGAGGGTTCCTCACTTAGATAGATATATATCTCGATATAAATTAAACCAAGCTACCTACCGAAGCTAGTAAGGTGATCTTTATATCAACCTACTTACGTGGCTAGGTATAGAGCTAGTTCGAACTATATATTCGAGATTACTACGAGAAAGAAACTAGCGAATGGTTAACCACTACTACCGAAGTCTTCGGAGGATACTATAACTTCTATAAGCACCTCGAGCGAATATTTAGAGATATCGATATAGTAAGAACGGCTGAGCGTAAGTTATAGAAGATTAGATAATAGACTAGCGTATTAGTGTATACCTCCGAGTTCTAGTAAATCATTTCGTATCTAGATCTACCCGATCGAGCGTATATTCCGTACTTCGAGGTAGGACTTAAACCTAATATTAAGGACGAACTAGCTAGGATCGATAGGCTAGATACCCTAGACAAACTCATTAAGATCGCGGTTAAGATCGATAACTATATTAACGAACGAAAGTACGAGCGACGAGAAATAGATTAGTGGAAGTGTGGTAAATCGTACGGCTTTAACCGATTTAGTGGACGCCGCGATAGGGCACCACCACGAGATAGCGACCTATATAGCCCGAAGCTAATAGAGTTAGACGCCACTTAGGACGAGTAAAACGAGCGTCGTAAAAAGAATCTCTACTTCACGTGCGGGAAACTAGGACACTATATAAGAGAATGTAAGTAGAAGAAACCGTATAAGAAACGGTAATATATACGAGCGATACGCGAAGAACTATATACGACTCGAGAATCTGGAAAGGACTACCTAAGAAAGGAAACCTTAGAAGATCTCTTAGTAAAATTGGAAAACCTAAGCCTAGAAGAGATAATAGCGGGCAACCTATTGTTACGCACTGCTAACTGGTCACAGTTAAGTTAGAAGGGTTCCAGGTTATACTTGCCTTAAGCTTCGCTTGCTTCCAACGTCAACGATCTGTTCTCTCAACCGTACTGTTGCCTAACAGGCCTTACTGCAGGATGGGTCCTTTTGAGGTATCGAGGAACGATGCCAGGTAGAGCGCCGAGTAGATCTATACCGGGGTATTGGTCTGCTCGTAGGTGTTGTCAAGTTATAATCAAGTAAAGAGTCACACTAGAGTTCCAAAGGTATACACAAGTAACAATGTATGATTGAAGACGAAGAACTAAACTAGATACATGAATGAGTGTCCTTATATATCCCTGAGTCCTTCCTGTGTAGAATAGTAGATAGTAGAATAGTAGAATCCCTCTACTACTTCTACCGTCGACCGTTCTACTACTTGCATGATCACGTGGTGATTACCTAATCGTGGTGGCAGAGGTTTGCTGGTCCATATA